TGTCTGTCGCTGCTGCACAGGCTACATGCCATGAGGCGTAGCATTGAGAGGGATCTTTAACTAATATAGATAATAAAATCCAAAAATAAAATAAAATAAAAATAAATGTAATAGTGGCAAAAGTAGAGAACAGTGGATAAACGTGAATTATATAGATGTAGTCCCTTCGGAAATAAACCGATATTCTCCTCACCTAATGCAATAACAAAAATAAAGTTAAGCATTTTAGCATGGCGGGTATGCAAGCGAAAATGCTAGAATTTAACTGTTACACTAGATTGTTCCTCGCAGAAGAACTACGTAATGTAAATTATCATTCCCATAGTTTTAGATAGGCTTTCTAGCATTACTTTTGTAGTGTAGGAGGTACTCTTTTATGATCATTACTTGGCTATTTAGCTACCTCTATTATAGACAATGCATCAGTATGGTACGTAGGTCCCTTGTCCTCTTTTTGTGAGGGAGATTGTGGGATTGAAAGAGAGCGAACAGTTGTTCATGTGGAGGTATGCGGGACGGCTGCTGGAGATCAACTCGGTGGAGTGAGTGCCGTTAGACCAAGGACTTGAGCCTGGCTATCCTTAGAATAGGACAAACACATCCTTGCTGCAAGAGCAACCTACGTCAAGCAAGCACTACATCGAAGTTCGGCTGCAGTCTTAAACCTTTCTACCTCATTTTTCCTTTCTTCCCCTTTTTCCATCTCCTATTCAAGCAATGCAAGCAGGGCAGAGCCGATTGGCCTATAAGCCCAGTCATATTCCTTCACCTGTTCTCCTCCTTGTAAGCTCTCTTCAAACCTCCGTCTCACCGGACTTGCCATGCTTTGATGACCCATTTGGCAGGTGGCGAAGGTCTGACAGATGAATGTATGGAACATATCTTTTTTTTTTCTTTTCAAATGAAGAGTGAAAGATATGTGAAGGTAAAGTGTGTGAAAGCAAGGAATGTGATAGAAGAAGGTGTAGAGTGGTAAAGTACGCTAAGAGTTCAGGCCCATAATATGTATATACTCTCGCATCGTATATTGTTGACATTGTGTGAATGGTATACCGTACTCAGAGTAGAGGTCAAATTTTTTTGAGCAAAAATTTTTTGGTGTCGACATTTGCAATGAAGAGAGCACTACCCTTTATTTTCTCTTTTCATTTACAAATAAGATACCTCTTTATTTCCACCCAGGGAGCCATATTGGGGCCAAAGCCACTCTCTGTAGCAGTCACTTTGCCTTCATGGCAGTCACATTTCGGCACGTGCAGACACCCTTTCGTTCCAATATGTAGGATGTTACGTCACACTTGGGGGCCAATTTAATCTTTAATCGCATGGCGTCTTGTGGAACAAGAAAAAAAATTTTCTCACACACACACACAGCATAGCCCAACCTTGAAATAAAGGAACAAATTTATCAATTGTCGCTCCTTTCTTTAACTTGCTTCACTTCATTTTTGCACTCTCCTCTTCCTTTTCTTCCTTTATCCTCTTTTCACTTTTTTCTTATTTCACCCCAATTTTGCTCCCATCAATTTTGCTCTTTTATTTATTCCAAGCCTTCATTCATTGCCTTTCCTTTCCTTTCCTTTCCTTTCCTTTCCTTTTTTTTTTTTTCTTTTTTTCTTTTCCTCCCTCAACTTCATCTCTAGACAATTTTGAACCATCCTGCTACTGAATTATCATCCTTTAGCATTTTTATCAACCTTTCCCTATTTTCTGTCCTCCGCCTATTTACGCCCTTGTTTTTAAACAGGTTTGAAAACACAATGGGAAGCAGCAGAACACCATCACGATGCCCATCACCTCGAACTGAACCGTATGAAAAGAAAGAAAGAAAAGGGGAAGCGAAGGAAGAGTCTTCAAGCACCAATGACCCTAAAATCCTCGAGCCAACCGAGCTAAAGATTTTTTGTATTGTTGATGGAGAAGCTTCATGTTTTCCTGTAAATATTCCTTCTGATCGTTCAGTCGGCGAACTCAAGCAAGCCATCAAAGCAAAGAATACCAATGCATTTAAGGACATCGACGCTTACCAGCTCACCCTCTACAAGGTCTCCATCCCTGACAAAGGCGAGGCTATCTTTGAGTCAGAAATCGAGTCAAAAGAGGCTCTCACAATCGCGTCAATGGAGCTTTGGGAGATATTTAATTCTGAACTTCCAAGGAAAACTATCCATGTTTTTGTCAAGCCACCGCAGCGAGGTATGTATTAGCTCTTGACGGACTGATAGTTATATTTTCAATTGATGAAGCTTGTTTGCTTATTTTCATGCCCAACACCATGTGATATCACGCCTTTTTTATGTTTGTTTCGTTGTAATACAGCTGTTTTATTTGTTATTGAGATGGATCTCACGTCAGGTTTTTACTTGGGGTATTGATGTGTTTGAGAAAACATAGAGATGCAACACTAACATAGTCTTGATACTTTTCGATTTAATAAAACAGGTCAAAAGAGGGGTCGCGACAATTTTGAAGTCGACGAGGGCGACGAAACTTCCTCCAAAAGACCCAAAGTTGAAGAGGACAACTTAATCAAGGCAATTCGAGCAGCAGGACTTTCCGAAAAAGCCATAGTAGATGGGCGTGCCAACCTTCCTCGTCTTACAAGTAAAGAGTTGGTTTCGGTGCTTGAGAACATTGGAAGCAGAACATCAGAGGCCAACATCTTCCAAGCAATATCCCGAACAGCTTCCAGGCTAAAACGTTCATCTTTTGGAAAAGCAGATTATGTGATATCCAGTCCACCAGGGACAAGGCTTCCGGTGATCGATGCGCAAGATCTATATGTAAGAAAGGAATTCAAGGATCTCTACGATTTAATCACCAAACAGTTTTGCAACGCTGAGGACGATGCACGAAACCGTATTGTTGTTACAGGGACGGCTGGTATAGGGAAGTCATCCTTTCTCATATATTTTGCCATCCGACTACTTGCAACCAGTACTGAGGATGATCCACCTATTGTCATCATCCAGCGAAAAGAAGATTCAATGTGCTACGCTTTTGGTGGGTCATCTACTGTTCAAAATGGAGATATAAAGGATTTCGCCGCCTTCCTAGAGCTACCTAACACTTGGTTCCTAGTCGACAGCTCACCAAAGCCGGAGCTTATGGAGGCTCGAACTATCTTCTCAGTATCACCAAAGACGTTATTTTCCGAGTCCAACATGTATCAAGAAATTGTAAAGAGGGTGGTATGGATTTATTACATGGCACCATGGGAGCTGGATGAGTTAAGACAGTGTAGAAAAATGGTTCGGACCTTTAACATCGTCAGCGAAGAATTTATGGTGGAACTCTATGAGAAGATAGGTGGTGTGCCAAGGTATGTTCTCGAGAAACCAGCGAGCCGACTGCACTTTAATAAAAAAGATCTTGATGGAGCTAGGAGGGTAGCATACAGTCGCGTAGAAGAAGCCCTCGACAACCTCAAGGATCCATTGAAGCTGTTACAATATTTTGAACAGGCCAAAGATTCACTACAATATAGCAGCCGACTTCTTCATCGTCGTCCAATAGGAGATCACCAGCAATTTGTGTTAGAGTGGGCCTCTAATCACATTCTCGAAAAGGTGTACGAAGCAGCGGACGACAATACTTTTGATATGATATTGGATCGATTAGTCAATGGCAAAGTTGGAGTAGATCTAGGAGCTATGCTCGAGATATGTATACGTCGCATACTACGGAGAGGCGACTGTACCTTCGTGGCCAAGAGTCTAGATGTAGAGAAAAAGCAAGATATCACCATCACCATCGATGCCAAGCCGACGGTTAAATTCTTCGAAGCTTTTGATGTTTACAAGGAATCGATGAAAGGAGAACTATGGATCCCAAAAAGCAAGACTTTTGCCTGCGTTGATATGCTAATAGCGCCGAATTATCTACTCCAGATTACGGCAAATGTAAAGCATGGTATCAAGAGTGAATCTTGCAAAGAACTTCTTAAAAAGCTTCAAGAAAAAAAGTGGATTCGCTCAGAGAAGGACGTTGTATTTATTTTTGTTGTTCCAAAAGCTAAGGCTGAGGAATATAAGAAACAAAAATTCAAGATTGGGGCTGGTCGGGTGGATCCTAAACCGACAAAAGAACTATCAAGTATCAAGCAATATGTCATGGGGGTAGACTTAAACGCAGAATTACAGCGAGGTAGACTTGAGGGCAGAACTAAAGCGGTATAAAATAATAATTTGAGAATAGTACATCAAACTGCTTCCATAATAATTATAATGTAGAATGACAATATATTCAATAAATAGAAGAATAGAGGCTGGAAGTAACACTGTAATATTGGGTACCAGAATAGCTTAAGATGTCTTTGTGACTTGGTAAAAGGAATATTTCCAAGCAACTCTCGAGGCTGAACAGCTTATACTTCATCAGGTTACCAAAATCTCTGTCTGGATATTTCCTTACCATCCTGTGCTTTTACAGAGACTCTGCACACCAATTTCACCACTCTGGTGATTTTACTGCTACCACTAGATTTGCCCGAGAGAAATATTTATCTGGTGGGTAGACTCGCAAATGCATTCTATAAAAGAAAATAAAAGAAAAAAAAAATATTGGGAAGTCTACCCACCGCTATGCGCATAATACAGGCCTGCCAAAAATGAGAAGGTTTTAGACATCAGTGATGTTTGCCAGCTCGCTCTTTGAGTAGTTCTGAATCTCTCTGGTAACGTGGTTACCGATAGAATGACTACATGGCGATTATGGTTACTGGGTGTCCATATGTCAAATAGTTTACATCCCTGACAGCTACAGACATGTACACAATCAAATCACGCCGTTGATCCATTTCGCATAGTGATTCTAACCGCAACGTGTTTTATGATACAGTTTAAGTAAGCTGTGAGAATCACTGCTTGTACGGCAAAGTCCTTGAGTCCTAAATAGGTATCCATTCTGGTTAGGCGTAAGTCAATTACAGATTTTCAAAAAATAAAGTTCCTGGTTCCAGGAATTTGACTTTCATTTCATTCTTTCAATGAGTGCTAGCTTTAAGTTATCGTCGTCGCATGACTTCTTGATTGTGGTCGATACCATTGGCCAGGTGGCGGTACCGGTGGCAGATCAAGCAGCTTCACAGATCCGGCGCTATCTTTCGGAGGCCCAAAACCCCTAGTGTGCTTGCTCTCATCCCTGTTCTTTTCATTCTTCGAGTCTGCTTTGAACCATAGCAAATTTGGATTCAATTGTTCTGAAAAATCGAATTTACTTCGAGCCTTTGGAGGCTGATCCCTTGACCATGTTTCTACACCCACCTTGAGTAGTGGTATCTTGGTTGAGCGACCTGGCCTCTCTTCAATATCAGGCGTCATGTCAGGGACATAGCCATCATGATCATCATCGAAGTAGTTAGGATATTCATGTCTGTTTACATCCTTATCGATGTCGCGATTATAGTTGACAAATACAGCGTCTAGGCCTCCCATAATCTCCTTGTCAATGTCGTCATCTGATAATGAACGAGGGTAAGAGTGGGCTGAATCTTTAGGAGCAGAGGGAAAGGGGCTTGGCAATGGTTGGTATGAGGCTGTAGTTGTTCTCCATTTTTCGTTCTTGTTGGACACAGCTGAGTTACTTTTCATTGACAGTCGAGGCGGTTTGTTGCGGTTGGCCCCAACTGGAGAGTTACCCAAACTGTTAAAGTCCCTGTCACGACCACTATATACCTCATTATCGCCATCATCATCGTCCTCACTATCACTAATCAAGAGTCTACGTCTGTGGCCAGTATTTTGACCGCTAATACTTTGGCGGCCTTGGGCATGGAGATGCTCAATATCCTCATCGTCGACTGTGGATGACATGTAAAGATGACTCTTTGATAACTGGTTTCTCATGTCATCTCCCTTTGTAGCCTTTGATGACATCTTCCCTCTAAACCGAGAGACTACGTCCGGTATTGAATCACTGGCTCCAAGTCCAGACGGACCCCATCGATCAATAAGTGCTTGCATTCGTCTTGAATACGGGTCTACATCATCTTCCCCGGTAGGAAGGCCCACCATGGCGGCTGATAGGGATTGTCCAACCCTCGCTTTCGCAATTCGTTTAGCAGATTCTACGAAATCAATCGTGCGACTAGAATGTCCAATTTTGTACGTACGGTCTAACGTTGTTGCTGCTTTTTTCATCTCACCCCTCAAAAGACTAGTGCAGGCGCTTTTAAATGTAATTTTTCGGATTTCGCGCTTCGGTATCCGGTATGTTTGTTGAAACCGAGCTGTCTCTTGTGAATCCAAAAATGCGCTCTGAAGTTTAGGGCCGCTTATTTGAACTGAGTTATCCTCTCCTAGTTTTCTGCGCTTTCGAACCGTAGTAGGCGTGACATAGGCTGGAACATTGATGTGAACTAAATCGCATGTCGGAGGTGGACCTTGTGGTAATATTCTGGGTGAAGAAGAATAGTACTGAATGGTAGTTCCTTGTGAGATGGCGCGTTGTACAGTTTTATATGAAGTTTGGGACCTGCGGTACTTTTGCTCCTCCTGTCCTTCAGCGAGTAAGAGGCAGATCTTACCCTTGCGTTTCCTTCCTGTACGACCCATTCTTTGTAACTAAAATAAATAAATAAATAAATAATATTCAGGGAATAAGTAGCGGACGACAAATAATAATATTAATAATAAAAAATAACATTCTCCATAAGCCAAAAAAGTGCAGACTTTAGAGCTTACCATGCGGATGGGAGATGAATGACTATCATAACAGACAATAAGGTCTACGTCTCCGATATCTAATCCTTCTTCTCCAATCGAGGTTGCAACAAGAACATTATGGTTGCCTTTTTGAAAATCAGCAACAACCTAAATGAGAAAAGTGAATGAGCTTTATACATTGGTCTATGGATGCACTCCAAATTGGAAAAAAAAAAAAAAGAGACCCACTAACCTTTTGCTGTTCTTTTTGTGAAATACCCTTCTTGCCTTTAGCTGTCGCTTGCCCAATGAAGCTCTGGACCTTAATGAGTGGGCGATGATGCTCCAAAACGCGACTGATCTCTTCTACAGACTCACGATAGTTCGCAAATATCATAACTCTGGTCTGAGGAAGAGGGCCGTCCTCACTGACACCGGTGCTAGATGACGCTGCTGATTCCGCTCTGGCCTGTATGAGTATATCCTGCTCATCCTGATGATCAATAAAATGTTGTACGACTATCCCAACCAACCTTTCCAACTTTGGATGGCTCACAAAGCTTGATTGTTTCATCTTGATACGGATACTGTCCATCATTCGAATAAAGTCGGGGATTTCCATCATGGCTTTTCGAGCAAGCGAAGGTCTATTGTCGTCGTCGTTGTAATCGATATCATATTCACCTCGTCTTTTCTTTGATCCTGAAACGTTTTTATTTGTAGCGTTATGGTTGCTGCTATTGGTAAATGGGTCCATGTTGACAAAGAAGGGCTTAATGCCATGAATGGTGAGCAATTCATAAGCATGTACCAAGCCCATGCATATTCCAACTTGTTTTTGAACATAGGCTTTTCGTGCATTGTTCCCTGGATTGTTCATCACAAACGCGTCTCTCCCTTGAAGGAGCACGAAGCGTGTCAATTGGCTGGGATCCGCAGTTCGAATGACGTTTTGCTTGACAAGACTGTCCAAGAATGGTCTCATCATCCTGAAAAACTTATCCCTAATCTCTCCAACTTCTTTACCACACGGAACAATCATCTCTTGGACAGAACGTTTGAATACGTACTGCTGCAAGTCCATCGAGTCCTCTGTTCGTAACTCGATTTTTGCGATTTTTAGGTTTCTGACGACTGTTTGTACCGTTTTGATATCACTTCCAGGGGTTGCAGTCAGCGCCAGGATGCGTACATCTCTATTCAAAGGCTCCAGCTGCCGAATCACCTCTGAATAAGCATAACGGCCTGTGGCGCGATGAGCTTCATCCACTACTAGACATACAATATCTTCTGCGGGGCAGATACCAGATTTGAGGTCATTTTGAAGCACTTGCGGTGTACAATAGATGACCCTTTTTATCTGCCACATCTCTTTTCGAATCTCTGCGTTTTGTTGACCTGTCATCTCCACAGTAACATCCTGAGGAATTCCACAAACATTAAAGCAGGCTTCGATCTGTTGATTGACTAAAGGCTTTGTTGGTGCCATGAAAATAATTTTAGATTTAGGAAACCATCGAAAATAATTGAGCATTACGACTGCTGCAATAAATGTTTTCCCAAGACCCGTTGGAAGCGAAACCAATGTATTTGTGAAGAGCGCACGGCGAATGATGTTGTACTGATAGTCACGCCTTGGGTAGTTGACCGGGTATTGCCAAGTAAGAGCAGCACGTTTGTCGATTAAGTGATGTGTTGCAGGCTGATCCGGCTGCGTCCGTGCTTCTGGACTACGGAAGATATCCTCTGCAAAATCGTTCAGTGGGTCAGACCGGGGAAGGACGTTGGGAGGTAGTTGTGCTGTAGGTAGTGAGTTGGAAGTGGAAGCAGAAGTGGGTGAAGAACTAGTTGAAGCGTCACTGTTTAAGAAGTATGAAGAAACGTTTGAACTGGATCCTTGTCTATTGAATCCGTGTAAACTGTTGTTCGTGCTTGTCTGCGCTTTCTGCAAAACTGGGGTGTTTGAATTTGTGTTGGTTCGATTCTCTGCGCCACCAAAAATTGAAAAAAACCTTACTGGTTGTTGCTGTTGTGGAGGAATAGGCGCTCGCACCTGTTGTATTGATGGTGAAATAAATGAGGTATTTGATCCTGTTTTAGGAGCCGAAGATATTGATGAGGATGAAGTATCGTCCAAGAGGTCATTGTCAAGCAGAAGATCAGTATCTTGTAGATCGCCAAACTCTGCAAAGTCATCCTGTTCGGCCTGAGTAGTTGTCGTCACAGTGGGAGTGTTTTTGAAATAGTGAGCAATACTGGGGTTATTTTGATTCGAGACAGGGAAGTTCTTTTTGGAGGATACCGTAGAGTTCGGTTTAAGGTCCTTTTGATTTCGCACATGCATTACGTTTGTTGCTGGACCAGAGACGTGAGCATCATTCTGGTTGCTTGTTTCTTCCAGCAAGGCTCTCTCTTCACGGTCTAGCTCAAGTACATCCAGATCTATGTCAAAGTCAAAGTCATCGTCAGTTGTGAGTGCCATGGTGGTTTTTTGCTCCGGGTTTAGCACTGAATGACCAGAGTAGCTTTATTGTATTTATGAAAGAGACAAGGACAAATCATACATGCATTCAACTTCTTAGAGTGAATGAACGAACTTTTTTAAAAAAATGTACTTTATTTGACTGTCTTTTCAGTTTTCACAAATGATGAGACAAAGTCGTTCAAAGTTCTTTGGTCATTTCGTAAATCAAGTCTGCGGGCTAATAAAAAAAAAAAAAAAAAAAACCAGCTTAGTTCATGCATTCTAATGACGAGATTTGAAGGTTACGCAATGGCAAATGTCTAATACAGCAACAGATATAATACTTACACGGCACACCTTAGCCTTTTTGGCAGCCCAATTGACCACAATCGGACGCTCCATCATGGCAGGATTTTCAGCAACGATTTCCTTTGCCTCCTCAATAGTAGTCGCATTGGGCGCGTCCTTCCTCAAGAAGGACTTTACGACCTTAGCGGTCTCCTCGTCTGAGCCTTGACCAGCTCCTAGAAAAGTCAGAACCTGCTCCACTTGTTCTGGAGTAAGCGGGTTATACTTGAATTCGATTTCCTCGAGTTGAAACCCCTTCTTCTTCGCTTCTTCCTCCAAGAGAGGAATAGCTTTTCCGCAGGTTCCACAGAGGGAGTTATGGTAGACAGTCAGAGATAGGGTCATTGAAATGGGTTTTGCGGATTGATGAGACAGCGAAGACAAGGAAAGAGAACGGATTGAGCGTGAGAACCTCAGAGCTCCTCTGAATGCTGATAAGGTTGCCATCTTGACCTGAACAAAAAAAAAAAAAAAAAAAAAAAAAAAACCAGCCACAGGGTTCAAAAAGGTGATTTTACTCTGCCAAGCCTAAAGTCGTGGCAAAATTAAACCGAAGTTGTCTCAGAAATGACATCAATAAATATCTGTAAGAAAAAAACGACTTTTGGACTTTCAGCATTTAAACTCTTTCTCTCTCTCTCTCTCTTGCTTCCTCTCTTGCTTTCTTTTGTTCTTTCATTCTTTCATTCTCACTTCATCTTAATAATCTTTGATATATTTTCCTCTGCTCTCCAAAAAAACATGTTCAGTTGGCTCAACTCACCTCAGCTACCAGAAACAATCGAGACCCAGGCATTCCGTTCAATTTCTGGGGGTCCTATCCTTCGGATCAACGCTATCAATGATCGCACACACAAAATGAAGCTCATCCCATGGGAAGACATCCTCGAAGTCTTCCCGAACGCTATCTATCTTCGAGATGCTAACGGCATTGTTATGCCTGCAAGAGACTTATCCCTCAAAAGGTATATATTATGAATCAGCATCGATTTATATGTTCACTACCTCGCTTTCCTAGTTCTTATTCAAAGAAATATTCATATTGTCCTTCTTAGGATTACTCCTCGATCCATCAAACTACAAGCGGATGTCGTTCTAGAAGTTGTCTCAACGCAGGATCCCCCGCCTACTTCTTCAAGGCCTCAAAACATTACAAAGACAACCGACATTATTGATTCACAATCAGCAGGAAAAGACGTAGCAACATCACTATCATCACAAGTGAATGATCATGCCACAGAATCACAGTATGCTCAAACTAGGACATCTACATCATCAACAGTAGCATCAGATAGGCGTAGTTCAGACAAAATACAACAGCAGCAAAAGGATGAAGACCAGCTGGACTGGACACCATTCCAAGCAAACACTCTGCCTTTTCAAAAAAATACATCCACATTGCTATCAGAACAAAGTCAACTTATACGGCAGGAGGTGATCCATTGGATGCAGCTGCTATCTGCAGAACAAGAAGAAAGATTGGAGGTTATGTTGAAGGCGCTTCGTAGACCTGCTCGGTAATCTTTGAATATTTTTCTCGGTCTCTCAACTCTGCATAATAAAGATTTGAATCCGGTACATCTCAAAAATCTATTTGAAATGCAATATGTATTTATTTTTATTTTTATTAACTAACAAACAAAGAAAAAATAATGCCTGGTTTAATGCAGAAACAAAGTTATGATCTATTCAGTATGGAATGAGGATAAAAAAAGTATAATTCTTGGTAGGGTCGATTTTTTTTTTTTTTTTTTTTTTTTACAAATGAATAATCTCGACTGCATAATCGGGAATGCCTTCACCACCCTCCCATTTACGTCTCCTCCTCTTGTCTGTTGAGACACCACCTGCTGCTGTGATAATACCATGATTTCCTGATGAAGCAAATCCAGCAACAGAAAACTCTTTTTTACGACGAATCATCTCCTTGTGCTTACGATCAAACAGCCCCAACGGTCCACGCAAGGCCTTCTCAAGCTCGTTCGATATTTGAGTCTCACGCTGCATGGATGTTTGAATGGACTTGAGAACAGGATGAAGATGAGCCGATAAAATCAACAGCGGGAAATGAACATCCATGATCATAGTTGTAAAGTCCACAATCTTTTATATATAAAAAAAAAAAAAAAAAAAAAAAAAAAGAGTTAGATCAGTTATTTCATGGCGTTGTACCACGTTGATTCTTTCCTCTTTTTCTCCTTCTTACTATTCCATATCCGGGAAGTCCTCCTGGAAGCTGCTTCTTGTCCGCACGCTGGTTTTGATGACCGATGCCTCCACGCACATCCCAGATATCGATCCAGCCCTTCAAGATCTCAAGAACAACTGTAAGCTCTTCTACAGTCAGCTTTTTAAGCGCCTGCTGCATAAAGATCTCATTCCTTGGTGCAGTCATAATCAAATTCAAGAAGTAGGGAATATCCGGTATTGATGTTGAAGTAATTTTTGATTTTGTTGTTGTTGACGATGACAACGATTGCGATACTACTCCCGATATCCCTGTTGCATTCTGAGATCTTGCAGATGTTGAGATGGATGTCTTTCTATTCAGGCTAATAACCTGCTTCAACATCACAATCATATCCCCTTCGGGGATATCATACAACTTCTTGAACGCAAGCTCCAGCAGGTGCCATTGTCCACGCTCCATCAGATTTAAAGCAATACCAGCCTGGCCTGCTCCAGGATTAGCATTCCCGACCAACTGATGCTCGATCATAAACTTAATTACCTTGCTCGGCCAGAAGCTCATGTCGGGCTGACCATTGGGTAAATGAGGGAAACAGTAGCTGATAACTGTGATGACAAAGTGATGGGAGAGTTCTGGAGGAGGAATTGGCGCACGACCAACAGCCAAGAGACGGCGCTGCTCATTGTAGTTTTTGATTGCATCCGCCTCAATCTTACGCCATTGTTCGACAGCGTCTCTGTGGGCTTCTAAGCGATGTTCTTCTTCTAAATCCGCCTTGTACTCAGTTTCATCTTCCTCCTCTTTATTCTCATCGTCTGAACTTAACACAACAACCTGGTTCTCATCATCCTCGTCTGAAGAAGATTCAGAAGATGATCCATCTTCGTTGGCAGCCTCCTTTGCAACAGGTTTGCTTTTTTTAGTGGATGCCTTGGTGGCCTTCTTTGAACCATCCTTCCCAGCCTCATTGTCAGCCTTGGTAGCTTCCTTGGAAGCTGCTTTCGCGGCATTAGCCTCCTTTTTCTTCAGCTTCTTCCTCGCAGCTTTATCGAGTTGGATGGTCACTGCATTATCCTTGACAGCTGGTTCATTATCAACTTCCATCTTTTGATCGCTATCATCTTTTTTCTGGTTTGATTGCTGTTGCTGCAACAGCTTTTTGGTTTCTGCTTTCCGCCTCTTTGTCGCCTCGACAGCCTCTTTGACTTCGTCAGCACTGACACCATGTCGCTTCAGAACATCATCCCTAGCTGCAGCCGTCTGTTGGTCCATATACTTGAAGAAGACTTCCTCAAATGCCTGCGCATCTCCTGCATGTGATTTTGACGCCAGTGCCTCCAGAACCTTTTTCTCTTCCATTTGAGCTGCTTCAAATTGCTTTTCAAATTCATCCTTGCCCTTTGTCAAGTCACTGCCCTTGACAATGGCATTGGTATCGGAAGGAACGAGGAGCGATGTGGTTGTAGATGTGTAGGCATCCTGTGCGATGGCTCCTGATTGTCCAAGAAAGGGGGTCGTATCCTTCATCCTGCCCATAGCACCGAGAAGCGACATTGGTTCTGCATAAAAATGACAGAGATAAACATCGGATTTCACAGTGGTATTGATTGTTGTGGATATAGTAATGACAAGGACAGATCCCGGAAGAAGGGCCAGCTGACAAGTAGAATTTTGAAGACTGAATACTCCAGGAAAAAGGTGTTTTGCTTGAAGAGTTCCGTACTGAATATCCCAAATAGTTAATACCAGTTCCGGTTTGTCTAAGACATTATAAATAGTAGATGATTGTATACCTCTCTGCGTTGGTACTCTGGATCGACAATGACTAAGAGACTATTTGATGAAATACGTCCAACCAGCCTTAATTAAACGGATGCATGACTACTTACCATTGTTATTATGAATTCCAGCAACTGCGAGGTAATTGTCACCGAGAGCGATGGTATCGACACTCTGCAACAATGGGTCAACCCCCGTTCTGGCAGTAGATATAGCTGCATACCCAGGAAGGGGTAGTGTCAAAGTTTCTATGGCACTTAAAGTATGGTCTACTTGATCCACTGCAACTTGATAGATTTTTAGTTCACCCGAGGCAGCTATTGAGTAGATAACAGAGTGATGTAGTGAGTGATAAAGCGTATAAAAAAAAAGATAAGAAAGCATGGCACAGTGAAATGCGAGTACTATTCAGTAACTCCAGGCGCTACATTGTATTTCATAAAACGTACTCAAGAAAGAGAACTGTCCTGTTACGGCGTCAAAAGCGAAGCTTGGGGATCCAGTAGTAGACTTCAATTCTACTTGACCGAACTCAGTAAATCCACGTTGTTCCTTATTGACATAGGACAATGTTATAACCATTGTTTCTACAGAAGGCTCTACAACAGTCATGACGATCAGAGTCTCGCGAGGCAACGAACTTGTGGGAATCCAGGAACCAGTTGTATTATAAGTGGTCGCCCAGAGTACTGTATTTGATCGATCCTGAGTACTTTTGTCCTTTTTATCTTTCTTATTGGCCTTTGCTCCAGGTGCACTGTGAACTTTACTGCTACTAACTATTCGTTTCATATCCTCAGTAACGAGCACCAGACTACCGTCCTTATTTACTAACACGGCGTGATTAGGGAGCAATGATGACACGAACAATTGATAGATCTCACTTTCAAACTATCGGATAACAAAAGAGTTGAAAGAGCAAATTTAGTTTGCTGGGATTAGTAACTATGTAATAAAGGCCATTGGTTGATGAAGAGTGAAAAAAAAAAAAAAAAAAAAAAATTATAAAAAAAACTACATTTTCATACCTTATGGACCGTCTTACGAGCACTCGAAGGCTTTCTAACGCTTTCTATGACATCGTTGTTGTTGAGGATTGAGGGATCTGAAGCAGTTGAGGTTTCATCCACCCACCTCCAAACGACTTTGCCTTCCTCCTTTGTGGGGACATCTGTGCCCTTGGCAATGACAGCATAGACATGACGAAGCTTTCCGGATTTTTGGATTGTTTGAGCCGATCCTGTAAATGAGTATCCAGGCGCTGCGGAATAAGAGAAAACACATTTCTGATCCGCTGTCTATAAAATCAGTCCACCAAATTCATATCCAAGTCAGTTGATGATCTTTTTTTTTGTTTCTCTTTTACAATTTGTAGATCAGCTTCTAGTCGATTTTCCGTTTATTTCTACAGATCCCAAGCCTGAAAAGCAGAGGAAACATACATTGAAGAGCTGAACACCTTCGCCCTGCACGGCCACTGCAAGCAAACAGGAGCCATGCTCCTCCTCCGATTTGACTTGTACAACGTTTCTTTGCTCAGGTGTGCAATGGACTGCCTGGAGTTTTTGGTGCCGATGTGAAGTCGAAGAGTAGCTGGTAAGCAAGAATGGATCGTCGACAGAGACAGGCATAGCGATGAATGGATTGCAGTCGAGTAATAACAATAAAAAAAAATGAAATAAAAAAATTGCAAGGATGTGTCCAGTCCAGTTCTGCCTATGGAAGTAAACTCAGAATGCAACCATGTAGAGCATTGACAAAAAAAAAAAAAAAGGCAGGTAAGCTTGTATAAACAAGTCAAGCCACAAACCCAAAGTGTGACTTCGAATGTCTAATTGTTAAATGACAGCGAATGTGGACGTCGAACCTTGTGAAATGTCACACCAATTTAATTGCATAGGCCATTGATCAATGGTAGTATCAACTGTACGTGCTGAGGAGTGAAAGACGAGTTCAAGAGAGCTGGCAATCTCTACCTTTCTTTTTATGTGCATTAGATTTGATGGCAAATATGTTGCTGACGCTAAATATTGGCGTCAAGGATAGGGGAAGTCCATCCTTAAAAGTAGTTGAAGGAAAGTGCTCTCTTATCCGAGTTCATTATTGGATCATAGACAGGTCTCTCTCACTTCAATGAATTGCCTCAGGCACATACAGTAGCACGTTCCTAAATCGATCGGATCAAATTAGATCCGATCATTTCTTCAAACAACAGACTCAGAATTTAGCCAACAATTTGACCCTTGTTCTTCGTTGCAATGTTCTCACATACAGTCTAACACAATTCAAATATCCATTACAACTAATTATCTTAACTGCAAACTACAAATTTCCAGAATATCCGGTTATACGGTCTCCAACATCGCGCGAGGGTTCTAGTTCCTAACGACTTTCACGTGATTCTTCCTTTTCTGACCTGTCTTCGTCACTACCTTTGGTTTCCCAGAGAGATCCGCTTGCCAACAGAAATTTCCGAGACTTTTACCATTAGTCTCTAGGCCAGCTTCTACCTGCTGCTGATTACTTGTTTACAAAGCGCAGGGAGTTGGCGCGGATACCGGTCAGGCAAATTTCACAAGGCTACTCATTCGCAGACATTTTTCATAAGAAGTCCCCAGGCTTTCAGTAACCAATGTCGAAGCTGCTGAGAGTGATACTGAGAACGAAGCCGTTTTTGGTGGCGTAAAAAACCACTTTTCGGTGGCGTGGGAAAGTCGTTTTTGCCACCAGCGGCGTAGCAAAATATAATGATCGCGTCGTTGCCACCGGTGGCGTAAAGGCTTTTGCCACTGTTACCGTAAGGACTTGCCACTGGTGGCGCAAAGGCCATTGCCACCAACAGCGTGGCGAAGTATATAGTCGCGTATTATTAACCCTAATGAACGCGTCGTTTGCCACCAACAGCGTGACTAAATATACGGGACTTCCTGGTATCCGTGTACAGTGGTCATCAAAAGTCATTCAATGATTTTGAATTTTTAACATTCTCATTCCTTTTCTTCATTCTCATCTAGCATGTGGCTAGTATATTTGGGGTAGTGCATTTGTTCCCCACACCTCATGATTACTTTCAAGTCTCATTCCTAATTATGACTTCATTGTGAAATAAAACCAATTTCAATTTGACCTGCCTATTGAATGACTTCTGCTGAATTTCAATGTTGATTGCAAAAAAAATTTTTTCACTTCTCTTTTTTCTACCAAGATTACCTTCAGCTATATCTTCATACACCTCTACTTACAATTAACATTCCACATCGTTTAGTATTTATTATGAGGACGCTTTCTATGGAAAAGGTACAAAATGCTCAGGCCTTACTTCGACAAGGGAAGTCTACAAGCGAAGTGGCAAGGCAACTTGGTATCTCTATTTCATCGGCAATAAGGATCAGGAGTGACGTCAAGGACAATATTCCTAAACCCAGAATGGGCAGACCCTCATTGGTTTCGCCTGCTACCAAGAGGGTTATTGCACGCGAGGTTGATACGGGGAAACTTAGATCCATTCTGGCAGTTCAAGAATACATCAGATCGAGCCATGGAGTGCATGTCAGTGTAGAGACTGCCCGACGCTATGTAAAATCAGAGGGTTTGAAAAACTATGTCCGCCCATTCAAGCCTAGGCTGACAAAAATGCAGATTGCGAAAAGGAAGAATTTTGCCCTCAACCACCTTGACTGGACTGTTGATGACTGGAAGCGAGTGATGTTCTCGGACGAAAAGCTTTTTGAAAGGCTGGGGTCCTTAGGAGGAAGAACACAATATAGGCGACCCGGCCACAGGACTTTAGAAGATCGAGATGTTAGAGAGAGATCAAGGGGAGCACATAACAAACTTATGTGGTGGGGCTGTATCACTTATCATGGTGTAGGCGATGGTTGCAGGATCCCTGTCACAGTTGATTCCTCTTTATATGTTGATGTTCTACAAGATTATGTCCTCGGCTCATGGAAGTGGTATGGCCAGGACTCTGAAAAGTTAATTTTTCAGCAGGACAATGCAAGTGTTCATACGAGTAGGATGGTTAAAGAGTTCTTAATTAAGTCACACATTACAACTTTGGAGTGGCCTCCAATTTCTCCTGACCTCAACCCTATCGAGAATGTATGGGCCTACATGGATCATCGGCTCAAGGGATATGAGAAGGTACCAAAGGATCTGGATGAACTATGGGAAAGACTACAGGATATCTGGACATCTATTCCACCTGACTTCCTTGATGAGCTATATGAAAGTATGCCACGAAGGGTAGAGGAGCTACATCGCATGAAAGGAGGTCGTACACATTACTGAAGAACAGAAAAAAAAACAAATAAAGCAAAGCTCCTGATTTTCTTCAAATGTCATTCAATGAGATGCCAATAATCGGCATTCATCTAAATTTTCAATTAGCAACAGGAGCTCATTGACATTGTTGTAGGAGTGACGTTGTCGATGGTCAAACTCGCTACGTAAGTTTCATTAGCGACAAGCAAGATCAAATTGGAGAAAGGAATGAGAATGTCGAAATTCCTAATTCACTGAATGACTTTTGATGACCACTGTATCATCGTTCATGGTGACCCACCGAGTTTTTATTTATTTATCAGTTCATCCTGACAAAAGGCAGCACTCTGAATTCTAGGCCCGTCCATCCTGTCCGCCTGCGTCTGTAGCGCGACCGGGAGACTTCCGCTTCGAAAAAAACATTTTTGATCGCCTTTATTTCATATGAATGGTAATATATTTCGCTAACACTTCCGTATAAAAGTCTTTTCTACAAAGTCATAAGTGGTACAAACGGATCAAGGGGCAAACATTAAGGCAGCTACAATGGATCTTGAACCGCGAGGCGATGTCTTATATATCAAAGCCCCATTATTCAAAACTATTGGATAACAAGCGCATTTCAAACTGTGCAGGAACCGCAAAGATATAATGTTGCAGTCGTTAAATATTCATTATTATCGATATAAATAAATATATAAATAAATAAGAATTCAAATCATATGTCAAATGAACCATGACGAATCTTGTCCTGTCAAATGAAGGTTATTTATTATTATAATTGTTTTTCTTTTTTTTTTTTTTTTTTTTTTAGTTATGATTATGTGATGCGATACAATGCAAAAAGAATATGACACGTTGTATTGTTTGCTTCAAAGACTTTGTCATCAATAGCGCTACAAACTCAATCCGCCATATCACTGTATGATTTTACTTGGCCCTTGGACCCCTAGAATGTGAAGTTATTAAAAAAAAAAAAAAAAAAAAAAAAAAAAAAAGCAGTAAGTTTCATCAAAGCTCAAACCAAATTCATGGTAAAATATAAAAAAAAAAGCAATAAACGAAAATTTACCGTTTGGGGAGAGGGAAGGTCAATGGAGCTGTCAAAATAGCACGCTTCAAGTTCTTTCCCTCTTCTGTAGATGCATTAGGGCCGAGTTGAGCTTTCTGAGTCGCTGTTAGCTCATTGACCTTACATCCCAAAGATTTCCATAATTCATTCACCCTGTTTTGCTTCAAAGATAGATCCCTTGTCATTACTGCAGCATCGATATTAAAGTTCTCAAGTGTCAATGCGAGAACAAATATCCAAGATAGCAATTTGTCCTTTGACTTTGGTGTGAACGTATGTCTAGATTAGACGTTGTATCCAATACAGAGAAATTATATTAGTCAACTGAGTGTCCATGTTTGTAGAAACAGCCATGTTTGCACATGTAATTTTTTTTTTTTTTTTTTCCTTCTTTCCACATACCTCTTCTTACTATCCTCCGGCATCTCTGTGAATCGTTCATAAAAGTTCTCCAGGATCAGACTGGGAACTTCACCTCCCATGATTCTGTTTACTGTATCAGAGTCGTCTAGTTTTTTATCAGGGATTGTCCTGAACGCCATCAAATAACTAATATACATCAATACTCGAATCTTGTGTCGATCCTTCTTGCTAACCGACATTAATGCCATGAGGGAATCATTAACATAAGAAGATCCTTGGAATGGCAAGACAGTTATTGGTTGATTTGGATTGTTCAAAATTGATTTGAAAGGAATGAGCTGATATTCTGCAGGAGTGATAAGGTCATCAAAGTTATAGATTTCCTCGACTTTTGTAGCATTGAGGTTATAAGGAGGAATGGGTCTGTCCTCGTCTGCCTCGGCCTTGATCTCCGCTGCGTAATTATAACAAAGATAGTATAAGTAGCTACTCTGTATTATTATATCATCCAAAAATTTATAAAGCAATGGTTTAAAAAAGTACCTTTAGAAGGAAGAGCACTGGTCTTGGCAGCGATCGTGTCGCGAAGTATACCAGCATCCTTGTCCAAAGTGCTGACATTGACTGCATTGCGTTCCACAGACTTGATCTGCTGCTTGGCTTTCTTGGTACCAAAAGCCTCCCCAAGAGCATTCTTTGCTACCAAAAACTATGTTCCAGCGCACACAATATTAAAGCGGAAAAGTTGGTTCAGCAACAAGGGAAAAAAAGTGTCAGATTCTCGACCATATACTGTTTTTTTATGATTCCAACTAAGTCCTTTTTCAAAAAAAAAAAAAAAAAAAAAAAAACATATTCTATACCTGATCCATGCTGGATGTATGAACTTTTGCGTTCTTGAGTGATTTGATAGTTCGGTTGACGGCAATGACAGGAGCATCCTTAAATGTGATCTTATCTGTTTTCTTATCACGAATTGCAATAACATATCTAATTGTGTCCGCGTTTTGACAAAAAAAAAAAAAGACAGAGCTTCGTCAACTTTTTTTTAAAAGTAAATCCAATCAATCCAGATCAATAGGAGCATTTAGAGGCGGTTTTCCCTTCTCCTTGTTCTAATATACCTGCAGAATCCATTACGAGCATTCTCTCCAAAATTCTGGCCCACAAACTCTACTTTTCCCGTGTCAGCCTCCAAAATGCGCCTCTTCTTTTTACTTTTTGGTTCCTCATGATCAGGTTTGTAGATATTAAAAGGAGTCTCCTTTGGAGGAGCTATTCCAGGAAATACAGCTACAAGTTGTCATCGAGAAAATTGAGCAAGCATAATAGGAGAGAGAAATTATTAGTAAAGACGGGGCATGCCTTCTCTTTGAAATGAATGTTTGCGTAAATGGCATGAATGCTAAGAGTATTTTTTTTTTCTTCTTTATTTACCCAAGTATGGTCCTTCAACACCAGCATCCACATCTGTTTTAGCAAACTCCAAGCTGAGCTTTGACCCTTCTGTATCTTTTCTCTTCGATGAGGACATTGTATAAAGTAATGTGTTTGAGGTGAAGGAGGACCAAGAGAGCTGATTCCTCTTTACATTTTATTCAAGTGACTGCGATCCAGAAAAAAAAATGTCGGTGTAAACAAACAAAAAAGCATGCTTGGTCTGTATTAAGCTTTAGGCTTTTACGGGTTCACTAAGAAGATCGAAACCCCCCCCCCCCGCTAGATGTATAGGATTATCAATCATCACTTAGATATTCATACATTTAGCCTTACGCATAATGATATCAAGTGAAACCCCCTTATCCTCAACTCTTCCTTGTCAAAATGAACATAAATTTAAGGATAACTTTATTGACTGAGCGGGTTTCTTGGAATACTAAAAAGAGAACAATGACCATATCCCCGAGAACTCTAAAGCAGAAGGAAATGAAGCAAGTAAACAAATAAAAAGATACTTGAAGCTTTAACAGCTCAAAGAATTTGCAAAGAAAAGAGCTCTTGAAATAACATTGACTAGGTGTAATGAATTAGGAGTATATGCTCTGTCTTTTATATATTTATTTTATTTTTTTCCTGCAACAAATATTCGATTTTAATGATTGGTATTGAAGTTGCCGCTGTTGATATTGTTATCATTGTCGCTATTATTGTTGTTGCGGGTCAGAAGATCCAGTCGTTGCTGGTGAAGAAACTGAGGATGACAACGCAAGTTCTGGCCACAATGCTGCGATTACTTCATCCAATGCGGTATACACTAATTGCTGATTTAGCCTTCGATTCTGGAAAGCTGCAAAGACACGTCTGGCACCACGTCGTGCATTTTGATGCCCCACCATATTACCAAGTAACTCGGGTAAGAAAGCCGAGAGTTTACGATTTGCTTGATCTTTTGTCAGCGCTCTTTGTTCTGGAGTCCTCGTCACTTTACTAGCCGCTGTCGCGCTTGCAGTGGTCGAGGATGACGCCGCAGAGGTAGAGGATGGTTTACCTGCACCCGTACTCGTACTTGTACCTGTTAGCAATGGGTCCACTGAGGATCTAGGCGTCATCGATGATATTCCCAAACCAGGCCCAGCAGCCTCATATTGTCCTGAAAGACTGCCAGAAGTTGAACTGGGAATAGAAGCAGGAGGCCAAATAGAATCTCGAAGCTTGATCACATAAAACGTAAGCATATTTTCTTCCACATACGCTTTGATCGTGTCTCTCAACTTGCGTTCAATTGTGCCCCCCAAGACCTGCTGCAAAATTATAACAACAGCTTGTCGCCTCAACCAGTTGTTCTTCTCTTTAAGCTCAAACAATTCAATAAATAGATCGCACAAAGGCTCTGTGAATGTAGTAACCCCTTCAGATTCAGCCACATCCTGCCGAATTTGTTGCGGCTGTTGTTGAATTTGCTGTTGGTACTGCAGTTGTTGCTGTTGCTCTCGCTGCTTGGCATGTTTTTGCTCAGATTGTTGAAGCTGAATTTGTGTCCTTTGATGTTGCGTGTGAGGATCTGGTGAGCTTAGTCTGCGACTCCTCTCCGCTTGAATCAGCGACAGGCGTCCAATAGACTGACCGCCAACCTCTGTAACCGGTGATGGTGATGACGTATCGAACGAAGACAAAGGTGATGTCATGGGTCGCTCGAGGATTTCGCTTTGGACTAGTCTAACGCTACTGGTACCGTCATGACTACCATGTCTTTTCCTCAAGCCCACAGGACCTGCCAAAGATTCAGTCTTGTCATCCCCATCCGCTTCCATTGTAAACTGCATCATTTGGTTACCCAGCTGCTTTGTAATGTTGCCTAAAACTGTCGGTGGACCACCACTAAACATATCATCCAATCCCTCAGAGACTGTTTGGTAAATATGCTTCATAAATCCTTCATTTTGCTCTGCTTCGATTGAACCATCAACACTATGACGTCCTGCGGGATCATTTACACTCGATCCAAAGCCGCTCAGAATCTGCATCCTAGAGGGATCCCGCATTGCCACTGGAGATTGTAATGGGGAGGTTGCAGAATGGAATAGTTGTTCAAAGGAAAATTGGCTGGGTGACGGCAATGTATCAGCTGCTGGCTTTGCAGCCTCTTTTTCCTGATGATCACTTTCGAAAAGGCCATGTGGTATGATGCTGGAAGACGGTGTGGCTGAGAACTGTGGCAATGCTACATTTTCCTGTGAAAGAAAAGCTCTCAACTCCTGAGATTGGCAAATCTCGACATGTTGCACTAGACATTGGAGATAACGCTCTAAACCAATACGACGACCCTCCACAAACATCCGTTGTAGTTTTAGAAAGCCACGTTTTGCAGGGAGCTCATACTGGCGAACGATCGAAGGGTATTTTTCTTTCAATCGCTGGTGTAGTGCAAAAAACTCGGAATAGCGACGAGCAATGACCCATCCAGACGCAAACGAGCCGTCCTGTGCAAGTTGATGGACTTCAATCACATACAAAGCGAATTCTTTTGACCCTTCATGGCCAACAGTGGACGATGTGATGTTGATAGTGGATCGACCCTTAAAAAAGAAAGAAAGAAAAAAAAAAAAAAAAAAAAAAAAGGAAAGAAAGAGAATACATACGGGTGAGCAGCTGCAAGAGAAAGAGCAGGAAGGGTGCTGGGAGATCAGTTTTCAAGTGGCAAAGCAAGCTAAGCCAGCTAAAGCCATCTTACCGGCATGATCATGTTTTCTTGCTCTTGCACCTCGTACAGGGTCTTTTGGTACTCCATGCTTCGAATCTCACGTCTTATATCAGATTTTGACTTTTTTAAGATCCTCAGTTCATTCTCACGGCCCTGCCGTTCCGCTTTTTGTATTAGGGTCTCCACAATAGCTTCTTGCTTCAGCACGGTTTCAATATCCTGTTCGAGCTTCTTGATCTTTGTAGAGAGAAGCAAGTCTCCAGGCGCAGCAAGATGAACATTTTCCTTTACTAAATCACCTGTAGATTCTGCCTCATTAGGCGATGTATAATCACGTTTTACGCTTCTTTGTAACGAATGCAAATCTCTAGTCGGATCCTCCAAGTTGCGTCCAATCGTTGGCTTCATCTCCTCCATTCGTTTGTCATCAATATCATCATCACTAGGAGACACGTTATCCACTGCTGGGGAGAGTCCCTGCTTATCAATCGTCGAGGAGGAGGACCCTTTTGACATTTTGAACTCAAAAACACTGCTGAGTGGAGAATAGCCTGAGTCGGACGGATCGCGAGATTTAACCCTGGTCGTCTTACCGTCCTCCAAAGTTTTCTCCTTGAACCCCTGCCTCGACGGCTTCTCAGACTTACCCCAATCCTTTAAAGCATCTGCTCTTGGGTCTATAGGGTCCAGGAGCTCCGAGCCCACGCCTCCTTTCCTCTTCAAATCACTGACGGATGAGTCCTCTTGTTGTGCATCCTGGTTTTCCATAATTGATGTTAAAGCTGCCTCTACTGCAACAATGACATCCTCTTTGTCGGGCCGCTTCTTTGATATTCCTGGTATCGACAATCCTTCATGGTTATCTACTTCAAGGTCTTCCTCATCTTCTTCTTGTCCTTGTAACTCCATTAATAAGGAACTCCGCAGAACTGGAGTACTCTCTCCGGCGGACGATGGTCTTTCGTACCGCTCTGTATCTGTCAAGTCCAAAGAGTTCTCACGGCCATGACCAACTGTAGATGGGCTTTTTCGATAAGATGACGGGATTATTACTTGGGTTCCGTGGCTTCCACTGACAGGTAGCTCAGGATTCGAAATCGAACTAAGAGATCGAGTGCGAGCGAGAGGAGGTCTCTTGGCTTCTAAAGATGATGAAGGGATATCAAGGCTTTGTTTTGGTTTCGACCCCGATGGTTGTTGAGCTGAATGGGTTGAGTCGATCGAGACGGGGGATCCAGATTTAGATCGTGTATGCGCGGACAATAGAAATGATGGTCGGAAGTTGGAGATAGAAGTCTCTGTACGCTTTAAAGAGTCCTGCTGCTGCTGCTCACGATCTTTTTCTCGTTCTCGATCCTGCTCTCTCTCCTTGTCACGACCGAGTCCAAAAATATCCAGGAAAGACCCTGCACTCGATCTTTTTGTATTCTCTGGCGTTTCTTTCCGTTTGTCAGACGAGCTCAGCCCAATAGCTGAAAACAATGTTGGCCCTGCATTTGGTGGACGTTGGTACGAGGATGTTCTGCGATGCCCTCGTGCCTCCTTGCCCTTATGACTTGCCTCAGCGAGCGAATTTTGGTAGGATGTCAGGAATTTGAAATATAGATCAGATTTGACGAACTCAGGATAGTCTCTTTGCTGCATCTGGTCAAAAACCTGTTGTTGTGCTTCCAATAGTTTTTGGCGCACATTAGAAACTCGAGCATCCTCATTTTTCTTGATCTCCAATTCTGAACTGGAAGAACTCTTGTCTATTGAGCTGTGGATGTTGCTGTTTTCAGTCATGGAGAATTCACGTAAAACATCTACAAGGCTATGATCAATGACGACGGGTCTCGGTGCGGATTCTGAAAAATAAGTGTCGTAGATCATCCTGACATCATCCCGCAACGTATCCGTGCCTTCGACTATAGTGGAGATAGAGGCCTTACGATTACTTCTGATACTTCCAGCTATATTGCTAGGTGGTTTGGGAGTACTATCCGTACTTGTAGACGATGGCGTCAGAGCTCCAAGTGATTTTTGATCTTGTTTCCTGGAGTGTGTAGAAGAGGGTGTATTCAATGCTGATCTATTTCTTGAAGTGGGTTCGCCTACACCGACAAACGCTGTGGAGCCTGCCTCTCCTTTTTGTTCCGTACTAATTTTAATATTGAGAGTGTCGATCAACAGCCAGAACTGAAGCTCGTTCATGTTATCTTTTCGGTCTTGAAATTCCATGAAATAAGATAATCCAGAAGGATTATTAAGGATGGTGTGGAGGTCAATTAATGAAGGTGGATTCTTTGTATCCGCGTTTTCCCTTGATCGACGCTAAATTGTGGTTTGAGCATTTGCAAAGACGGTTACGCATGAAGCCTGTTAAAATGATGTTTATAAAACATAAACATCGAGTGAAGTATAAAAAAAGGAGCCGCATCTTACCTTCGAATATGCTGGTCCTCCTAGCGCTTCGATCCGCTTTTCGGCACGTTTCTTGGCAATATCCAATCTGTTGATATAGACTATAATATCTTCGACCTTGCTACCGTTGACAATCTCGTCTTTATCACATCCCGCTGTTTATCCAGATAGAAAAAGTTATAAAAGATGAAAGATATCCTGTTAGTCCATATCTCAGGATCATGATTGCTTTGTATTCCATTCTTATAACAGCGATTTCATCAACATTTATTACCAATCAAAGATTTCTTTTTCCTGATCTGAGTTATGATGGTGTTTCGAATTCTTTTGACATCCAACAGACTATCACAGCGCTTGATCATTTTCAGAAAATCTTCGAAACTATAAAGATCTGCTCCTGCTCCATAAGGGTCTACTGAATTACTACTAAGACTCTTTGAATCATAATCCATGTTGTCTGTATGTTGCTTCAATGCCTCTCGCAATTTCTTGACCATATTCCTAAGAATTAAAAAAAAAAAAAAAAAAAAAAAAAAAATAGAAAATTATGATTAACATAAATATGAGAAGTGGTCTCATTTTAATATTATAATCCAGCGAAAGAGGGTGCGTATTTAATGATCATGCTTATTATGATGATCTTACTGTTCTCTTATCGCTTTCCCGATCTAGTGCAGTATTTGAATGAAACACATACAACTATCAGAATTCATATACAGTCCATCAAGATGATGAGTACATTCCGCTCAAACAGGCGTTGGACAGAGAACTTACATAAAGATCTACGTTTTGGTTCCAATAATCCGGGTCTGACAAGAGATCCATCACAGGCCTCAACACAACACATACTAATAATTCACGAAGTAAGTGTCGTAGGATCTCGCTTTGAACTTCAGATGGCGGCAACAGTGTCGGCAAAATGGCCTGTACCACATTTCGAAGATAGGCTTCCTCGGTCGCCTGTGTTGAGATGGAGGTTGAGAGCGCTCGATGTAATTTCCCATTGCGGAACTTGCTAGCTACCATGATATCTAATTCATCAGATTCTGTTAAGGATCGTTCAAGTGAATTTCCGCGGAGTGCCATCTCTGCTTTACGGAAATCGTTAACATGAGCTGTCACTTTGGGAACTAATCTCGTTACGAGTAACTGTGTGAGATCTAGACCCATGAGACGGGTTTTGAGACGTATTAGAGCAATCCTTAACAGCTTTTCGATGCGTTGTTGAAGCATCACCTCAGGAGTGATAGAACGCATCCAACTTGCTACATAGTCACGTATGATGAGTTCAATCAATGAATCGACCGCGTCAGAAAAATCGGGCATAGTTTTAGCTATAGGTTCCCTATATTCGGCAACCTGTTCTTGTCGTCGCTGTTTTTCAATATTGCTCCAGACTACTGGACGAGTGAACTTTGCAGGACGAAGGTAATGGAACATGAGGCGCGATTCAGAACCTGGCATGGTTCTATTGGTGTGGTTGCTTTTATTCTGTTGAACATTGCTAGTAACAGAAAGAGCAGTAGCTGCATTTTGACGTTGTCGACGAGCATAAAGGATAGAGAATGCAATGTTGGAAGCAGCTAATGTCAAAAGAGAAAGGATGAAAACGATGGGTGCGGCGAGGATGAACGTTGCGATTCTGCTCAAGACCGAATTGCCAAATGTCTTTGTCAAAAGAAGGATTAGCACCAGGCCAATCGATATAGCGAACTTGAATGAAGTTAGGTGAAGTGATTGTGCAAACCAGCGGGAATTCTTGCCCGGTGTTGCTATAGGCACTGGTTCTGGTAGCATCGGATATATGAATTATAAGTTGATCTTATTGCCTGAGGCTGTGCTGTGTTGTCAGCTTGGGAAAGAAAAAGAATATGAGGAATATTAGAAAGACATAAGCACTATGTTAATAAAAGGAGGGGAAGGTGGAATCAGGAGTGACCCGAAGAATTAAGGAAGAAATAAGGGTACTAAAGATGAAGAAAGGTCATGGGTCATGGGTCATGTTAATTGTTTGCAGCAGAAAGTTGAACTGCACACCCCACACCTCGGGAGAGATTTGCTGTAATAGCATGTACATGTACAATGTCGTCAAGAAGGAAAAAAAGAGAACGTGACAGACACGAACTGTTGCACAATCCTTTGTGCTTATCCGATCTTCCATCGGGATCGCCTTCGTTTTTCATACCAAGAAAAGACTATAAACGTGATAAGATGAAAAGACAGGCAATCAGCTGGATCTTTTTATTTTATTTTATTTTATTATATTTTTTATTTTGATATTTTCCTACTGTATTGCTCCTTGTCTTTCTCTGCAATCTGTGTCGACGTCTGTGCTTTTCCTTTGTGTTGAGAACGGCAGATCGTCCTAACGAAATGCATTTTCAGTGGCTGAGTCACATGCTATTGGCACGTCTATCCGATTTCGATTGCCTTTTACCTTTCCAACTAACAAAGGAACAGAAAGATCCACTCCACTCACACAACATTAACAAAAAAAAAACATCACCATGTCCTCTGCATCCATGTCAAAGTTCCTGACCCAGGTCAAGGTCTCCATGGCCCCTTTTTCACCTTCCTCAAAAACTGCAAAGTAAATGATTTTCTCGACAACTAGATCGATCACTTTTAGTGAACAAAAAGGACTTTCCAGATTAACAATCGCTAATACGAATTCGAATGTTACCTTTTTTTTTTTTTTTTTCTGTAGGATCTTCCTCTCTAGGATCATCACCAATGATGCCCTCACTGTAAACCCCGCACTTAAAATTGTTACCGATTCTCATGGAGATGTCTCAAAGCCTGCTACAATCCAGGTTACATACAAGGATGGGAAGACCCTTAACTTGCAGGCTGGTGAAATGAAAGTCAACGACGTCTTGCGTCAAGTTGGAAAGCATGCAAGGAAACTTCAGGAGAAGGAGGATGCTGCTGCATAAATGAACAGGAAAAAAAAAAAAAAAAAAAGATGGACACATGTCGGCAACGAACCAAGAGTGAAGCAAAGTATTGCAGCCAAAGTCATCATTATAATCATTTACTTGGGAGGGAGAGCCTGGTTGCATACCAAATCCATGTACAACAATTCGCAAAAAATAAATATCTCGATCTCAATTAATTGCAAACTGTAGCTTGAGTTTATAGTGCAACAATATGAAATAGACCTTTGAAGGAAAAAAAAAAAAAAAAAAAAAAAAAAAAATCAAGCCCATATAGTGGATATAGAAGGAGGCATTGATCTGCCATGTGGCAACTTCAGGATACAAAGAGTGTGTGCAACAAGAGAGGGAAATGATGATCATATCTGATGATCGTGACCAAGCTAACCCCTATTTTTTTTTTCCTGAATGTTTAAAAAGAGTGCATGTGATGTCAGGAAGGAGACACGGTGATTCAGGGGGATTGAAGCAATAAGAAAATCTTTGTCATCCATTTGAAAAACGTACCGGAATACATGTCTATTCTTCTCTTCTTCTCTCTTTTTTTTCTTTGTTTCTGTTTCTGGTTTCTTCCTTCCTCTGTCATCCTTCACTTTTCTCTTCATATCATCTGGCCATGACAAGTTCACTTCCAGCAATCCCCAAGAACCATCCCGTCTTTTCCTCACAATCCCCGACCATGACTTTAGGTGTTATTGATGGCCTCGAAGTCGAATACAAAGAGGGTGCCATTTCGCAAATGCAGCCGCAACAGCAAGGAAAGCAACAACTTTCTTCGGGACAGCAGACCCCTCAACAACAACCACCACCACAAGGATGGACCGTGCGCGCACTTTACGATTTTGAAGGCCAACCTGAATTCTCAGAACTATCTTTTTCAGCGGGCGACGTGTTGAAAGTAATCAAAGTTGGGCTTGCGGAGGGCTGGTCCTTGGCTGAAAAGGATGGTGCCCGAGGTTTAGTTCCTGAATCATATATTACTGTAAGTCGGGGCCTTTTTTTTTTTTTGTTTATTTATTTATTTATTTTTTGCTGGCATCTGTCCCCAAGAAATGTATTACCAAATGTTGAAGAAAGTACTCATTGTCCTTACGGTTACTTTTCTCAAGTATATCCATGATTTTTCGGTCTCCCCTGATGGTCATGTCGGCGGTCACACCCAGGAAACGTCCGTTGCATCCGTTTACTCTACTTACTCGACCGCCACCGTTAATACCATTAATACCAACCCACGTAATTCTGTTTTTGGTAAACGCCAATTGAACCGCTTCTCTTGGTTCGTTACCACAGGCGCTGAAGAGTTTGTTTTAACAGGGGGAAGTGCCAATAACCAGACCAACTCGGGCAAGGCAGGGTCCACATCGACAGAAGCAGAAAGCCGTCGTCTCGGATCAACGCATGAATCCAGCCCGGGTGGCTCTATCAGGCAGTCACAGGGGCCCGGGTCGAGTGTTCGGAGTCATAGTGGAGAGAAAGTTATTGAGGATTCGGAAGATGAGGAGGAGGTGACCGAATCGGACAAGCACTATATTCAATCAGGGCCTACTTGGCAAGAAAAGGTCCCTCTGTTCAGTGTCCGAGTACACGATCCAGAGACAAGGCGCAAGATGGCGGGCATGCAGGAGTACACGCTTTTCCATGTAACCTCAACGGTAAGTGAGGGTTTTGGGAGCAAGGATTGATTGGCCATTGTGGGTCCACATTGATAATAACAAGGCATACTGATGTCCTAAATATTGAAATAGTTTAAGGAAGGAGTGTCTGTCACAGTTGAGCGTCGTTACAGCCAATTTCAATGGCTCTATGATCGTCTTGTGACCAAGTTTGGCGCGCTCATTCTGCCACCACTACCTGAAAAGCAATATGCAGGTAAGGAGAGAGCTCATAGTAACAGATCCAGCAACTTTTTTTTTTTTATTGACACACACAGATACTAACCAGTAAGCGCTGTTTCCTATGAAAATAATCAAAACAAACAATAAAGGTCGCTTTGCTGAGGAGTTTATTGAATGCAGACGACGTGCCTTGGAGAGGTTCTTGAGCCGACTTGTGCGACATCCTGTTTTGCGCTATTCCGATTTACTGACACATTTCCTAAGCTGTAATGACGATGGCGATTGGAAACGCGCAGAACGTAAGTTCGACAATGATCGAATTACTGGCACAGCTTTCTTCCAACATGTCTACCACCCTGAGTTTAATATCAATGAAGATGGGTAAGCGACTTTTTTCTCATTCTTAATTGATATTTATATGTTGTTAAATATTGGACTTTAAATACTAGTATTAATTTATCCTCTATAAAAATATATATTAATCAGGGAGCTTGATTTGGCGGAGAGCTTCAATGCACATTGCAAAGGATCCGAGAGAATCATGCCTTTCTTAATGGACGCATCAACAGCTTACAAGGAGGGGATCGAAGGTATATCAGATCAACCATGTTTATTCAGATACCTTCTCTTCTCCTCTCCCCCATATAACCTATAAAAGATGTATCTACTGACACGCAACGTCTACAGATTCTCAATTCAGGTATAAACGCCTTGGGCTTGCTCTTTTGGCCTTAGTTTCGACCACAAAGGATGGCCCAGAGAATAAAACCCTAAACGATGAGCTTGCATGGTGTTGGCGCGAAAACTGTAAAGGTAAAGGTCACCCCTGAAAAAAAAAAAAAAAAAATTAGTGCTTCCGATCTATGTTTGGTATTTCTCACAACATTCTTCTTTATATTTTGATTCTTAAGATTGTTTACGCTTAACTAAGGCAATGCAGACTACTGCAGAGGCTTTGCAGCTTATGGCAGATGTTCATCAGACACACATTTCAGAAGGATGTCAGGATTGGCTTGATACCATCAAAGAAAACGCAACTCCTTCATCTACTTTTGCCCCTGTCATCGATATGCACAACGGCACACATAAAAAACTGGTCGAGGTCTGTGAAAAGGAGCAAACAATGGAGGTAACCATTTTTTTTTTTTTTTTTTTTTAAAAAAAAAAAAAAAAAAAAAAAAAAAAAAGACTTTGCTAGTATTATCAATCTTGTTTTCTCTTTTTACTTAACTTACCTTTGTTTACTTATACCATATTAGGAAATTGTTTCGGAAACCGTGAAGTCAAGATGCGACACAGTTTTTAATATTACTCTGGCAGAAATGGATCGAGCCCATGACGAGCGTGTCCAAGATTTCCGAAAAGGCACCAAGGATTTCCTAGACTCCGAGATTGCTTATCATGAAAAGGTAAAAGGAGGGAAGAGAACGCGTTTCACTAAGATATATAAACTTGCGGAGTGAAACAGATGAATGCATATTAATATGCTTGTATTCTATGCTTCGATGTTAAAAAAAAAAAAAAAAAAAAAAGATGCTTGCCCATCTTAAGAAAGCTCGTGCGGTTTTTGATGAACCATGTTATGACGGCCTGGCTAGCATGCCACGTTTCCGTTCCAAGTATGAGAAAGAGCTGGATGATCAGCGATATCACTCACAAAAGCCTTCACGCCCTGTTTCATCTGCCTCGGTTGCCTCAGTATCTAACATGGTCGGGGGTGTAATGGATGGCATGAATGGATTAATGAAGACCAAGACACGAGCTTCAACTGGGAGAGGCCTCATGGGATTCTGGTCTTGATAAAGATGGAAAAGGAAGTGGAATTAGGATTGTACAAGCGAAATAGTTCCATTAAAGAAGTTGATTAAAATAATCTTCACAATTATTGTAACAACCATATTGAAGTTATCAAAGAACGGTACTTGCTCTACCTAAGAAATGAAAGTGAAGAAAGCACCTGTAATTCTCGGCCTAGGAAGCCGTAGCTCCGTAACTTAAACAAACTGTGAGGGGACCCAGTTGTTTAGGCAAATTATCTAGTTCTCAATATTAGGAGCCAAGAGGGAGGTGCACCGTTTCATATCCGAAATGACACTAGACTCCTGTCATCCGTCTTTCAGTGGCTAACGTTGTGGCATTTCCATCTCCGAAAGCTCCTGAGAATGTTCAGACGCGACACGCACTTTCGCACAAATCAAATAAGGCAAAAACAAAGCCACAGGCAGATTCAATACAGTTTTGCTTCGGAGATTCGAGGTTGCACAAGCATAGCGCAAGACTAAGTCCTTTTTCTCTTTTACACGAAATTACACATTCCACCACTTTCTTCCCTTTGTAACTCATTTCACTTGAATTCCTCCTCCCTTGCTTCCTTCATGTTCAGGCTTACACGATCTCTAATGCAGAATGCAGCCTCTGCTGCATCACGACCTGCAGGTAAAAAATAAAAGTACCTTTCGGCGCATAATTGTTCATTTAAAAATTAATCATTCGCCATTCATTTAACATGTATTACTTTTCTTTATTAATAAGGCCTGACTCTGCGCCCATTCGCTTCTACTACGACTATTCATATTTCAACTAACAATAAGGATAATACTCAGAGGACGAAACCGTAAGACATGCGTCTCTTTAATCCCAATTGAGGCTCAGTCTGTATCTATTTCGAGTCCTATGTATGTTTTATATGATTATTAAAAAAGAATATGCTTTTTTTTCTTTTTTCTTTTTTTCTTTTTTTTGTTACTTTAATCCAAATTAGTAAGACAGGGATTGTGCTGATGAACTTGGGAGGCCCTTCTAAAGAAGCTGAGGTGCACGATTTCTTATTGCGCTTGTTCTCGGATGGCGATTTGATTCCACTGCCTATGCAAAAGTATGCCGCGCAGTATATCGCGAGGCGCAGGACGCCTCAGATCATAGACCAATACAACAAAATTGGTGGTGGATCACCCATCCGTAAATGGACGACAGAACAAGGGACAGCCATGGAGAAACTTCTTGATAGGATTTCACCTGAAACAGGTAAGAAGATAGAAAAAATGACATCCTGTTTCTTTGGTATAGCAAAATCCAGACATGCAAAGTGACTAACACTTCATCATCAACTCTTGATTCATTGGGTAACGTTAGCCCCACATAAGCATTATATCGCATTTAGATATGCCTCTCCTTTAACTCCCGAAGCTCTAAAGGAAATGAAAGCTGATGGTATTGAGCGCGCAGTTGCATTTACTCAGTATCCTCAATATTCATGCTCAACCACCGGAAGTAGTATGAATGAATTGTACCGTCAACTCAAAGAATTCGACCCTGAAAATAAAATGAAGTGGTCCGTCATTGATCGCTGGCATTCTCACCCTGGCCTTGTTCAAGTAAGTTCCTCTGGCTTTTTTTTTTTTTTTTTTTTAAAAAAAAAAAAAAAAAAAAAAAAGCTGTTACTTCGCTATACCAAGGGGTCATAGATGTCTAACATTAACTACTATTTTTTTTAGGCTTTTGCAAATCACATCGAGGCAGGATTGGACAAGTACCCTGAAGAGACCCGGGATAAAGTTGTGATCATGTTTTCTGCCCACTCTCTGCCAATGGATACGGTCAACAAGGGTGATTCATATCCCTCCGAGGTCGCAGCGACCGTCAACGCAGTCATGGCAAAGCTCAAATACAAAAACCCATATAGACTTGTTTGGCAGTCACAAGTTGGACCCAAACCTTGGTTGGGACCGCAGACAATCAAAGCTATTTTGGGATTAGGTGAGAAAGGACATAAGGATCAACTTTTGGTCCCAATTGCTTTTACAAGTGATCATATAGAAACGCTTTTTGAATTAGATTTGGAATATGGCGAGGAGGCGCATGAGGTAAAATCAAATTAGACCGGACTATTAATTTGCAGATACTACGGAAATATATGTCTAGCAATGTAACGACAGTTCTTCTGACAGTCCTCCATGCTTTCTCTACTATACGTTCTTCTTAGGCTGGTGTGACTGGATTGAAGAGAGCAGAGTCATTGAACGCAGACCCAGTTTTTATTGAAGCGATGGCAGATATTGTGAAGAATCATTTGGAGGAGACAAAAGACAAGATCACCATCTCAAAACAATTCTCTGTACGCTGCCCTGGCTGCACAAACGAGACGTGTGGTCAAATGAGAGATTTCTTCCGTCAACAATAGAATTGAATATAAAATATAAAGTCTGTGGTGCAATATCAAATAGATATTAAAAAAAAAAAAAAAAAAACAAATGAAGTTTGTTTCCGCTGTGTTTGCGCTGATCGCGCGACTTACCAAAAATAGCAATAGAGTTTTCAATAGAGAAAAAAAAAAAAAAAAAGCTCCATCAGCTTGGTTTTGTAGCATCTTGACATCAACACAACTCGATCCGCACAACTCAACATACTACGACATTATTTAAAAAAAAGCATACCATCATGCTTAGTGCCTCATCCAAGGCCCTACGGGTCACTGGAGTTGTCTTCGCTGTAATTCTCACTCTTCTTCTGCTCAGAGTTACCTTTCGTCAGTCATCATTCGAGCGTCGTCGGTCAAGACTTCGGTAAAAGAAACAGATATACATATTTAAAAGGACAGGAAATTGCATTGAAGGAAAGACTTGACCATATATCAAAGGTTATTAATTCCACTCCCCTCTTTTCCTATTACGCTTATAATGTTATGACGCTCTCTATAAACACACAGCATTGAAGAGCCTGTCGTTGTCATATTGGTTCATCCTTCACCATCCATCAACAAGGCTACCAATTTTGAACTGAAGAGAGCTATTGCTAGGACATGGGCCAAAGATGTAGAAGATTTCGGTGCAGCAGTCTTTTTTGTTGGGGAACATGATGGTGAAACTGTGATGCGCCGACCTAGTGAGTTCCAGGGAAGAGCACAGTCTCTGTCTTCCAGGTTTGGTCCTGGTTCCTTGATGGCAAAAGAGGGTGCCGAAGCAGGAGCAGGAGCAGGGACAGGCGGAGGAGGGAATGGATACTCAAAACAGGAACCAATGCGAAAGATGCTCATCCCTTCTGTGTTGGAAAATGGACAAGCAGACAACCCTTCTGGCTTTTTAAAGGTAAGCATTTGTTGATTTTTTTTTTCTTTGGACAATTTACAATAATTAACATTGCTATTTATTGAGGATGTTTGAGAACTCTAGATTTAACTCTACCTCTTACTTCTAAAAAAAAAATTTACTTTAATTTAGGCCTATCATTTCTTGTACAACAACACCAATTGGCATGCTGGCCCCATCTTCCAAACCTATCCATTCATCCTAACGACTGATACAACTCATTATATCCATGTTGAAAATTTGGTCTCCACTTTGCTGTCTTCTCGTCCACGTCGACTCTTGACCATGAAAGACGACACTGCTTTCACAGGAGCTCTTTCGGAAGCATCAGAATGTAGTGCAGAAAATTTTGGCGATAAAGCCTCACCAACGTCGTCACAACCTTCTACTGATGAAAAGAACAGTCCTTTGGATCACTCTCATTGGACTTTATCCAGAACTCATGTGGTATCAAAACAGCTGATTGCCATATTGGGACCACATCTGCGTCAATGTATAAAAGCTGCTGCGTCCTCCACCTCATCAGCATCAACATACTCTCAGGCCGGAGAAGATTTTCAACGCTGTGTCCGAGAATGGGCATCTAATCCTTTGTTTTGGAAAGACGGTTATTGTGGTCGCTTTTCAGCTTTGCGTTATCAAGCACCTGCCCCTGATTCGACATTAAGATCTTGGGGAGCTTCTCCTTATTCTGTATCCTATGCGAGCAGGAAGGAACGCAGAAGCACCCCTCAGGAATTTGAAGAATTCTACCAGATGAAGCAACAAGAACACACATTGGTCAAGAGAGAGTCTCAACAAGACGGCGGTAGTAGCAGCAGCAGCAGTGACATCGATAGTGATCGTATGGCTGAGTCAGAAGTTGAGAGTACAAGGAGTGAAAAGAAACCAGACGGTCCTAAACTTCAGCCCAGAGGTGATAGTTTTGAGGGGAACCCACGACGATTACTTCAAGAGTTAACATCTTCCCCTTCTGGATTACAAGCGCATTGGATAGTAGCATCAGGATTAACACAACCAGAAGATTTTAAGCTTGTTTATCAAAGTCTTGCAGATCGTGAAGAGGAGGAGGAAGAGAAAGAGGAAGAGATTTTGGAAGATATTGAATATTAGGATTAGAAAGAATCGATTTGGACATTATTTAATAACATAAAGCATAAACATTAGTACTATTTTTACAACTATCTTTTTTTTTTTTTTTTTTTTTTTTCGATACCAGATAAGGACCTAAATCATTATTTCTCTCTTTCAAGTAACTTATCAACGACCCATAGAGCTGTACTCGGCTCAAACCTATGATTTGATCAACTGAGGGAAAACATGACACAAAAGTAAAGTAAGCAAGCAAGCAAGCACAACTCTCTCAAAAGCGGATTTTATTACTCCTATTCACTCATTTTTGTTTTGTAATTCTTTTTGCTCTGGAGTTATTTCAACCGAGCCCCGCTTCTGTCTCTGTCGTTGGCCTGTAAACGATATGTTCTTCAATTCTTCTTCATGGGTTGGCTGTGCCTGCGAGGTGGTTGTTGCCGTGGCAGCTTGGTCAGCAGCAGCCCTCATTCTCAGTAACTGAGCTGCCTCCAACATGTCCCGTTTGGCTTGCTCCATCTTTTGTAACATCTCTTGTCGTTCCTCATGTAACGATACAATTTCAGCAGCCATCAATTGAACCATCCTATGAGCCTCTGTCTCCGTCATGTTCAGATTTTTGCCTGCATATCGTTCCGTCATCGCCTTGGCTGCCAGCCGTGCTTTTCTAGTCAGATTAGGATCTGATAGTGAAGACGACAATAATGGAGTAGTTTCACTATTGGTTGTATCCACATCCTCACTAGTATCTTGGGCAGCAGTTTCAGCATCACCATCATCATCATGTGTGGAGCTGAAGCTAGATGCAGAGTCAGACATGTTGATGCGACTAGTGGAAGCTGGCTGAGCAGGGATTGGCACTGTCAATACCTCAGCGATCATATCAGGGTCCTGCCCAATCAATGAAGGTAAATCCAGAATATGTCGAGCCTCTTTTGATACTATACATGGGCCGTTGTTGAAGTCTTGTGGAGGAAATGAAGGAGTCGTGATGGTATTCATGGCAGAAGAGTCCAGAAGTGGCGAAGTCACTGCGGGTGTTGATGTTTGTTGAGGGGGCGATTTGATGGCTATGGTTTGTCCTTCTCTTATTGGCCTTGTACCACTATGATTTTGATGATTGTTTTTTCCTGTACATGTACCTTGATCGCTCATTTTCTTGATTTGAAGCCCCGAGTCAAAGACAGCTGTAAACATGTCGCCTGACGGAGCTGGGCTAGCACTAGTGCTTTTTGCTCTAATGGATCGTCGTACTGACCCTTTGTCGCCATTGCCATTGCCATTGCCATTAGCACTATCATTACTACTTTCTGTTGCTTTGGACTCTTTGCTTTTACTAAGGGACGCACATTCAATCAGTTCCGTGTAGAGTCGTCTAGAAAGGGGAGAAGGGGAAGCAGGTCTGGAGGAAATGGGCAATGATGATTCGAAAGTAGAACGAGAGCCTGTTGGAGGTGATAATGATGAAGGGGAACTTGCGGTGGAGTCGATCTCAAATCGTCTCCAACTGTCTTCCGAGTTTCTGAAAGCGAGACGGCTAGGACTTTCATTTCTGTTTTTTCTTTCTCCGTTGTTGTCGCTTTTGTCTATATACTCTATCCTATGATCAAGTCTATCTTGCTGCTGCTGTTGTGCCCGTAGCTGTTGCTGCTGTTGCTGCTGTTGCTGCTGTTGCTGTTGTTGCTGTTGCTGTTTTGGATCGAGATGCGACCATTCCACCGTTGAAGATGTATCTTTGTGCTTTCTACTGGGGTCTTTAGAATCACTAGGAAATGCTGGATGATAGGCAAGTACACTGGCAAATCGTTGAGGAGAAGGAGATGAGGATCGAGAGCGCAGATATGGCGAACGGCGGATTGATGAGGATGAAGGAGGAGACCCGGGTGAAGGCAAATGTGGGGAGATGGATCGAGGCAATTGAGAGAGGTTTGTTCTCACGTTGGAAAAGAGTGTTGGTTGCATATTCTATGAGAGAAATGAAATGTGTGTGTGTAGGCAGAAGTAAAGAAACTGTTTGGTTGTAGAAGAAAGAGATTTTTTTTTTTTTTGTGTTGCATTTTTTTTCTTTTTTAAACTCTAGACTAGGGTTGTATTTTAAAAATATATATGTATGATAAATGTGATAAACTGGGCACGTGCTTTAAAGTCCCATGAATGTTGCCATTGAAATCATCAACCACAATATCCTTAAACCCTGAAGTTGCTTATCGAGGCTGTGGAAACTATTGCTATTGGCACTTGACGGTGATGTTGAATCAATTCCTGTCCCTTGAGGGTTTTGTGATCCAGAGGTTGTTGTTGGTAGACTTGATGACGCGGGGAGTGTAGGACCGAACGGATTTCCACGAGTTGTGGCCTTGGCTCCAGCAGAGCATTTACCATCAGCTGTACACATGCTATTTGCTGGACAACATGTCGTTTGATTTGGACACACGACAGGATGTGTAGATGGACAAGCGCAATCAACACCTTATATATTTAAAAAGAAATCGTAAAAATGTCAATGCTCATGTAACTTTGATGTACTTTGTGCTTAGCAAAGCTCTCGTACATTCTCTTACCGTTTGCAGCACATCCATACAAGCAGCAGTTATTTCCACAACGGACTTCATTCTCCATTGGACATCCGCAATGCCCTTCTGACGTACACTTGCCGTACTTTAAGGAAGAAGAGAAAAAAAAAAAAAAAAAAAAAGGAAGAAAGAGAGAGATAAGGAAATAATATCAAGTAACCTTTAAGTGAGAAATGATAATAATGATAGTTTGACAATGTATACTCACTGGACAACAGTACTTTTCCCCACAAGTGAATGGAAATAGGGAGTCGCAACATCCTCCTACTCCTGCGGTGATGGAGCAGAGAGTACCACCAGGACAGCACTTGCCATTGCTGTGAAGAATTTTTTTTTTTTTTTTTGAGAAGCACAAACTTTGTCAGTTGAAGGTTGAAGGTTGATTGGGCGGTAAAACAGTTCAAGGTTTCAACTGGTCCTGCTGAAATTAATGCAATTTAGGCGGGAGAGAGAGAGAGAGAGAGAGAGAGAGAGAGAGAGAGAGAGAGTAAGGGGGAAGGGAGGAAAGAACTGTACGAACCTGCAACAACCGAATCCAGGTGGACAATTGCAGTCTGCTCGCTTATCAAGGGTAGAGGAACTATTAGCAAATATTGGAGCGAGAGATCGGACAGCAGATAGAGAAGGTTGATAGGATGATCCTTGTCCCAAAGTTGTAAAGGCATTGTAGCCAGAGTCCAGAAATATTTTGCCAGCAGCAGCAGCAGCAGCAGTGTTGGGTGATACTATTCTCAATGCCTCGGAAGTCGTCTCTGGTGATGCTATCCCTGTGACGAGGAATGTGCTGCTACAAGCGATTATGATCAATGCTCTTATAGATGCTGCCAGCATGTCGAAAAATGTCCTGCTGGGGAAAGGGTTGATAAAAATAAAAAAAAAATGGAGTTGGGTGACTGTTGTTAATTCGGGCGGGTTGGATCTTTGGCTGCAGGAGGGAAAGAGTGAGTATGTGAACAAGAGAATAGAGTAGCGAGAGAGACAGAGAGAGAGAGAGAGTGGAAGTTGGAAAAAGGGAATATGTCAAAAGAAAAGAAAAAAGAGGGGATCATCATGACAACCAGTTTGAATAGAGCTTTATGTGGACAGTGATCGCTAAAACATTGCTCACAATGAAATGAGAAAATCACCGACGAACTAAACTTTTGTGTGGCATGCATAGTGGGAACCTTGAAGGAGGGACAGGGGCGGATGAAACGTACATTAAAATCGTCGGGAAAAGTTTCATTGTTCAATAAGGCTAATAATAAGGTATAAATACGTTGGTAACACCAGGTCCTCTTGACACGATTCTCAGGATCGAGGGTGTGAACAATGTAGATGACAGGTTGTGAGCTCATATCAGTGTTAATCATATATATAGATATATACATATATACATGTATATATATAACATCATCTCATCAATCTTAAAGGTTATGTGTATTAAAAATAAATAACTCTACTTCAATGGGAAGCGGTCAATAGTCTCCTGGATGGCTCGCTCTCTCCATTCAAACCATGCGACAGCTTGTAATAGGCTGTCACTAAGATCATCTCTCTTCTCCACTTGATCGTACCAGTTCCTGATGTTAGAATCACACCAAACATGAAATCGACTGGGGCTTGACATTATCGATCCCTTATTACCGCTGCTACTGCCTCTGCTGCCATAATCATCCCTGTCTTTATCCTGCCCCTTGTTATGGATCCAACCATCGACAATTGCCTTCGACTGGCCTTTTTTAGTATGATAAGTTACTCTATCTTTAGCAGAACCTCCTGAAAGAATCTTTGTTCTCCAGTCTTCACCCTCGCTCCGTGATAATCCATCATTGGGTTTTTTTGCATTGGATGCTGCACCGATCCCCCACCATTTTGCTACTGTTCTGGGTGATATAGATTCTATTGAGATTTCTTTTCGATTGCCCATGTTGGATATCATCACTTCTTCTTTCCGTTGATCATTAGCTGCCAATGTAATGGAAGTAGAAGCAAGCCTTTTATGGTCTTGGATCCATGCTACCAACCAAGCATGAATCATACCCTCTACCACACCACACTTGAAGGTTGCGTCCAGAATAGCGTGCATGCCAGCAGTCCTAAATCGTTGCCGTTCCACCAGCACCACTTGAACAGAATCACTACACATGATCTTGCGCATAATTTTATCTAATCGTAAAGCAACCGCTCGATGATCAAATGGTACAGATGACGCTTTTATCTTTGGGCTCTTTTTTGAGACCTTCTTGAGATTAGCTGCTGACTTGCTCTCGGTGAGGCTGTCTGATAAGTTAGAGTCATCCAAAGATGGCTCTGTCATTAAAGATGCACCACAGGGTCCTGGTGGCAGATCCCTAGTCTCTATCTCTCTTTGTGGGTTATCCTCCAATGTCGAAAGCAAATCTTCAACAGACCACCGCAAGATTTCACCTTCTTTTGAGAGCTCCACCCACGCGAGGTTTCGAATGCCTATGTCAATGGAAACGACAGATTGAGGTAGGATCCGATGTTTGATCTGCTCTAGGAAGCACCTCTGTGGGATGGACTCAAAATTATCCTGCTGTGGTCTTTTTAAGTCAAGCTCTACTTCACCATGAACTGATGATCGTTGAGACTGGCGCTCGATCTGATGTGCGATCGAGCTCAAGTAGCTGGTCAACCGATTTACAAGGACTGGCTTTGTTCCAGAGAGCTGCTGGCCTGTGGTGGTAAGCAAAGCCATCAGATCTTTGGTTTTAAGTCTACGAGCAGAGTAGGAAGCAAACAATTAAAAAGAGAAAGATCATTATAAACATGACACAAGGCGTTGTAAAGTTTGAGGGTGGGCATTAAGACGATCTGCTCTCATGCTTTGGTTTCTTACTTTCTAAGCGACCGTTCCAATTCTGCACAACGTGGATCTTTGTCAGGTTGCACAGACAGTACTGTAGCGATGAGATCTGTTTTGTGGTGCTGTTGGTGATGCCACGCAGACTGCAGATGGAAGGCACCAGCAGCGACATGAGTCCATTGCCTGGAAGAAATTAGACTGAGCATGGACAATGGACGCCATGAAAAAGCAAATCTCTGCAACTGCATGAAGGGTAGGAAGGAATGAGAGCAATAACACAACCTATTCACCTCTTTTTTTATTTTTTTTATTTTTTTTATAATATTATTATCGGTAAATAGCTATCAGAGTAATGCTGAATGACTACATTTCGTTTCCTGCTCGTTCGCTTGGCCGCATCATTCCACTGTTCTTGGATTTCTGCTGCTGTTCTAGCTTGGGACATTCTGTCACACGATGACCCAAACCACCACAGTAACCACACCCTCCTGCCACACCCATGTCTTTGTATTTCTCGGTAGGATCCTCCAGTGCCTCTAACACTGGTGGAACTCGTTGCTTTGCCTCCTTGAGTAAATGCTTCAGATCTAGCAGGATTTGTTCCGATGAATTCATATTGATAAATGTAGTTGCAATACCAGTCTTTCCTGAACGACCAGTACGACCGATTCTATGAACATAATCCTCAATTTCTTTAGGCATATCAAACAAAATAACATGGTGGATCTCAGCGAAATCCAATCCCTTTGAGGCTACATCAGTAGCGACTAAAACGTCTTTCTGATATGACTTGAATGCGTTGATAGCGTACTCGCGCTCCTCTTGGGCTAATTGAGGTTATTTTTCGAAAAAGAAAATAAGAGTAAGTGAAGCAAATCTTGAAAAGTTCATCATAAAGCTGAACAATTAGTATAATGTTTGTAGAGTCTTACTCTTGGATCCATGGATGGATACAGCCTCGACACCCTTCAAAAGAAGATACTCCTGGATGTCATCCACATCATTCTTGTTTTCCGCGAAAATCAATACAGGGGGAGGCGTTTTTTGAAGGCACTCAAGTAGGTAGACAATTTTCGCTTCTTGCTTTACATACTCTACTTCCTGAATAACGTCCAGATTAGCAGCACCTGCACGACCTACGTTGACGACGACGGGTTTGACAAGAGCAGAGCGGGCGAAATCTTGAATCTTTTTAGGCATAGTGGCGGAGTAAAGGATAGTCTGACGTTGGTGCTTAAAATATGATAGAATCGTGCGGACCTCTTCCTCGAACCCCATATCAAGCATTCGATCTGCCTCATCCATACACATATATGTACACAGATCCAGATTGAACTTCTTTTTCGCAAGCATATCTTGAAGACGTCCTGGAGTTGCTACAACAACATGGATTCCCCTATTATATCAAGCAATAAAATAGAAAAAGTAAGTTATAAATTCCTGTCTTTTTTTTTTTTTTTTTTTTTTTTTTTTTTTTTTTCATTCAGCATAGCTTAACATATAATACAACATTAACTTACCCATGGAAGAGAGATGCCTGGTCCTGCATGTTGATACCACCCATACACAGCAAGATCTTGATCTGCGCATATCCTCCTTTATGTAACATATCCGCTAGAGCCATGAATCCTTCATATGTTTGCCTTGCCAATTCTCGCTTTTTTTACACATTAATATAAATGACAATAGTTAGCTAACCAGCTATGGCTATGCCAAACTTCAAATTCACGTAAAAAAATAAAGATAAAAATAATATATATAATAAGTAGTGGGAACTTACCGATGGGCAGACGACCATTCCAATTGGACCTTCTCCTTTGGCTAAGGGCATCTTTGTTTCCTCCTCTAATGCTCGCATCACTAATGGCAATGTAAATGATAGAGTTTTTCCAGAACCAGTGAACGCAATGCCGATCATATCTCTTCCTGATAAAGCTACAGGCAGCCCTTGCATTTGAATCGGCGTAGGCATTTTGATTCCTTTGTTCTTTAGATAGTCAAGTACTGGCTTTGGAAACTTCATGTCTCTGAAAGCTTTAATGACTGGAGGTATGTCTTCTCCTTCCGCATCGATATGATATTTTTGTCGTACGGCTGCAAGTTGTTCCTCAGTCATTTCTCGCACATGCCGGGGTGGTCTCCATGTTGTCTTAATGGGATCTCTATAAACGATTCCCTTTGAGATTTCCTCGACAGAAGCCAGCTGTTTCCGTTCCGTGACAGCAGCTAGGATCTTGGCTTCTTCTTCCATTGCCCTTTGAGCGTCTGTTTTTTGCTCCTCTGCATTGACTTGAGCCTTACGGATCTCAACAGATTGCTCAATCAAACTGACACCAGCAAGAGGACCAACATTGGGGACAGTGCCTTCATCCTCATTGTTTTCTTCATTTGCGCCGCTACTCCCTGCTCTAACACTATTATGCAGTGAAGCTCCATGTGAGTCCTGTTCACTCCCATAACCATTGCTGGAATGTATTCCAAAGTCAGCACCCTTCTTTGAAATAAGTTTGCTGTATTTTTCGGCTCTGCGTTTGGCAAGAGGCACATATGGTACATAATCGTCGCCTACATCCAGTTCGTCTTCGAAGTTGGTTTCACTAGGCTAAAAGATCATCATGGAATTTAATGGCAAGTTAATTAGATGGCTTTGATGTAGAGCAGAGAGAGAGAATGAAGAAATTGCATTGAAGCTTTGGGGATTCATATTTACCCTCTTAGTAGCGTTGTCTCTGCTTCGTTCGGTTGCCATAGTGACAATATTATAATAGAATACAAAATGGGTAAGGGTAGAAGGGTTCAAAAAACAATGTGAAGAAGCAGAGCTTGGACATGAATGCACAAACATCCATCTTGTGGAGAAGTCTAAAGTGGCTTAGTCATGATAATTGAATGGAGTGAATCCATTCGTCCGAATGCCCTTGGTGCTGTATCAATGACAGGACTTCTTTGCTTCTTTGCTTCCTTCCTTCCTCCCTCTTTCTCTTCTTTTTTTTTTATTCTTGTGTTCTTTTTCATTAAATACCTTTCTCATCACAATGCTCCTTATCAAAAATGTGCTTTTCACTTTATCTGCCCTGACTCTCTTTTCAACGTCCCGCTTCAGTCATTATGAAGGTGGTGCTGCTTTAGTCATGGCTGCACTCACGCCTCAGGAACGTATAGAAGTCGAGGCTAAAAACCCTGAAAACCCAAACTACTGTCCTGCCTGTCTCCAAAAAGCCATGAGCAATCATTTCCCACATGCCTGTCCCAAGGGTATTGAGCCTATGAATGCACATAGTCGTCCCGAAGGTCCTACTGCTCAAGAGCAACGTTGCGTCTGTGTGGCGTTCAGAGATCTGTACTGGATGAAGCTTGATTGTCAACGGGAATGTGCGTTTGTGAATGATCCAGAAGCCATGACTCACTTCCTTCCATCGGACCAGATCCCAGGTTGCGACCAGTGGATTGATTTCGAAACAGGGGAAGAAAAGGATGTTGAAGGATTTGATAAAAGAGACCCTGCTCATGTTCCTGAAAAGTTTGAAGCTGTTGCTGCAGATGAAACGCCCGACGCACAGGCCAACACAGAGGAAGAGAAAGGAAAAGGAAATGAAGCTAATAATCAGGGAAACACACCAGTCGTTGAGCGAACAAAAGAAGAATTGTAGATCATTGTTTTTAAAAAAAGATAAAATTGCAGATCATGTTAAATAAACGATAGATTTTTTTATTTTTATTTTAATGCAGCTGTTGGAATGTGCCTTCCCTCCCCCGCGAATTGCGGGGGATCTTCAGCGGACAAGAGCGGAGATCAACTTCCCCGCGAAGTGGAGCTTTGAACAGAGGGATGCACCCCAAGAAGAATCCATCAAAAAGACGAAAATGAGAATATATATAAAGGAGGATGAGCATCAAGTCGATTCAGGTCCATCTGTTTTCTCATTGCAAACTCATTCCACACACACACACACACACACCAACTCTCCAACAGTAAGAACAAAAAAAAAAAAAAAACTTTGTAATTTGTATAACCAACCATGCCTATCCCATTGGACCCATTTTCATTCCGTCAGGTAAAGCAATTAAACACTTTTTGATTTTTGTCTTTTTTGTACTCTGTACTTTTTTCAAGTATGCCTCTGGGCTGAACATCTCTCTGTTTTTCCTCCTTGTCGCTCTAGGCTAGAGCCGACGAACTCGATATATTTATTGACATCTTGGAGCGAGCAGCTCAATGGATGGAGGCCAATTGTCTCAACCAATGGATCCCTGGATCCTTTGTTGCTCCTAAAACTCGTGCTCATATCAAGCATACTATCTCTCTTGGTAATGCCTACTTCATCATCAAGACTGAGTCCGATCCACTTAACGCTGACACTTCAGATGGGACAGTCCCTGAGAGTGCAGCCGAAAAAGAAACTATTATCGGCACATTTACTTTGAATTATACAGATCCGTTTGATGAGATGCTCTGGAAGGACATTGTAGATGATTGGTCAGATGCTGTTTATATTCATCGTCTTGTGGTCGAACGAGAGTACAAGGGCTATGGTTTGGGCCCAAGAGCCTTAATGTTTGCAGAACAAGAAGGTCTGAAGCGAGGCAAACATTATCTTCGGTTGGATTGTATGGCGGATAACAAGCTTCTAAAGAAATATTACCGCGAAAAAGCAATGTTCAAAGAGTTTGAAGATTATCCAGGAGAGAGACTCTTTGGCCGATTTGAGAGACCTATCACTGCAGTATCACCTTAAACCGTTACGTTCGGACTAGATCGCCCTTGTAGATCCTGGAGTATTAAAATATGATCACCATTTCCATTGTAAACCTCTCTCTTTCTTCTTTATTTATCATGTTCTTGTTAATTATCCTTCAAATCTACCAACTTTAATAAATAAGTTAGCATTGACCATTAACCAAAAAAAATAAAAAATAAAAAATAAGTAAATAAATAAAAAGTCAGCTCATTCGGATAATGTTACAAGGACAATGGCAATAAGACGAAAAGACATTTCACGTAATGTAATGTCCTATGTGGCCCAATAAACAGTTCATTTATCAGTGGTTGCTTTGCTCATGTCTTTCTTCGGCCGATTTTGGTTTTTATTGCAGAATATTATGGCTATCATGCAACAAAAGCAGATAATTCTCTGCTTACCTTTTTTTTTTTTTTTTTTTTTTTTTTTTTTTCCTTCCGAGTCTCCGTCGTCTAGGAAGCAGGCCTGGGACTATCACGTTGAGTATCAATTGCTTCTTCTTTTTAATGTGTGCACTTACATTATTGCCAAAAGGGTTGATGTAGTAGGGACTTGTCTTCTCTTTGGATTGTGAAGCCAGGAGGAACTTTCAAGAGATCAGATTCATAATAATGAACAATAGCCTTTTTTATACAAAAAGGGAACAAAGAACTAGAGACCACCAAGACCAACAGCTCCTTCCATACTTGCACAATTATCTGAGGAAGGTAGTGTAGTCAATGGGGGATATTTGGCTCATCTTCGTTCATCTCCTTCCCCATGCAAATAATATTTGCCATTCATTATTCGTTCCTCCCTCATTGGCCTTTAGTCCGATATTTTGTTCATCCAGTCCTGGACATATAAAGCGAACTCACCAAAATATAGTTCACTGTTTTCTATGACTAGCAACGGATCTTGTTATAAGAAATACCCTTGCTCTCACTGAAGTGTATAGATCGCAAGTGAAAGAAATTAAGCTACAATAACTATTCTTATCACTTATGCTTCGCTACGAAATGTCCTCTTTTTCATCAATGGTTCCGAGACTCTCTGGTATTTAGTAAGACGAGCGTTTGTACAGTACCCGACAGCAATATTTTCATGAAGCTATTCCTTGGTGTTGTCCCGCACTCAACAGTCTAAGAAGACGACTACTCGTCAACAACAAGTTACTATAATGTGTCAAACATTACTTCAGCCTTCTGTGAGTTTGTTCACTCATCTATACCTCTGGATCATTCGGATGATACTTGGAAGCATAACAGAAAAGCCGGAAAAAAAAAAAGAAAAAAAGTAGAGATTACATTCACCTCCATATATTGAATACAGATACTTCAACATTCAACATTACATGCTTAGACTGTTTGAATTTTTAATTTGCAAAGTCCCCTTGCTTTTTATCGATTTTATTAAATCAGCAATCGACAGTATCTACGCTTCAAGATTTGCTCCGCGTCTTCGAATTTCATCACCATACGTTAAAACCGCACTATAATGAACTGTCTCGACTACATCGAAGCGCCAACAAAAGCCCTTATTGAATAATTGAGGTAGAAAGGAAAAGACAAAGAAAAAAAAAGAAAAAGAAAAAAAAGAAAGAAGGGAAAGAGAGAAAGAGAGAAAGAGGAAGAGAGAGAAAGAAAGAAAGAAAGAGAAAGAAAGAAAGGAAAAAAAAAAAAAAAAGGGGGGGGGGGGGGGAAAAAAAAAGAAGAAGAAGAGGAAGAAAGAAAGAAGAAGAAAGAGAAAGATAGAAAGAAAGGAGAAGAAAGAAAAAGAGAGAAAGAAAGAAAACGAGAAAAGAAAGACCTGTTCTTTCGAACAAGATAAAGCAAGGGGACCTAATCTCAACTGATCGTAGCAACAACACTACATACTCTACAGCCTACAATAACCCGGAACAAACAGGCATTGCTATTTTTTTTTTTTTTTTGGTAACCACGAAAGGTTTGGAAAGGGTGCAATGTCACCCATGTAAGCCCTTTGTAACCCGGTCGGATTGGCTATCAAGACTCCTCCCAATCCTGCCCGAAACGCAAAAGGGCCAAAAATCGACGTATCCTTGCTCCATCCATTGCTAGTAGATGTTTGAAAATAATAAGAATAATAGTGCATAAGCCAAACATGAAGTCAAACCATGGCATTTTTTTAATAGACACCCATCGAGACATTCATACTCACATTATCATGGCATCAAGGTGGGCTGGAGGAAGAGGCATCATTCCTCGACGTCGATGGGCAACTCATCGTCCTCGATTGACGCTGTGACATGCCCGAGTGCGGACTGATTACATCCTCATCGGTGGATGTAACCGCCTGTCCTTGCGCTTGTGGAAGTCCTGAGGCCGTCAATGGATTTCGTTGCCAAAGTTTTGTCAGAAAATGCATTCGGGGTTTTTTTTATACCCCCCCTCCATTCGCAACGAAGCAAGTCATGGTGGCAATGTTTACATACTACGCCAATTGACCCCTTGATTGGTCAGGCGTAAAAATTTAATATTATTATTTATTACAGATTTATATCAGGTATTTGTTTGCACATGTATTAATTATTAACGGTATTCGACTCATGTGGAAGAAGTGGCTTCGTGATATGTGGGCGGCATTGTTGCAAGCTCTATGTCAGATCGCTCTAATGATGATGGCATTGTGCCTTGTGCATTATAGCTAGGAGGCATATCGCAAGCATCCTCCCCATGGAGTGTACGATGGACCCCGACTGGATGTGACAACGCTGTTGATGGTGGACTTTGTCCTTGTTCCTCTCTTGAACCTGTGCCTCGACGTTTTCTTCGATAAATTTTTTTGGCCATCACTCCAAGTAAGAGCAAAACCACAGCACCACATGTGAGCGAGATGATCAGGGCGAGTTGATGAGCGTCTGGTTTCTTCCCTTCAAATGACTGGGGCACCAAACGAACGTATTCATCGTCTGTGTATACGTCTTTAAATTGTTCTAGATGATAACCCCAGTTACTATCGGAAAGGTTCAAGGCGTATCCTTGATCCTTAAATGAATACATATAGATCCATGATGCTCTCTTGGCTGCCGTAGTTGTCGAGTTGTTGTTTGGTCTACTCTCTTGTGATTTCTGTGGGACAGGGATAAATTGAAACATGGGTTTAAAATTAGGCAAATGCCCTCCTAGAAACGGTATGCTCCCCAGGTACTGCATAGATGTCCCATCGAAGATATATATCCTGAGTAAGGTAGACAGTAAGTCCTTGAGGTAATGAGGGTAGAAGTCAGTAACGAAGAAATACCATGGAATGGAAAAAAAAAAAAAAAAAAAAAAAACGGAACGCAATTCATTTTTAGACGTCAGTTTCTTTTTCTTTTTTTTTTTTTCTTTTTTTTCTTACTTCACAAATAAAGTAGAATGAGCCCTGATATGCATGCATTGTTGTCCCAAGGTCTGTGATTGCACACTCTTGACCGATATTGGTTTTAATGATCTGAGCTGGTGGTGGATCTGGAAAGATGTTGACGGGATCAAGAGGCATAGCTGCTAATGTAACCTGGCGATCCTCAATGCTATAAAAGGTCGCGTAAAGGGTGTTGTTAACATAGCTGACTGCTATTGGATCTCCAATATTTAATGGGCGCTAAAACAGGAAAAAAAAAAAAAAAAAAAAAAACATGTTAGGTTTTACCAAAGTACTAGAAGGAATAGATCATTGAACAGATACATGTATGTTGTTATTTTTTACCATCGACCAATTGACCTGTGATTTGAACGGGAAGCGTGCCTTCATGTAATATGTGAAAACGATCGTGCCGAGGGTACCATTAGGACGAATTTTAAGCCAATCGAGGTTCCAAGCACTTGGACTTTCATGTTGAATTGGAAGTATCAAACTACGGCCTTGAAAAAGCTCATCTTGGGGGACAAGTAGCCGTTGCTCAGGCACGGCAAAGTCCGCAAACCCAGTAGAATCGAGGTATAATTCAGTATTGAACTGATATATAGGGGTGTCATTCGTCAAGACAGTTTGAGCAGACAACAAGAACTTGTAGCTCCAAGGGTTTAAGGAACATGTATAACGAAACTTGAAGCTGAGCTCATAAAGAGCTTCTGAAAGGTAGCTTTTGGTCTTGCTGATTACAGTCCAGTTCAGACCTTCTAAAGAAGTTGGATATGGATTTGACCGAAGGATTAGGAGGTCTATATTTTGCTGTGTCTGAATCTGGCCATTGGCCCGAGGCGCATAGAGATTCCGCCCGAAGGTCGCTGCGTATATGTGTGCTTCATCTGAAGTAAAGCATACAGGTGCAAGTTGAACCATCTGGATGGAGGAATGAGAAGGTAAAGAAAAAGAAGTTAAATAATAAAAGGCAGAGGCATATCAACTTTTTTAAAAAAAACCTCCCAAAAAGAAAAGTCGATGAATACCAAAAAAAAAAAAAAAAAAAAAAAAAAAAAAAGACAGCCCACATTGGGCTCACAGAGACACAGAGTGTGTTTGTGGAAAGTAAAGCAAATGGTGATCAACAGACATGTAAATCTCGATAAAGTGCTGCTATTACTATTAAAATTTGAACTCGAAAAAAAAAAAATCCATGTCGATCATTTCTATCAGACTCGTAGAAAAAGTTGTTGTAGATAGAGTGGATGGCATAGTGGCAATAAAGACGCACAACCAAGGAAACGAAAAAGCACTTCCTTACATCAATTTCTGTGTTCTCGTCCAAATTTAGTATAAGAGACCCTTAGTGTAGTAGATCAGATTGTTGCTGTCTTCCATGCCTAGAGTAAATCGGAAAAGGGAAAATAGTGATAGCGATGTGAACTAACGCAGCCCTCACTGAACATTGGAAATCTTGTTTTTTAAGCTTATAAGCCTTTTATAATCAAAAAAATGCTGTACATGAGCAATATCATGGATGCTATTCTCATTGATTATTTCCACCCCCTTTTATCTATTCATCTCATCAAAAAAAAAAAAAAAAAAAAAAAAAAAGGAAGCACAATCGCAATATGCTCGCTCGAGTGTCACTAAGCTGTGCCTTTCACAGCAGTAGCCTAATATAAAATGATTGGCCAATATTAAGTTTGATTGTATGTGTCAGCACCTTGTTAACGCAGAGAGCATCGCATTGACAAAACGTTTTCTCTGCCAGAGCAATTAAGTGTAGCGACAAATATGTCCATATCTTTTGCTTATAGATATTGAACTGCGACCAATTGAAGCTAAATATCAGAGATGGGAGCGGAATCTCAATGGGGTTCTCCACTCATCGAGAACGGGACGTTCCTTTTAATTTATCCAGATATTTAAACTCACAGCCAATTTATTTACTAAAGAAGATAATGCACCACACAGCATCGTTTATTATTTATTTTTTATTGTGGCTAAGCCATCTCATCAGCTCAGGGATCATTGTTTTGACAATAGATAAAGATATTTATACTGTATACGAAAAGAGGTTATTAAAGTCTAATTAATGACCCAAGCAAACATCGAAGTTTCCTTCACATTGCAATTAACACAAAGGATATATAATTTCACACGCAACATCTGACCAAGCATTTTATTATGATAAATTGAAAATATGTGAAGAGAATATGAATGCGATAGTAAATACAAATGGATTAAAATGAAGAAAAAAAATAATATGCAAGGAATATAAAAATGGTGGGACATGTACAGGCTTGTGCTTTTTTTTTTTTTTTTTTTTTTTTAAGCCCAAAGTGCTAAAATTGCCATTGCACTGGCACCCAACCAGACAGCAAGTAGGTAACAAGCCTTGTTGTGCTTAGATTCGGCACGGAACTTTTCAGAGTAGAGGATATCGCCTCCTAAGAGTGTCACAAAGGCGGTGTATAACAGGACACCACATGCGATCGAGTCAAAGACACCCATCACGATCAGATTATCGACACTGCTGGCTTTGTAACCAGAGTGAATGCCCATTCCGATAGCTATACCCAGAGGAGTCACAAGTGCAAACGCCAAGACCAAAAGCCCGGGGATCAACTTTTTATGGAAGGAGAGTTCAGCAATACGAGAGCCAAGGGCGATACCCTCAAAAAACTGATGAAAACAAATAGCGATTGTCATGGCCCAGAATTCGGATCCAGCAAGGACACCAAGAGCAATACCAATAAAGACTGAGTGGAGAGCAATGCCGAGTTCAAGCATATAAGTCGAGACCTTAGTGGAGACACCAGGACCACATTGCAGAAGAGTTAATCCATGGGAATGTGTGCAATGTTCATCAGCTCTGTTAACGCTGGTTGTAAGGGTATTATGATCATCATGTGTATGGTGTCCAGCATCGGCAGCCTTGTGGTCATGTGACTCATGTCCAGACTCCAGAGCTGAGTCCGACCCAGTTGTCTTGCTATGGGCTTCAACGCCAATGGTCAGTGTGGATGCCAGGAATTCAATGACGAGCATGGAAAGACCAGAGATCATCATGATCAAGGGAGCATAGCCTGGATAATCCTCATTCCATGCCTTGGAAAGACAAGGATGAGTCAAAGCAAAGAGAGCCTCGGGCATGATGTGAATGAATGCGACTGAGAGAACCACACCAGCACCAAAGTACTTGCCAACTTGGACTGCAAAGCGGGTCCGTGCATTATCACGAAGCATCATGGGAATAACACATCCCGAACCAGCGACGACGATGAGAACAATGAGGGCAACAATATGGTGCCAAATAACATATTCGCCATGGTCATGATCGTGGGGATCACACGTGCTATTGTGATTAAATGATTAGAAAATGCGATGAAATTGATTAGAATGTCTTATGCAATCGATAAAAAAAAAAAAAAAAAAAAAAAAAAATCAAGAGCATCAAAGCGCAAATCTTGAGAAGGTAGGGAAGGCAATGTGCTAATAAACTTACCGAGCTGGTCCGTGAGAGTGTCCGGCTTCGTCCTTGTGATCTGCCAATTCGTCTGATGAGTGGTCATGATCATGATCATCATGGCTGTGGTCGTGGTCATGATCATCACCATGAGTTGGGGCAGCAGTAGGTGCAACGATAGCACCGGAAGATGTGGGATGATCGTGATCGTGGTCATGGTCACCATGGGGAGGTGTTGTGGCTATGGGCCCCTCCACAACAGTAGTGGTGGGGTGATCATGATCGTGATCGTGGTCATCACCAGCTCTTTTTTTCAGGAGATTTGCATCCACAGCGAATGCATCAAAAGAGTGTGCGGTATTATGAGAGATAACAATACTATTGTCTGCAGATGATGTGATGGGGTTGTTGGCAAGGAATAAGAGTGCAGCACCAATAACTGTGGCCTTGCAGGAGAGTGAAAGTCTCATTATGTGGTATCAAATGTTGAAGAGAGGAGTTTAGTGAATGGAAGAGAGGGAGATGAGCGGGGGGGGGGGGTGAAGGAGGATCTATCTGTTCCCAAGAGGATGAAGCAGTGCAAAGATCAAGCTACTGCAGGACGAAGTATGGAGAAGATTGGGCAGACAAAAAGGAGCGCAATTAGGGAGATGAAAAAAGGGTACCCCCCTGGACATTATACGAGGTATTTATGTGTTTTTTTTTTTCTTGTTGTTTTGTTTTCAATAGGAGGGGGAAAACGTGTGAACAAACGGAGATTGAGCGATGACCATTAGGGTACACGCAATCGTTTCAGAGTACCTCCCTGGCTATCAAAATTTTCCTTGATCCACTTTTCACAACAAATTTTCTGAACTCCTTTTCCACAATCCACAAACAATCCACAAACAATCCTGCAATTCAATTCAATTTCTTACAAATAAAAGAGTTTCATATACAACTAAGTAAGCTAAATAGATATATATGTACTTTTCATTCATTCATTCATTCATTCATTCATTGTCTACAAACTACAAATTTTTTACACACGCTCATCACAAAACAATATATCCAATTATATATATATAAATGTATATAAATGTATATAATATACACATCTTCATTATTTACTCAATTCAAACAAAGTAGGATGAGAAAAACAGGACAACATCGATGCATGTTCATATAAGCATAAATAAGCATCTCTTTTTTCTTTTTTCTTTTCCTTCTTTCTATTCATCAATCAGTCAACTAATCAAACTTGTTCAATTAGAAAGCAGTTTGTGTTTTATCCCCTCCTCAACTCCCTTTTGTTAGCATAAGGATCCAATCGTATGCGACAAGACAACATCTGGAGTATGTACATACTACATATTGTTTGGTCTCTAAAGATCCGTCATAGAGAGCTGTCGAGTTTTACTTCCATCAAGAGAGAGCAACTTTTACTTGGATCAAGCCAGAGAGAATTAGTGATCTATTCATTGAGACATAATTTTTTCAATATTACACAAGCATAAAGTGATAGCCAATGAAGCCTTTGCATCATTTAAACATACGCCTCGACGCATTTAGTGTGTAGGGCAAGCTGCTTTATCAAAGTTGAAAGTGCCAGTTGAAAGTGGCTCTACTTTGCTCTACTTGGCTCTACTTGTGAAACTGAAAAAGATCGCATCGTGCTCCTTTGGACATCTAGTTGTGTTTACATTCCGAAAAACATCCTTTGCCAAAAACCACAACAAGGGGTGGGGGTGAGCACTATCCATGTTTGGAAATCATTTTATCCCTCCTAGATGACCTACAAAAGATTTGCTTCTCTTCGGTCGAGTCTCCAAGAAACAAGGCATGACTGCTCTTTCGACACTATTTTATTCTTAATAGGCATTTCGCTCTCATCCTCTTCATTACTTCATTTCATTTTCATCACTCTCATTCAAACCCTTAGATGACTTTCATCAGTAGTCTGTCTTTCTAAGGGAGAGGATTCTTACTCTTGGACTCTTGCTTCTATTTTATTTTATTTTATTTTCTTTATCTTTGTGTTTCTTTATTTCTTTATTTCTTTATTTCTTTATTTATTTTATTTTTTTCTTTTATTCAAGCCTTATACCATCCATTAAATGCACTTTCTTGTAAAGATCGCAGTCGCAGCTCTTGAAAGGGTTTTCTACGACGACGCTTGTTTCATTTGACCATTGGACAATGCGAGGGCTTTATCATTGTTTGATCAAGAGTCACTGGACATTTGTAACTCATGTTGAGAGGTCAAAGTGGTGAGCGTAACGCAAACAGACTGAGAGCGGAGTAGCAAGATCATAGTTGAGTCCAAAGAGGTACCCTTTGTCAAACGCGTCACCTACGGTTACTAGCTTTTTTTTTTTTTTTTTTTTTTTAAAAAAAAAAAACAGCAAAGAATGCTCGACTGTTGCAGTCCAAGCTTAAGGAAAATCTTTGCTTCACCAAAAGAACAGTTAGGAGCCATGCCCAAAACCACATTACTGCGTGTTTTCTTTCGTCATTATGCATTCAAAAGAGCTGGGGTCTCTCTTCCTTGTATAAAGAAGAGCTGAGGAAGAGAAAACGAAAGAAGAGAAAAAAGGCCATTCTCCTTGAAATACTTCTACAACACCACCGACAATTTTTTTTTTAGCATTTTTGCATTTGCACGTGCATATGCTTTGTAAGAGCGTCAGAGCCAAACCCAAAGGGATGAATGCACAGACGATTTTCCCGCGCTGCAAATTGTCTACTTTGTGTGTGGGAAACAAACACCATTAATGTAACAGCACCAAGGAACAATTTAGACAAACAATGGAGACACCACACCTCTTTATGGACACCATGATAACACCACACAGTCACGAGCAATAAAACTTTTTTTTTTTTTTTTTTTTTTTTTATCTTCCTTACTTACACGAGATGTTGGACATCAATTCTCTCTTTTTTTTTTTTTTTTGTTTCCATTCTTCCTTCATCCTCATTCTCGCTTGTCGTTTCTACTCTTTTTATTATTTTCCTTTCCTTTTCTTTCTTTCTTTCTTTCTTTCATCAACCCGAATGTATACACTTTTCATTGATCCAGTCCAGGTAAAGAGGAATGAAAGTTACTCCAAAACACCAATGCTTGAATTCATTCTCGACATCTGTAAACAAATAAAAATAAAAATAAAAATTCGTGCTAACAATTTTCCTTTTAGTCTATTTTCTACTAGTACGTCTTATCTACACCCATTATGTATGAGGATCCTATTTCACACTTCACAAATGCTCAATACCAACAACACCTCACCAATTACAACAGGAGTGGCGTTGTAAGCAGTCCCGATGGCATCATCAGCAATGCTCTCAGTGGTAATGGCCCATCCAACCATTTTTTGGGTGGTAATGACAATGGTAGCGGCAATGGCTTCGGTAATCATAGTCACAATGGTACTGGCGATAGAATAGAACAGTCAGAACCCGACCAGGAGCTGTCAAGACTTCATCAACATCAGCTCTTAATTCAGCTCCGCCTGGAAGTCAACTCACTTAAAACACAAATTCAGCAGTTGGAGCTGTTGAAACAACAATTGATTCACCAGCGACAGATGATGCAGCCTGCGGAGTATGAGCAACTCGCAGAACAATTTTCGAGAACAACAGCATCGTTACTCAGAGTTGGTCATCCAAGTCATTTCGGTGATGGTGGTAGCGGCACTAACAGTGGGTACCAAGAATTCAGTACAGATGGCATTAGCGCATTTGGAAGAGGAAATGAAGGAGGAGCCGGCCCAGGAGAAAATTACATGGGTATGCATATGATGGAAAGATTACAGGAAAAACTAAGAGGTATGATGATCCAACAACATCAACAGCATTACGCACAGAAGCGAAAGCAACTACAGCTACAACAACAACAACAACAACAACAACTACAGCAGCAACAGCGGTCATCACCGCCTTCGCCAACAGGAACAAGTCATGAGATAGGGATGGATGTAGATTCAAGACGTAGTGGACACAATACGCCTACGAGAAGAGATCCCGTTAGGATGGAACAAATTAGTTTAGAAGCAGACTTGCGCGATCTTGAGAGGCGCATGCGGTCAATACAGCTACTCCATTGATATGTTTTACAATTTAATAATAACAGTAATGATATGTCATATCTTAAAAAAAAAAAAAAAAAAAAAAAAAAAACGAGACAAGAAGTGTGCAGACAAATGAACACTGCAATTTACAACTATATAAAAAGTAATCACATGCCTTCACTTTTTTTTTTTTTTTTTTTTTTTTTTTTCGCCGCCATTAATATATGACCGACATAGAGGAAGAAGGATAGGGTTCTGCTTGAATCTTGTCCATGTCCATGTTCATGTCAGAATTGGTAGTGAGAGCGCGTCCAGAATCGTTTTTCTCAACGCAATCAGCCTCCGTTCTCGCCATTGTCAACATTCTTCTCCTGCTTCTTCTCGCCATTGCTGAGAGGTATGGATCAAGATAAAGAAGTGAAAAAACAGATTAAGCCTTTAAAAATGGACTTTTGGTAGGGGCCTTAAATAATAGGCTTGGGCTTAGCACTATGCTACTCATGCGATGGATGCTGTAGCGTATTGGCTAGACGTCATAATCGCCTTCAGGTCCGTTTCTCATTATTGCTCACCCACCCAAACTTCTTATGGGTCTTAGACGCAGATTTGACCTTGAAGAGCGCGAATGGGAATAGAATAAGAATTAAGATTGAAGGTGAATGGAGAAGCGGCGTAGCAGATAAAAAAAATAGTAGAAAAAAACGCGAACGCGTAGTTATTGGTAGAATTTTTATCCCGCTACTATTCAATTTAATATAATAATTGAATTCATTCAAAAATAAATAAATAAATAAATAAAAAAATAAAAGAAAGTAAGGAATTTACCGTCAAAAGAACATGTACATCTATAGTTATGTTTGCGTCAACTTTAGAAAGGTTGCATTCTAAGGAAGAATTGAATTGAAGACACCAGAAGGAATACGAGTATATAGCATGTGGAAGGAGCCGTAAATCTTATTGTGTGCCTATTAGGTGAGGAGGGCTAATGCAGGCGCGTGGATTAACGAATCGTCAAAGGATAAGAAAGAGTAAATGGGCTGGATATTCTAGAGAGAGGAAAAAAAAAAAAAAAAAAAAAAAAAAAACAAGAATTATTGTTTTTTACACAGAAAAAAAAAAAAAAAAAAGTTTACGAACGGCGCAAAATGGACTAGAACAAAAAAAAAAAAAAAAAAAAACTTTTTCATTTGGAAGAAACCTTTTCATGTCATCGTGAAGTGTCCAGTTGACCAACTTTTACTTCCGAAAATGATCTAAATCGTTTTCAAACGTGCGCTCATGTTGACAACTTTGTTGAGCGTGGGTCATCGAATCGTTGATTGTGAGAGGGTACAAATCGATATTGTGTACCCCATCAGTGTCCGATAAGGTACTCATTCGGAATTTCTTTTACACAACGGTGACACGCGAAATTTTACAATGGCCCCATCGTATATATTTTCCTCATTATACATGTACATGTATATACAATGGCGTACAGTGTGTGTTCTTGTTTGGAGTAGGCTAACGGTTCTACCGATGGGTTTCTAGGTCCGCACCAATTCGGCGTCCAATATATACTAATCATTCTGATATATATATATATATATATACATATGTACCTGTGTCCACTCTGCTCTGTTATCTTTGTCATTCCTTCCTTTATCCTCAAGGCTGAGTGATTAATATAAAATAAAATAAAATAAAATAAAATAAAGAGTCTTCAGTAAATGTGAAAATATCAACTATAAGATCTTGAACAACATGTACTAAACATAAGAGCCATTTTTTTTTCTTTGACTTGTTTCTACAATACTTGTTCCAGGATTCCTTTTAGTGCGCTCATAGAATAATAGAAGTAAGAAATCAATAGAAAACACCCCTAGCAGCGGTTTAAAAAAAAAAAAAAAAAGGACTATATCACGCCGCATCCAATATGCACGAATGTTTTTCAAAAAATGGATCGAAGGCATTGATAGATATTCATATATATAATGTATACTATTGTATAATAGAGGGAAGCGGGTGTACAATACAAACAATCAGTCGTTTTATTTATTTTGTCCGCAATACAAATTCGCTTTTTAGAATCATCACTGTGCTTTTTTTTATATATATATTTGCATAGTATACATTTTATGCGTTATTACAACAGTAATCGTAATTTTGTCTCTCATACCCCTCCCATTCCATTTTTCCTTCCTTACACGCAAGATGTCTCGATCTTGGCGTCGCCGAACAATGCAATTCCATCTGTTTTTTTTTTGTCCGCTCTCTACTCTCTTCCTTATTCAGTTTTGTATATATATTTCTCTGTCCCTCTATGGCCCCCTATGGTACTTTTGCTCACGCACATCTCCCATCTACTAACGACTGAAGATTCAGTTCGAACAAAACAATAACATCTTTAACGGTATTTAGCCATTAAAAACATCCGAAAAGCAACCATCTGACGCCCAACTAGAGAAACTAGGACAAAAGAACAAAAAAGAGATCCAAACTTTACTATTGTAGTATATAGTAGAGAATATGCCATTACATACACAGTCCTATCAAGCTGCAGCGAGCACGCGAATGAATTTTTTTCCGTCATAATTCCTCAAGGCCTATAGTGCCTATCACCGATGCATTCACTACTTAGTATACATCGGACGCGACTAAGGATGAGGACTAGGTCTTTGGTGATAATATGAGGGGAACAAGCGCATTTTGGATTAATACCGATCCTCCTATGACATCTGGAGATCTATCCAGAGGGTAGAGTCCTTCCCAGTTTGATTGTACTGATCGTGTTTGCTCTTTCTTTCACCATGCTCTGTGTTTTAGTATATATTTATTCTAACACAATGTCGCTTAGTACAACTGCTGCAGCATCCATTGCAGTCGTAGCCATATAACTAGTGTAAAACCATTCGTTGTTTTACTTGACTCAGACCTTGACTCAACCCCTGGCCTCCGTTACCTATCGCTGTTTACAATATAGACAACTATAGTAGTGACTAAGGTTCCTCCCGATGCGGCCGGAAATCTCTGATCTGGCTGATTCGAAGACCGGGCCCAAATATAGCCCTCTTCTGCGAACATTCCTCAAGGCTTCCTGCCTCCAGGGCAACGCTTTCAACGTAACGGCCCTTTTTTTTTTTTTTTTTTTTTTTTTTTTAAAGGAAAAAAAAAAAAAAAAAAAAATCTAACACTCCATTGGCACTACAACTACGCCGTAGTTACTAAATTGGGCAACGGACCATTTGCTTTAAGCGGTGCCTACGGCGTTCAATATTGAGCTCCCAGATCGAATTTTCTTGGAACATAGGTCTATCCGTGTTTACTTGCCGAGATATCCAATCTCTCTAAATGGAATAGACTTTCATTGACTAAAAATATTATATCCCCACTCCTGCCGCTCACAGAGGAGTGAGTCCTTGGGCTGCTGATTATGTTATGTTATTTATTTATGGTATCAATGAAGGTACCTCTTGAGATAGCCACCTAATTTTTTTCATCTTTTTTTTTTTTTTTTTTTTTTTTTTTTTTTAATACGAATAGTTAGACATAAAAATATTCTCTTAGTGATGGAAGATCAATAAATTATTGTTTGTTATGATTTGTGAACAGTCCATCTTTTTTTATACTTTCATTCTGCCTCCTTTTTTATCTCGTTAAAATTCAATGCTCCTTGTTCGATGGCTTGCTTAAAACTTTATTGCGAGGTAGTTCTCGGCCAAGGGCACAGAAGTGCGCGCATCATGCCAGGTAGGTCATCAAAAGATGGTTTTATTTTTTTTTTTTTATATAAAAAAAACATCTACAGATATATTTTTTAAAAATACTCCTTTCTCCAAGGAGCACAGATCATAATACATTTAAGTACGCCAGGGCTCAGCTCGGAAGAAACCACAATGTCTCAAAGAAAGCCAATGTAGAGAATAAGGATCTCGGCCTGGCCACCTGACAAAAGATATATATTTCTGAATGTGCTAGTTTGCAATCTGTTCACAGCATGATTTATACCTCTGCGCTATATTGTCAGGTATCATAAACCTGTTACTTAGTTAATCAAACAGGAGCACACAAATTGTTATGCGATGGGTGTAGTCGACACTCTAGCCTCTAAACGCCCTCCAAAGCCAACAAAAGGGCTAGAACCGAGAAGAATGATGATGATTATGAATAAAAAGTTTTCATAAAATAGAAGTGCAAATAGTTTTCGGCTCCACTAGTATACCAGTATACCATGCCCCACTATAACTGGTATCGTATCATACACCACTGCCAAACTAGATGTAAAGCTGTTTAGCTGGTCCAATATTGACTTTTATAACTATGCTATAATATACTATGCTATTTATACTGCCGCCGAAGCCGAAGTTGGCCAAGTTGAATATTATTCAAACGAGGGCAATACGAAACATGTGTCAAGAACCTCTGCATCATATCCCCATCTTCGTCATTGTTTCGGCTTCCACTGCCTTCTCCGGCCTCATCCTCAGAGTCACCATAAGCACCATTGAACAATTCGGAAACACTCCACTGGTGTCCCAAGAGTGTACTAATACCGTCTCCAAAAGTAGAATCGATCTCCTGTTTAGGCATAATCCATTCAATCTCCTTAGGCACCTTAGGCTCTGGTAGTGCAGAAGCTGCGGTTGTAGAAGTAGCCTTAGTAGCGGTGGCGGAAAGGATACTGGTGGTGAATCGGCGTTCATCTTCGTTAACCAAATGATTTTTATATACAATCTCTCGTTCCCGTGCACGGATAGTCAACGACTCCAGACAGGGATTATCCCAGGCAATGTTCGAAGCGTTGCATTTGCGGTCGCTATCATCTCCATCTCCATCTCCATCTCCATTTCCCCCTGTTGTCACTGCTCTTCCGCCTATAAGGGCCTCCTTAGCATCTTCGATCGTTCCAATATTGCCTTCTCCCTCAGCCTCTCCCTCCTTTATATTGTTAGTCTTGTTATTGTCATCCTCTCGCTTCTTTAGGATATCCTCAACAACAACACTCACATCCGCGTCCATGTTCAAATCCCAGAAATAAAGCTTGCGTAGCCGTCGGCAGTTCTGGACTAACTTCTCTAACTCTCGCCCTTGTCGCTCCAAGACAATAGAGATCCACTCATTACCCATATTCTCAGATCCCCCAGGAAGGAGCGGGGACCATTGTCTCTCAGCACATCCCAGAATAATAATCTTGAGGACCTGAAGGGTTTGTTTGTGAGCCTCAATAGCCTTACGTGCCTCAGTGTCGAGTACCCAAAGACAAACCTCTAGCTCTCTTAAGGAATTCTGTCGATTGCCCAACCCTTTTTGGAACTTGAGATCCATTTCTTCATCAACTCGGATTGTGCTAGAGTTGCCATTGTTGACGTCGCCATCGCCTTGGACATGGATGTTGAGATGCTTACTACTGTCATCCTTGGCTCTGATTCGGCCTGTCAAAGGGGCGCCAACATTGGATCTATAGTACTGACGCTCATCATCTTCATTTTCCCGACTACACGCGCGGACCATCTTCAAAATTTTCCAGTTGTTGGCAATCTGGTTCTTCATTGCAGGGTCCTTGGGATGATCACAGATCTTGAGACTCGATAGTTGAGGACGGGTCCCCTGCTTGATCTTTTGTCTGCCTTCCTTCTCTCGTTTCTCCCGTTCTTTCTTAGATTCGACTTCCTCGGTTCCAGAAAGGAGATAGATCATTGAATCCAATGGGTAAGTACCCCCGTCGTTGCCATCGGTGCTGTTTATTACGAACTCAATCACCAAGTCCTCCAACAGTGGACAGCGCCCCAAGATATATCGTTCCAGGCAAGGACGTAAAGATTTACGCAGCCCTAATGTTAGAGAGGTGAGATTCTCAAATATTAAAGAATCCAAACCGATATCGCTCAATTGGCCAGAAATATTGCAAAGCGACAAAGACCGAAGTCGTCCAGCAAGCGGCCGGAGTAATAGCCAGAGCTCTTGATCCTTGAAACTTAGCCCCCGCAGATGCAACTCCTCAAGCGTTGGCGCCAGATGAGCCAGAGGCTCAAAGGGGGTTATTTTATTTTTGTTACCATTAACACTGTTGATGGAGCTAGCGTTAATGTTATTAGCAGTAGCCGGTGCTGCAGCTGCAGCTTCAGTGCTTGCACCAGCTGTCGTGATTGGGTCAGCTGCCACTGCTTCAGTTGTTAGTTGATCAGCATGTTCCATCATGCTGGGCATCAATTGATACGTTAAATCGAACATACTCAATTTCTTCAGCCGTAGGTTATGGGCCAGCAACCAGGATACTACTTTAGAGTTCATCGATGAAGCAACCACTAATTCATTTAGGAACCTGAATCTGGGATGTGTTTTCAAGTCGGTTAAAAACTTTGGAAGGTGCCAAAACGAACGAAGATGGAGGATTCGACATAGATCTTGATGCTCCATCAGCCTTTCTCTGGGCACATGATCCATACTTAAGGGCTCGTATACATGCCAGAGTATGGGCATAAAGACTTGACGCCAAAGTTTTGAGACTTGAGTGCATTGTATAAGTAACTTGGGTCTGTATGAGAAGTTAAAAGATCGGTTGTCACGAACTTTGAGGTAACTCAATGCGTTATCTTGATCATCATCATTTCTGTTTGGATGGGACTCAAATGGTGAGACGTGTTTGCCGATAGCGGACAGAATCTCGGGACAGGATAGTGCATGGCTTGTTGCTGGAGTTGATATGGTGGTCTCTTTCAAGGGTGCGGAAGATGTTATGATTGCTACCAATACTTCTGCTGCTATTTCTATTGCTGCTTCTATTGCTGCTTCTGTTATTACTGTTGCTTTTGTTGCCATGGTGATAGAATGAAGTAATACAAGCTTAGAGTACGGTTTGCAGTACGATGTACAGCAATAGGTTGTTGACAAGGGCAGAAGCAAGTCTTTTTCAAACTAGGTTTACAAATCTTATTTAAATGATGTGAAGTTGGGTGCCGCAGTCACTCGACGTCGCGTGGAGGCGCTTACATTTTATGCATCACCATGACAAAAAAATTTCTTTGGTAACATGTTTTTAACGAATGATTGGACTACTGTACAATAAATTTTACAAGTGTGAACAATTAAGATAAAAAAAAGGAGAGGTTTAAAAGTGTATAAAAAGAGTGAGAGAGAGCGTAAAATAAAGAAAGAAGGGAGGAGAATAATCAGAATGTCTGGTTCAATTAATTTCAATGGCATTCCTTTTTAAAAGGCAGCCAAACAAAAGTATGCCATTCACAGGGCCTTGGATGGAGGATCATCTAGAATAACAAGCTTACTAGGACTGCAAACGCAAATGTAGTCATAGTTGTAGATACAGATGGAGTCACATCCGCAGCCGAGAGACACCCTCACGCACGGACGCCGCAGTGTTTCCTTTGATTCACTTGAAAGTTGTGGCTGATTTCTCTGACGTTTCAAAATCATTCTTCGGACGCCTTTGTAGCCGCTGATTGTGATACTGGTCCAACACTGGCAGCTGACCGAGCACTATCAGTCACATGAGGCTGTGTTGAAGTTGCTGTAGAATTTGTAGCTGAGGCTATGGCAGGAGTTGAGTCTGAAAGTGATGTAGGAGCAACTATCATAGCAGGTGTTGATGCAGCTGCCTGAGTCGAGGATGTGATGTTTGGAGGAGTAGACGCTAATGTTGACACTGGAGTAGCTGCTGCCGCTGTCGCAGAGTTTGCCACAACTGGGGGAGTCGCTGAAGTAGAGGCGGACGCTGAGCTAGGAGTGGTAGCAGTAGTAGGTGCATTTGTTGATGCTGGTACTACAGGAGGCGGAAGACGTTGTGGATTGACCTCTGACAGAGGTACATACTGGGCCATCTCTGCAAGGCGCTTACGAATACTCTTGATCAATCGCTCTAAAAGCAATTTTTCCTGTTCCTCAGATCCTGGAGTAGAAGCAACAGGACTTGGTGCGGGTGTAGATGAAGGAGTGACGCCTCCACTAACAGAAGTAGATATAGGCGTTGGAGTTGAACTTGAGGCTAAAGATGTTTCATTCTTCATACTCAATGTCTTGCTGACCATGAGTTGCACAACTTGACGCATTTCAATCGAATTCTGCTCAAGATACTCTCGAACCCATTTCTTGTTCTCCTCAGAATCTCCACCTGACCAAGTCTGACCCCATTTGATCTCCACATCATCATCAGCTGTGGAAGCGATAGACCGTTGAGCAGGAGGCAACAAGCTGTCGAGTTCGATTTTGAGCGTCCTCCAAGCTTCGTACTCAGTCTTTGCACGTAGTAGCTTCGGCCATGCTTGAATGTCCTTGACAACTTGTCGGATGTCGATCCATTCCTTCATTGATGCAGTCGATGCATCCTTTTCTGTACCCTTCTGCATGGATTGGCTCGTATGTCCATTACTGACTCTTGAAGCCTTGGTTTCCCCTATAGACACAGCTTCTTCAGTATCCTTCATGATCTCGTCCTCCATCTCAGATTTAGCCAAATCATTAGTTTTCTCATCCTTGAGTCCTTGGAGCACTTTAGACTCCCCCATTTGTATTTCCTTTGACTCCTCTGGAGGGTTATTCGGCGCTTGATCTGATGTAATTTTAGGCTCTCCCTTAATGTTGTTTTCGACTCCTTTTGACTCTACCTGCGTCTCTTCCTTCACATCAGTTTTCGCTGCCCTCGTTGACGTCATCTCTTCTGCTTCGATATTAAAATCTTGTCGCCACAACTTCAAAGGTACACGCGTGTCCACATCAGAATGCTGCCCAGTCTTTTCTTCTTTGACAATTGTCGCCACCTTATCCACAAATGTGCTGGCACCTCGGGTCAGTGTCTCAACCTTCTGACGAACAAAATCTTGCACTTCAAAGAGACCTGCAGCATCCTCCTTGCTCATTGCCGCCAGCTCCTTCTGATCAACTATGCCATCCAAAAACATAGCGAGACTCCGAACATATGCTTCACCTTTTTCGTCTCCAAAAACCATCCCAGTATAAGCTGGAATATTTTTAACACCTGACGGGCCGTTATCTGTTGCTGGCCTTCCTAGGACAGCAAAAGGTCCATAATCTAGAAAGGCCGCTGGGCGGAACTGAGATTTTGGTGCCTTCCAATATGGGTAATCATCCAGGTATAGGCCATTGTAATTGGGATTTGTCTCAATCAAAGGGCAAACCAGAGGAGCAGATCCAAAATCCTGCTCTACAGGCACCAAAGACCATGGATCAGGATGGGAAGCAGGGTCAATGGAGCCGTCCGTTGCATAACTCAGAGCAATCGTTCCATCTCTCCTATGTTTAATCTTTTTTGATTTCCTGTATTGTTGTGGAGTTGGTATACGGCCAGCTTCGCCGAATGACATGGGTGACTAGTATTTGACCAAGTTGTAATGTAATAAATAGTAAGTGTTAGAGCATTCAGTATCCACATCAGAGTTTAAGGTTGCATCATCACCACGACTATGTGAATGGTATTTACATCAGCAGGCAAATCCTGACTGCGGTTAGTTCGACGGCTTTGAGAGAAAGAACCCGTTGATGTGTTGCTATAATCGCCCATACCGCCAACATCGACATTCTCCTCACCCTTTACCGCCAAGAAAGCCTCATCATCCTTATCAAGGACTGACTTCCTTTCTCGTTCAATCGCTTTTGAACCCCACTCCCATAGTTTATCGGCCTGCCTCCAGTATAACGTTTCCTTGGCATTATATAGCCTTGCATTATCGCAAACCAACTGAAAATCTTTCAAGAATTCATCGATGTTGGGATAGAAATTCCTCTCTACTTTAGCCCTCATTGTTGAAAAGTCCATTGGATTCTTGATAATAGAAGAGTAATCAGGCACTAGCACAGGATCAACTGGCTCAGTAAACAATACATACATATCCTTCCTGAAACGGCAAATTACCGACGTTAAACAAACAGAGTTGGAATTAGTGAATTAAAATAAAAAGTCCCTCGCTTTTCGTCCTTTTTGAAATAAAATAATGCATCCGTACTTTATAAAGCTATCCAGTAGCTTATGGCAAATGACTGAAAGCTCCTTCTTCTTTGGAGCAGCAGGTGTTGTTATTTTTGATGTCGAGGGTCGCTTGACATGCTTTCCTTTCCGCCTTGACTTCGGAGTGGCAGCGGCTGACGTAGATCCTTCTCGGCTGGGTTCTTCTGATGTCGCCTTTGGTGTCCTAGGTTTCGTATGTTTCCCTTCAGCCCCTGATCCAGGTATTGTCTTTGAGCTCTTCTGTCCACCCTTGACCGATTTGGAGCTAAAATGAGCATGCATGCCAGGATCAATCATGGGTGACATAAGTCCCTCATTATCTGATTGGTCGTCTCGCTCGTTTTGTTGGCCATCGTTATCTTCATCCTCATTATCTCCCTCCTCTTCGTCGTCGTCTTCAGGTTCATCAAGGTCGCCAGCCAAAGGGTCTTCCAGATCTTCGTCCATGTCCTCTGTCATTTGATCTTGTGCCTCTGTATCATAACTACCTGATCGTTCGTTCATCAGTGATAAAAATGGTCGCTTCTGTCCCACCTGTGCATGTGCACCATTCGAGTCGGGAAAAGAGAGTGTTTGATATGTCTCTTCCTGTTTTACAACAACGGGTGATTGAGCTACACTTTGACTTAATGACCTAGAGCGAGAACGTGCTTTTGGTACAATTGAATTTTTACGCTGACCTCCATATTGTAATAGACCTGCTTCGTCTGCCGGACTATTGTATTGTGCGTCTTGGATAGTAGATACTTTTCGATTCCTCTTACTTTCTTTCTTGTCCTTTCCTAACCGTAGAGTGATTTTGGGGGTCCCTGACTCGCTCTCCGCCTCCAAATCATACTCACGACTGCCCTCATGGCTGCGGCTGAAGATATTATGAGACATAGGTCCTTCTTCATCTGCGTTTTCAATTTCATACTCATTATGTTGATGTTTAAGATGGTGATGCTTATGCTTATGTTTGTGTTTCTTTTTCTTCTTATGTATTGAAGACGGCCGTTCATTGTCGAGATCATCAGTATGAATGGAACTTTGTGTTTGGCGTCGTCCAATGTAAGCCTCGTCCTCCTGCTCCTCATCATCTTCGGATATGATACTGATATGTTCAGAAGACCGTCGCTTTTTCTTAGACAAGCTACTGCTACTGTTGCTCCTCTTATGTGTGGAAGTTGTAGGTGTGGAGGACGAGGCAGAGGAAGGAATGATGGCAGGATTAGAAGGAAGTCTCAGCGAGATCTTGATCTTTGGAAGTTTCTGAGCTGGCTGGGATGATGGTGAAGTTGCTCCATGTCCATTTCTGCCATTGTGCTGTAAAAGGTGATCTTTACTTTCGTCTTGGCCCTCTTCCTCTTCGATATCAACTGTGTCCTCGTGATCCAAGTCATCCTGATGGCGCTCCTTCCTGCTTCTTTTTTTTTTCTTTTTCTTTTTAATCGCAGCAGTGGATGAAGAGTCGCTATGGAACTCGTCGTGAGAGAAAGATTTCGCAGTCGACTTGCGTTTGCGGTGCTGGTGGGTGTTTGAAGAGGAGTGGGTCTGATCCAGAGTGCTCGTGGTGGCAGGGGAACGTGGCGAACCCATGAAAAAGAAACAGACGCAAGAGAATAAGAAAAATAGAAAAAGGGAAGTAAATTGCCTGTCGCGATAATGATCCGGTTGTAAAATTGATTAAATCTTACTGGACAGGGTCAGGCAGATCAATTGAGATTGAATGTTGCGTGTGTGGTAGAACCAAATCGAGTCATGCAAAAACCCACATTCGAAAATGTGCTTAATACAAATTATTCATACTTGTCCCCATAGTGTCATAGTGTTATGAATATAACGGAAAAAAAATTGTAGGTGGCTTAACCATAATGTCACATGATACATGTTGTTCGTCCCAAGACGACAGTATTTGCTTCGCCCTTTGTAAACACACATGCAATGCGCATGGAAATCGCTCTCCGCCATGGAGACACATACCTCCTCACACCCATACAAGTGCCAGTAAAGGGTTGGAGCATCCGCTCTGGCACCTTCCGTGTCGCAAAGCCGTACGACAATTCTACCGACTCGTGTCAAATTAGCCCGCTATTCTCCTCCCGAGGAACCGAACTTGATACTACATCTACTCAAGACAGTGCTTCACCTCCTGTTCGCAAGAAACAAAAATTACCAAAGAGAAACAAAAAAGATACATCTGGCGATGCTCATGACGAAGCGACTCAATGGATCCTATCACAGTTTCATACTCTTCTAGAACAGAAAGAGATGCGATCATACATCGAGGATATTCAAGGAGACTATTTCTACGGAACATCTGTCGATGTTCCAGCAGATAATACGTTTGCATTAAATCTGGTAGAGCTTCAACCGACAATGCGTATGCTCAAGTCAGGGTTCATGTCCACTGGTGATATGGGTAGCGATAAAAGTGAGGAAACTACATTTGAAGATTTTCAACTTCGACCAGACCTGCAGCAATTGGACTTGAGCGACATATATGAGACGCTCGTCGTAAACAATAACTCCGATCCAGCGATCATCTCGTTCCCTATAGAAGGGTCCCCGCGATATCTAATACCCCCACATTCAGGGTTCATAATCTCGGATTTGGACAGGATCCATGGTTTAAAGAGCATAGGTATTGCAATGCTCCATGAATCCACCGTTTCTGTATTGGATCGTTTGATACTAATAAGCCACATCTCTTTGCAAACATATTTACTAGCAAAAGATAGAGAAGGGTTCGATATCATTGTGATGGACCCACCATGGCAGAATGCATCGGTTGATCGAATGAGTCATTATAGGACAATGGATTTATATGAGCTGTTCAAGATACCTATTCCTGATCTGCTGAAGGCAAATGGGAGTAATGTTGGTGGAATAGTAGCTGTATGGATAACAAACAAGGCCAAAGTCAAAAGGGTTGTAGTAGAGAAGCTGTTCCCTGCATGGGGTCTTGATTTGGTTGCACACTGGTTTTGGCTCAAAGTACGTTTTGAGCTACTGCTAAATTGAACATTGTAAATAATCCCTGGATCGCTTTTTCCTCCGCATTAACATAAATACTTTATGCGAATTAGGTTACTACCAAAGGCGAGCCAGTGCTTAGCCTCAGCAATTCACATCGACGAGCATATGAGGGTGTATTGATAGGGAGACAGAGGCAAGGCTCAAAGCTATCGAATAAGACCATGCATGAGACATCTGCCTCAAATCCAGTAAACAGGCTACTAGTGAGCATACCGGCTCAGCATTCACGCAAACCATCTCTCAATGCTCTTATTGAAGAAGAATTTTTCACATCAAAACTCGAATCCCGAGCAGATCGAGATCGCAATGCGTATGTCGACAGTGAAGCATTGGTAAAGAAACCACTTTATCGACTTGAGCTTTTTGCCCGGAACCTAGAGGAAGGCGTATTATCGTGGGGCAATGAACCGCTTCGTTATCAATACTGTGGACGAGGAGCAAGCAATTCTCAGGTCGTGCAGGATGGATATTTGATTCCTTGTCCCATTCAATCTGAATTGGTTTCCCAATGATTCCTATAATATGCTCGCTAGACCAAGTCTTGATATCCGCATAAGATAGATTGATATCCTCGATATGGACGTTGATTTAATCCAAATGAGAAGGAAAAGAGAAATATAAAAAAAGACTTTATGAATAAGCTAGCAATGATTGATCCTGCCTGATGTGTTATCTAAATTGATCTGATCCGAGGTCATCTCTTATGCACTTCATATATTTCCGATTATTTGCTATGCTATGCCAACGTCCTGGAAGAAGGCCCACGACCTTTCATATCCCGATAGCAGTGCATGCAAAGATGGTGCATCAGTTTAGCATGCCCGCATCCAGGGCACTGGACAATATTGTGTTGCTCTTTGAGCCCTTTGGTCGCTTGACGCATGCGCTTCTTGGAATGCGAGGTCTTGCTCTTGGGGACTGATGCCCAGACGATCGAAGGGAGCAAGTCAGAGATGTAGGAGCCAAGACGACCGAGAACTGTTGTGGAGCTATTGGTTGCACTCAAGGTATTATTGTTATTGTCGTTTATTATAAATGCCGAAGAGGTAGGGCGGACGACAGAGTATGAGCTAAAAGCACGAAGGATTACGAGGTTGGAGGTAGGCTTTACAGCCCTTGATGCAATGTTAAGAAGGGACATTATACTGGCTGCTATGTAGAGAGAGGTGAATGCAAGGAGATACCAGCAGTAATGGGGGAATGCAAATACCACTTCCTTCACCTGGAACACACCATGGTTGTTTATATTTCAAGCCACGCGGATTGATCCTTCTCCTTGAGGAGATATTTGTGCACGTGATTATTTCGCACCTTGTAGAAATCTAAGTAACGCAAATGTGCTCCATATATGGCATGTTTACAGGGCCACACGGACGTATTTTTTCCCTTAGCAAGGGATGGTATGATAGGGTATCAGATTCAATGCTAGTGGGCACCTTTCTCTTTTTTTTATTTTCCCAAGCTCATTTCATTTTCATTCTCATCTTCTTTACACACCGTAAAAAATTTATCTCTCATGAAAGTGTTTCTCAATATCTCTCTGGTGCTTACGTTGGCACTGTTGACCACCCAGGCAACAACTGCCCAGTTATGCCAAATGGATATGGAGCATAGCAATAACGACAATAACACCCCATTGATTTCAGAAGTAAACCAATTTCCCTCCAGTGCTCAGGTAGTCTTTGGTGGTCGTCGTCACGGTAATCCTCGTCGCATTGAGCACTACGTCGAAACCTTTGGTATCAAAAAAGGTAACAAGGATATGCTAATTGAACAAATATCCGTTCTTTTTTACTCAGTCTCTCTTTCCATCTTTCATCAACATCAGTTTATTAACATCTCTACATGCGTATTTTGTAAATATATTTTTTAGTCAGTTACCCGCGTGAGCTCGAAAACCACGCGTTGGTCCGTTTCAATGCCCGCAAGCACCATGTAGATTTCCCTATCCCAGCCCACTACACATCGCTATTAACTGCAAATAGCGATCCAATCGAGATCATGCTTGACCAGCTCGATGTATGGTCCCGCACTCGTGACTCAGATGTGGTACTTGCCCACTTTACTGACAAGCAGTTCCAATTATTTGAACAAACTATGCGTCAAAAAGGTGTCCCTGAAGGCAAGGATGACTGGGAAGTGGTGGAGCGAGATCTTCAAAAACTAGCAGACGAAGATGCAGAAAAGATTTACATGACTGCGGTGGCTCTGAAGCTTCAAAAGATAAATGACAAGAAGGAGGACAAGCCCAAGAAGAGAGTTGATTTTGATACCTGGTTTAACAATTACCATGAACACACTGAAATCAAGGATTTCTACCTCCAGTTGGCAGATGACTATCCGGAGCTAATCTCATTCATCCCATCAATCGGCAAGACAGTCGAAGGAAAGGATATCTTTGCAATTAAATTGACTGCCAAAGAGAAAGATGGCTCTATCCGTGAGAAGCCTCAAATCTGGTGGCAGGGGCTGTAAGTACTTTCCTTCCCCCTCTTTCATTGTCGCTGTTGTTGCTGCTGTTACTGTTACCAAGTTATAAGTATTAATTTATTATTTGTTATTTACGGCCTTTTTTCTGAATTTGCTTCAGTCAGCATGCTCGTGAATGGGCTGGCGGCTCCACAGGTATACGAATACTATCAAAAAAGATAAAACTGCATTAATGGATGACTATCCCTCACTCACTCACTCACTCTCCTTCATCTATAGTCCAATACCTTACGTATCATTTCTCATCCAAATATGGCAAGGACAAGAATATCACCGCTCTGCTGCATGATACTGAGTTCATCATCGTGCCTGTCATGAACATTGATGGTTACGAATACACTTGGTCCCGAAACCGTCTCTGGCGCAAGAACCGTCGGAACAACGGCCTCGGATCCTGGGGTGTTGATCTCAATCGAAACTGGGATGACCATTTTGGTGAGGGTGGCTCTAGCAACTTCCCTTGGAGTGAGACCTACCGTGGGCCTCATGCAGCATCCGAGCCCGAGGTCCAGGCCATGCAAAACTTCTTTAGCCAACAGAAGCGAATTGTCGGTGCTATTGATTTCCACTGCTACTCTCAGCTGGTTCTTCGTCCTGAGGGTTGGACTACTGCTCCCGCGCCTCATGAAAAAGAGCACAAGTTTGTAGGCGATAAAATTGCTAGCATCATCAAAGATGTCCATGGCAAGAAATATATCAGTGAACCTTCTGTGGCGCTATACAAGACAACAGGCGCAGGAAGTGATTGGTTTTATGGTGAGATGGCAACCAAAGCCAACAATGGACAGAGAGTGTACTCTTATACAATCGAGTTAAGACCTTCTGATACCAACCCTGGTGGAAGGAGTGGATTTATCTTGCCTCCTGAAGAGATTATTCCTCTGGGCGAGGAGATTGCCAAAGCGATGGAATTCTTTGTGGATTATGTTGTCAAGAACCCTTTGAAGTAATATGTCTTCTCCCGTATGAAAGAGATGAATAAGAATAAAAGATCCGTTGTATTACCTTTTTAAGATTGCGCTTTTATGCTGAAGAATATATAATTCCAAGCATGACTGTCGCCCTTTCTCTTTTCGTGAGAGAAGTGTCTTTATGGATAATTATTCAGATATTTGTATTTCGTGCTTGGAATGCCTATTCCATCACCAAAAACTGTCCAGCCTTATGATTTACACAAGGACCTAATTTCTCGCTACAGCAACCCTTTTGCCGTGATGGCAATTGATCATGCAGCTGAAAAAGCGCCGTAAAATGGACAATGTCTATTGGATTAAAGTTTATGTGGAAGATCTGAAATTTATTTCAATGTAAGTATAATTCGGCGGTTAATATTTTATGGATCAATTGACAACCGATGCAAGTCAAGAGCATGCCTGAACAGCCTGGATGAACATTAGGCGTGCCTTTTCTCCAATGTTTATTACCATTACTTTGAGCCTTCAAGATGAAAAAGGCAGAAAACCATCGAGTAACCCACCCTATAGTGTTTACGATTTCAACTCGGATATGTTTACTCTATTAGTTAGTGCTTTGTAGTTTTCCGAGGCTTTAAGGCATTCGAATGATAAAAGGTGCTGCCAAATGCGGTTTAATAAGATTGATCCGTTATCTCACCCTTGCCTGAAAAAGTATATACTGGAAGCTTATAACGGTTTCTTAACGAAGCAATGCATTTTTGTATTAAGGTGTCTAATAGTCATCATATTTTTCAACTGAGAGGATGTCTCCAAGGTGCAACGGAAGTGCAGTATTTTTTTATACCATCTATTAGTGTCAGTGTTGAAAAGATGGCAGGAACCCAGCTCCTTTAGGTTTGAGCTGATAAAAAAAAAAGGATTTTACCACGTGTTGACTGATGCAGAACGCTGTTTTGTGTTAATTCATGCTTTGACGGAGTTAATTTCTTGCTGTGCTCACATTCGTCTCAGTGTGTCCTATTGAAAATGTGGTGGACATTCATCGATTGGGCTACATAATAGCAATGCTATTACAGGCCATGGTGGCAAAGCGGGTCCTTGGAAACCTGGAAGAGGAAGGTGAGGAGATGACCCTAGTTATCTTTTTGCTCTTGAATGATTATTCTCGACTTGTGTGCACCAGCCAGTCAGGATAAACAAATTATCAAATGCCTGAGAAATGTGTCACCTTAATTAAAGACAAAAGCTTATTTTTTGCGCCCAAAATACTTTTTTTTTTTTTTGGAGTAGAAGAGGAAGGATGATGAGAACAAATTGTTTCCTTCTTTGTTTTTCATTTCCATTTTACATTCTACATTCTACACTTTACATTGCCACCATTGCTCTTCCCACATTCCATTTCCCTCATAGCAACTATTGTATTCGCATCATTCTCTCTTACGTTATTTTCTTTTCTTATTTTCATTTTCTCCTCCTGTCCTAAAGGACACAGACAACGCCAAGCACTTGACGTACACTTGGAACCACACAGACATAAAAAATGACGGCATCAAGCCCAGAGATATCGGACGGTGAAAGGAATAACTTTCAACATCACCATCTACCGAGGCAACCATCTTCTATCGCTCGTTCACAATCACGCCATAATCGTCTGACAGCCCTGCCAGACCTTCCTCCTCCTCCACCTCCTCACGACGATATCCCTCTATCTTCTTCCTCTCCTCCCTCTCATAATCCCATTATTGACCTTCACCACCTCGAGAAAGGAGGAAAGCCTTCTCAGACACAAGACTCTCAATATCCTCTCCCAGTCATTCCTCCGCTAACTCCCTCTAAATCCTTCTACAACAAAATCAAGTTCTCGCGCGCTTCTAGAGATGCTTCTCCCACATTTCTTGAAACTTACATGGCAAAACACCCCCGGATTGCACGGCATCGTCGTCGATTTGCAGCCTTAATTTTCTTTAGCGTTGTAATTGTACTACTATTGGTGGTTCTTTTGGCTGTTGTTTTAAGTCGCAAAGCATCCAATAGTGGCTCGGGTGGATATGGCCAACCTATTGGGGGAGAAAGCGGAGGAACCTATCCTACCTCACCAGAAATAGAAGAAGAGCTCAGGGAACATAATGCAAATATCCCTAGACCACCCATTAATCGAAGTAATGCCCCAGGATGGGTCAAGTCTGGTCAAGGAGATGGGACGTACTATGGTAAGAGAATGATCCTCAGGAGTATTTTATTCATTCTTGTGTCAATGCATTGCTCTTTTTTTTTTTTGAGATTTAACATCCGACCATTGTCTTGAAAAAATAAAGACCCAGCAATTAAGAATGGTGCAGGCACGTTTCAACAAGGAGCATGTGAGTTTCCTTACATCAACTCTGTCTACGACATGATTGCTGCACTTAATAAACCCGACTTTGGTTCTTTTACCTATGCCAGTCAATCTCCTGCATGTGGGCAATGTCTTATTGTGAGGGGACCCAAAGGCACAGTGGAAGTTCAAGTGGTTGATATGGTAAGGATATATCTGTTTTAGTAAAAAAAAGTTCATTAATATCTCTTCCCGCTCTTTTTTTTTGGCCGTTAAGAAAGCAAAAGCGCAATATTCTGCAGGAAATGATTCTATTTCCTCTTTTTCCTTAGTTATTTGCTGACACAAATATTTCTTTTTTCTTTTTCCTTTTTTATTTTTTAGTGTCCCGGATGCAAGTCTGGGTCCTTGGACCTGTCACCAGGCGCATTCGCACGTATTGCAGACATTGATGCAGGACGTGTGCCTATTTCATGGGAACGGTGCCCATAGAGTTGAATATACCCCTTTCCTTCCTTCTCTCCCGACTTGAATACAATTGCTAAACTATAGTCTGATATAAACCCACTGTAATAACATAATACAGGATATTACATAATACACAAAACTCTACGGATTTTTTCCCTTATCCCCCTCAACTCGTTCCTTTATTTAATATTTGTAAAAATACATGCATGTAAATGTTGTTTGATGAAAAAATAAAAGTAAAACAGGATTTTTTCTGTTTTTTTTTTTTTTTTTTTTTTTTTTTTTGTTTGCTTCTTCAGCAAATATCGCTGTTGCAGGCCCACTGGACGGATCCATCCTTGACCTTACCCAACACCAACAAAGCTTTAATAATGCCAGCAACACCGACACCACTGATGAAACCACCTGCAACACTGTACATCAGCTTTTCATGAGACATTTGATTGACTCGCTTCCAGATCCTGCCTCCAGTCCAGCCTATGACCATAGCCAATGCTAATGCAGGTGAAGGGTTAATCATACCAAGACCCACGGCGTTCAAATTGATCCAATATGGGCGGTACTTCTCAGGAACCAATTTGATGCGGATCAAAATGTTAGCAATCGCAAGGAACGCAAACACAATCGCCGTAATCCATGAGCCACGTGGGACAGAGCCTCCAGTCTATGCGGAACGGGAAATACAGTTGATTAGATATTGCATGAAGAGAACAAAAAAAAAAAAAAAAAAAAAAAAAGCTTCTTCTGGGGGAGAGAGAGAATGATCCTTACAGTCAAGATCTCGCAGACAGATTGCCAGGTGACGACTGCGACCAAACCGAATTCACACTTCTTGATCGAAGCATCCACAATACAACGATAAGCCTCTGTATAAAGAATAAACAATGGAACTGCTGCAGCGATTGCGAAGACTGAGCCCACCATTTGAGCCAAGAACTGAGAACGAGGTGAGGCATTCAATAAATGACCTGTCTTCAAATCTCCGACCATATCGACGGCTTGAGAGCAGATAGAAGCCGAGATATTGGCGCACATCAGGTTGGTCTTCTGGACTACTGCCAATTCTCCAGGGAAACGAGAAAAGACCAACTGGGTAACTTTACCAATCGATCCTGTAGGATTGATATCAGTCTCGCCTGAGGCTTGAAGTCCCACAAACGCAAGCATAAATGACAGGATGATGGCAATGATAGTTGAATATACTGGCACCTTGAAATCAACAGCCATCAAAACAATCGTAAACACTCCCGAGACAAGCAGTCCGCTGACCCACCAGAGTGTAGGGACTTGAAGGTGAGGAGGAACAGGATCCTTACTAACATAGTTACTCGAATCTGCCAGCTGACTACGTTTTGTCAAACGGCGAATCAAGTTACGAGCAGCCTGAACACCACTAGTGACACCGTGCCAGAGCGATTTTCCATTGACACCTAGTTCTCCAAAGGCAGTGAAGACCATCAGGGCAATACCGGGCCAAAGGAACCATGACTGAGCTGTACCATTGCGGGGCTCGGTGAAACCGCGGGGACCCTCCAAGTAACCTGAATCAACCATCAAAGGGCCCGCCAGACCATACGCGATGAACTCTCCAAGCATGAATGACCAGACAGTAGATCCAGGAGTCATCAGACCGGCACCAAAGAATGAGAAGTCAAAGCTAAAAGCCCAACCCCAGACCTGATCCGCATGCTGCATCTTCAAGTAACTGGTTGCATGCCCGATCCAGTAGAGGATATGGACTGTGTCAAAGATACCGGGGATAAAGTTACCAAGGAGGACAAATGCCATAGCCACAAAAAAGGAGATGATCATGACCAATGCAGTCTTCTTGGCATCTGCAGCAGCCTTGGATCCAGTCTTGTGCAGATTTCGAATTGTCTCTGCTGCTGCGCGAGGTGTAGGGAAGACCAAATCTTGGTTGATGACAAAATGGGTACGAAGAGGGACAGCAAAGAACATGCCAAAGAAGGCAGCACATGTAGTCCAGAGAACCAAGGTGAGAACATCATCTTTGGGCATATGACCCTCACCCATTAAGCCCATTCGATACAGCGCAGGGATTGCAGTAACAAAGCCTGTAGAGAGGCCACCAGCAGTGGTGGCTGCAGCTTGACAAGTGGCGTTTTCACGGGGTCCAAATGAATCGCCCATGAGTCGAGATAAAGGCTTAAGAATAATGAATCCAAAAATGGCTCCCCAAAGCGAGGCACCAAAAGTCCAACCGATCTTGAGACCGACATACAAATTACTGGCTGCGACAACACATCCTAAAAGAGAACCGACGATAGCTGCGCGCCTGATGAAGGAAAAAAAAAAAAAAAAAAAAAAAGATATCATGAATAATGTGATTGTTGATCTTTTTTTGATTGTCATCAGTTTAGGCAGACACAAACAACAAAGGACCCTTTTTTTCTTTGTTTGTACGTTTGTGCGTTTGTTTGTTTGTATGACATGACATCTTACCAAGTGAATTGATGCTCTTCAGGTGGAAATTCTTCGTCATTAAACTGTGCATTCCCATTATCTGAGCGTTTATCCTCTTGGAAATCCACCGACTGATCAGGATGCACATAATCATCGGCCTTGAAGGAAGCAGGGCGACCTAAAGGATGGTGGACATGATCTTCTTCGAGATATTCAGTTTTCTCATGCGGAGGGAATCCTTCTTTCTCTGTAGACATTTACTGTTATTATTATTATTATTATATATATATTGTGAGGGTATGAGTGAAAGGGAAAGAGGTTGAAGAGAAAGTGATGACAATGATCCAATTGAACTGGAAGAAAAAAAAAAAAAAAAAAAAAAAAAAGTGAAGGAAAGTAAAGTAAAGGAACAGGAAGAACCGGAGAAGAGTGGCTGGTTGTTGGTTGAAGGGTTGGAGGATAAGAGGCGATAGAGAGAAGGGTAGTAAGAGTGTTCCTGAATGCCAGAAACAGCTGATCACGGGTATGAAAATATTAAAACAGATGTCAATCAAACGAGAAAAAGAAGTGTGTATTTGTATGATTTTTTTTTAATTTTTTTATAATGATGAATGAAATGAGGTGTTTGCCATCCTCACGGAAGCCAAATTAATTACACAACAGGTATAAGAAAGAAGCCAGGGGTTTAGTCTCTACTGAAGGATGTTGATCCGATCCTATCATCCATCCGAACGGAAAGGAGACCCGATCAGTCCCAGCTAAAGACTCATGCAGTTTGTTTAGAGAAGGCTTGTTTATTAATTGATTGGACTAAGGACCGTGTGAATGTCCGCAAATGAAACTCAGTCAGAGCCTCATTCAATCAAAAAGTACAATGGAAAGGTGAGTTGGACAATGGATCAAGTCCTATTGGACAAATTACGACAATTCAGTTAAAACAGCATATTTTCTTTGTGTTTCATTCTTTTTTTGTGCTTACTCGTCATTATTATGGATCAAAGGATGGAAACATGGTCTAAGGTTTGCTCTTTCGAAGGGATACATATTATACGTTGTTATATGTATAATTTGCTGATCGCTTCAGCCTTGCCCCATGGTCTTGTTGACATTCCACATCTCCATGCTAACCTAACATACCTTTTTTTTTTTTTTTAATTTTCAGGACAAAGTTGACCACTTTTGGAAGTCATTCTGAAATATTTACCATAAATGAAAGGCGCCAAATGGATCGGATGAACTCTTTATTTGTGTACAAAATTCTCATGGGAAAAATGAAACACCGAATGGCGTTTTCACCATTTAAATAAATATTAAATCAGGCACAGTCTCACAGATGCTTAAAGGGACCATTTGTCGTAAAGGCAAGAGAATGCAGAGCCAACCTGGATCTACCAAAGAACACATCAGCTCATTTGCAACGCGTCCAATGACTGTAGTAAGTGTGATACTGCGCATTTTGTGTCGATCAAGAGATCAGGAACGTCAATGTAGTTGATAACTAGGTGAATCCTTTTCTTCCCTCTTGACTTTGTGTTTGCCAATGAATGATCCTTATTGCAGAACATGGCAGGGTCTTGCTGTCGTAACGTAGGCATAACCAATGAACAAAAGTGCTAATCATATTTATGGAATGGGTAATGCTCTAAAAGACCACTCTCATATGAATCGAAGCCACTGTAGAGGATCCTTTGGAGGTATGATTGACTGCTAGCCAAGTGTTTCCAAAGCACAGTCAATCATCACTGCAATCGATTGTTCTCAGCAACGCTATCACCTCTGACGGTAAGGAATGGACGATCTATGCAGTGTGCCTATAAGTCTTTAGTTAATTTCCTTGTACAATTCTTTTCCATCAGCCGATTACAAAATCTGTGAACAGCCAACTAGGATAAAGCTTTCACGACATGATATGAAATAATGCTTTCGCATCGTTCATACCGACTTGGTCAAGAAAATGGAATTTGCCACATGTTTTACAGCCTTTTTCTTCTTTTTTTCTCGTCTGTTTCTTTATTTTAGTTTACATCAGCTATTCGTTTGACTTCAATACGACGATGTATGATTAAACAATTGGTTATGGATATAAAGATAAATTAATTAATAAAAAAGAATAGGCAAATGCCTGGTATCATAGAAAAGACGTTAAACGTGATAAAAGCGAACGAACAAGACAGAGACAAAGAAGAAATAATTAAAAATTAAATAGAAATTAAATAGAGGCAGAGATGATGTGATCGAGAGCATAGATTGCTTCATGACCTAGCAAACTAAGCGCTTCGGGTGTCGGTTATTCCTTTTTTTTTTAAGGATTCGATGTAATGCTAGTGTTTGTGTTCGTGGCAGTGTTGGCATTAGCGTTGATGTTGGTGTTCGAATTAGAATCTGGTCCAGAGTTTGATTCCTTCTTGTGCAGAAGTATATACGGTCCTGACAGCGGCTCTTCAGCTGTTTCCGCAGACATCGCACGGTTTTGTTCCATAGAGGCTTCTCTCACTGACATCAAAGTTGAGGATGAGGTTGCTCCAGAGACCAGTGCTTCTGAAGATGCGTTATTGCTTACTTCTTGCTGCTGCTGCCTCCAAGAAGGTGGAATTGACGATACTGTAGATGACACAGAAGGCGCTGAGATCACCGGGGTCGAGTGTTCTTTTTCTTCCTTCATCATGTTATTCTTAATATATGCTGCCGAAAGCCTTAGACTCTTGGACAACGATGCCTTCATCTTGTGCGCGCGGCTACTAGAATGTTGCAGCACACTAGAACTATAGCCTGATGTATGCGACATTATCGACGATGCTGACGATGAGGTCGGTCCCGCGGTTGATTCAAAGGCATGAAGTGAAGATGAATTTGCAGAAGCCGAATGTTGAAGCTTGTGGACCCCTGATCCAGAACGTTTATCTGATTCAGAGCCTTTTGCAAAAATTGAAGATCCGCCCCCACTATCACTCTCACGGCGTTTGATAAAAAGGGACGAGATCTCCTGATGTATACTATTGGATTGATTTCGAGCATGTGCTGCTAAATGGAATCCTGGAGCAGAAAAAGAGGGATGAGCGGAGGCTGGAGCAGAAATGGAGTTGGCAGAGCTCTGGGTTATGCGAAGACGAGGCGACAAAATGGCTGAGGGTGGCGAATTAAGTCCTGCTGCTGCCGCTGCCGCTGCCGCTGCCGCGATAGTGCCGGCTTCGTAGTAACCGCTACAGTTACCAGTAATGACAGGTGGCGATCCAGGCAGAGACTCCCCGCGCTGTACACTCTTTGCTCGAAGATACTCCATTGCGGACGCACCCCCTTCTCCTCTCATGTTGATGACCTGTCCAAGGCTGCGACGGTTACACCTCTGTCGATGGTTTCGTATATCATCTGGGTCGACTTGTGCAGAGTCCCAGCTATTGTCGTTACGTGTGTTACCAAACGTAACAAGATCAGAAGATGCTCCCTGGACTGTCCTGTCCGTGTCATCATCAATGAGCCGCACTTCGACACTTAAATTGCTAGCAGCACCGTTCTGCAGCATAAATTCGGCCATAGGATATACCTCATACTGCTCATCCAAACTCCATGGGATACTATGACGAAGAGCAAGCAACAGTGGTGATACCTGCATGACCATGAATGACGAGCCGGCGAGGTCAGTATTGGATGGCGATGGGAGCTCTTGGGGCTGCTCTTGCTGCGGCGGCTGCTCTGACTGGGATTGTTCTGTCTGGGATTGCTCTATCTGGAGTTTCTCTACCTGGGACTGAAGCTCTGACTGATCTGATGATGAAGCCTGGTCTACGTTGGAGTCGACTACAAGAGCATTTACGACAGGAGCCTCAATAGACTTCGAATGAGATGACTTTCCTGAGACTATCGAGAGACCATCCAGATCCGAACGTGCTTGATTTTCTAATACCATCTCTGAACCTGTCGCTTCTTCAGTCAATTCTGTGACCACATGATCTGAATCAGACTCAGAGCCTGGTTCATTTTCTGACTCTACTTCTTGTATAGCGTTCAAATCTGCACCCGCTGCATATGCTGCAATAACCTCAGAAATGTTGTTAGCTTCCACTGCATTGAATAGCGCTTTGGTAGCAAAGATGGCAAGTTCCTCTGCAGTACAGCTATCGTTCGGATTGTCGGTATATCTGTGTTTGTCAACAAATGCTCGCTCAACATATTTCTTTTGAATGAAAGCAACCTTGTACTCTCTAGTGTCATTCACAAGAGGTCTTCTGAAAACAACTTTGTGCAAACGTTGGCCTTCTTGGTTCTTTGGTGTAGACTGAATAAGATTAGCCTCCCAAATCTTGTTGGATGCTTCATTTCCAACCGAATGGATGAATTCAAAGAGATCCCGCGTGTAAGATGTTGTATCCAGAGTAAATGATCGCACCTTAGATATGTGCGTGCCCAGACTCCGATGTATACCAGAGCATTCTATAGAGATATGAGAGTAACATATTTTGTTTGTTAAATATCCATTCCACATTTTATCGAGCTCAAAAACGACCATTGTGATCCATTTCAAGTAAAACATACCAATACAGATCAAAATGCCCAAGTTAATAGCACACCAATCTGGATTCTTGGCCCCGCACTCTGCACAGAAGTTGTTGGCAGGATGCGCCTCACGCATGATTTTCAATAGTCGCGTGCCCAAATGATCCGTATCCACTGAGTCTTGGAGGCTCTGGAAATCACCCAATATGTTGGTGACGTTACTAGACTGTCTCTCATGAAGCGTTTGATCCATGCTTACACGATTTATGCCATTGTACTTCACCGAGAGCCCATCGCTGCCTGCGCCATTAATACCGTTACTGCCTTTGGAGTCCTTGCCGGAAAGCAAGTAGTTGTCTAGGCTTGGGCTACTACTATTCCCATTTAAGAGGCTCTGGATTGCATTGGAGATGACGCTCACCCAAGAATTCATGTCTTCTGTACTGGTTGCTTGGTACACTCTGCGGAACTTTGGAGTGATCACCTCAAAGCAGAAACGCCGATCCTGGTTCCTACACGGGCGGACAGTCGAGAGCTTGAGATTGATAGGGTCATTGTGCAGCATGGCGGCGCCCTTCTTCCAGTGTGAATATTCATGGAGATGTCCTTCCGATACCACGCACCAATACTTGTGCCAGTTAATACTAGGCTTCTCTAGAACAACAGAGTTGCTATGCATACTGGGCCGACTTGTCGCAAAGAGGAACCCTTCCTTGCGACTCCCTAATGCAGAGTTGGCTTCGATATCTTGCTGCTCTAGGTCGCGAATACCACTGAATCTTGGTGTGCTAGTATTATTCGCCTGCGATGACCCATAGAGACTGGACACATTAGGAGATGATCCAGAGTTAGATCGGAGATCCGCTGCTCCCGAGCTATCTTGGTGATCATCCAGCGCATCCAAAGTTGTATTGGAAGTATCTGAGAGACCCTCATTCGCTAAATCATGACTGGAAGATGCTGCTGCTGCTAAAGTGGATACACCTATTGATGACGCAGAGCCACTCTTTAGAGCCGACAGATTCTGTGAGATAGATGTCAATGCCTCACCATGAGACTCAAACAACTCTTTCCTTCGTTCCTGACGCTCTTTCCGAACTTGTGTTGCCCGTTTTTGGGATTCTAAGAGATCAGCAGCAATGCTATCCAGACCAGGCTTCAAGTCTTCCGCCACTAAAGCCATATCCACCAAGTTTCTGCAGTGCTTCTCGGAGTAGTTAGTCAGGTGATGAAGAAGCTCATCGCTTTTACTTCCGCCAACACGCATGTCCAGAAGGAAGCTCCAATATTCAAACCGCTTGATTTCAAAAATCTTTCGTTTCTTTTCATATTTCGCATCTGCCTCGCTCTTCTTCCTGTTGCTGTCCTGCTTCATACCCATATAGCGTGACAAGAACTGATAGTATTCTTTGCTCTCATCCTCAAAGGACTTTCGATGCATTTCTGCTGCTTTAATGTCATTAGTATAGAACAGATTCAGAGGGTCGATCAACAAAGTGCGCATTTGGTGTGCAAGTATGTCAGATGTCGCTGCTAGGCTCTGCGACACGGGCCGAAGATAGCTGTTAAGAAGTGGCTCTGCTGGCCTGAATCCCTCCATCTCCTTTATAAATGCCTCATCGGCTGCTATCCAAGCTTTCCGAGCATCCATGGCAGACTGAGCAGCTTTGATGATTCGCTTTGTTGATGCTTTCATATCACGAATGTGGTTCTCACATTCAACAACTGAGGCTCGAAACAACGGACCATCCTCCGTATCAATGGAAAACGACGTCGAATTGAGAGTTGAAGATGAACCGGAATTTGGAGCCGAGCCTTCGTATCCTGACCCTGTGTCAGTGCTCGCATCTGGGAGACTAAGCGTAGAGTTATGGATGGAAGGTGCAGAATAACCCTTGGAATGGAAGGATGGGAGACGGCTGATGCCTGAATTGAATCTGTCGGCTGCGGAGGCTTGTCTTCGATGTCGACTGTTCGAAGGGGATGTCTGTGCGCTAGGTCGTCTGTATCCTGTTCGATCCACACCGGCATTTGCCTGTGCATCTGCAAGCGTAACGGAGAGGTGCAGAAAATTAAGTAAGCATAATAATGTACTTTTGGTTTATGTGAGCCCAACTTTTCGATAAACACTCTCACTTACTGATCACCCAGAACGCAAACTGCGAAAGAATGTCGACGTCGCCTGTAACGGGATTCCGATATAGGAACTAATACATTCGTTAAATCCAGATCAAGTAGGACAGAGACAAATACAAGACCAGTGCATAGATGGAAAGAATAGTTTAGCAAGGAGTATCAATTCATCATCAATGGGCACATCGGCTCATTCTCTTTCAAAGTGACTAATTAAAGAACAAAAAAAAAAAAAGAACCTACAGCAAAAACAGTTTTGTGGCCATGGACATCATCACCCATATAATCGTTCGAGGCATTTGACTGCCAAGTCCAATTGTGACTCTTTTGAGTGCTGCTTTGTTCTCCTACATTATTTTCGGGCATTCCCCGCTGGATACCCACAACAGAAAGAAGACCTTCATTCTTCTACAAAATAGAGATTGGGAAATATCCGAGGAGTTAAAGGAGGGAGGCAGCTTCAAGAACATTGTAAAATATTCATCTCTTTGTCATCTACTCTTTTGCTAAATCATGAACAATTCTTACCTTTTGATCAAATGTCTGGCATAAGTATTGCATCTCCGACTCTGAGTCCGTGGAGGCAAAGTATATGGTGGGTTGCTCGACATGCTCAGGGACATCTGCAGCGGAAGTGACGCCTATGGTAGAACCAGATTCTGGTGACGTTACTATAGGGTCAGCTGCTGGACTTGACAATCCTTCATTGTTAGATTGATCGAATGTACTGTGGTCTGCTGTAGTATCCTGTGAAGCAGTTACCGAAGAGCCTTCCTGTTGAGTACCAGCACTCTCCTCGGGATGCTCATTTGCTTGTGCCACTGGAGGGTCCTTGTGGTTGTCATTAGCCTTGCTAGTTGTCGTGGTGGTGTCATTGTTACTGTTGTTATCAATGGTTGGCTGTGTAGAATTTGAGACAGAGTGCAAGAGGGATCCATTTAATTCAAACGATAACCGAAAGCCTTCTCCAGCCAGAACTTTTAGCAGCAATACGTCGTTTGATGCTTCTGTAGATATTGTTGTGGATAGTGCTGACGACGGTATTGCACTACTTCCTAGATCCAATGAATCTGTCGATATTGATGGTAATGATGGTGTGGGAGCAACCACTGTATCTTGAACATATTCAATGCGCTCATGTGCAGAGCGGATTACGAACGTCGAGTTTTTTAAGACAGTGATATTGAATGCTGGAGAGGATGTGGCATTGTGCACTGCAATACTCGAGATAGCGACTTTATTTCAGGAGCCATGACCAAAGATAAAGACAAAAGAGCGATTAGGAAAGAATGTAGTAAAGGAGAAGAAAGGGAAACAAGGAACAGGCGTTAGTTAGTCAATGTAGTCTAGAGAGGAAGGGGTGTAACATGTTGACTCTCCGATAAGTGTGTGGTTTAATTATTATTATTTCGCAGGATGTTTATACGTGGAGGAAACACTTGCATTGTTCTGGATCGCGTTGAATGAGGTTTGGGATCGGGACAGTCATCCTTTTCGGTCTTTGGTGAAAAAGGATTAAAACAAAAAAGAGGGAGTGGAAGAGAGAGAAAGGGAAAGACAGAGAAAGAGATGAAGCAAGTAATTAGTGGAACAAGTGTTATCTGTTGAGGTGTGATAATGTAAGTGTGAGTGCAAGTGTTTCCAGACTGTTGAATGGGAAGAAGAAGAATGGAGCGTTCAACGGTTAGGTCGCATGAACCATGGACCAGGGTAAGGAGGAGACGACAGCCTGTTACAGCAAAACTCTCACGGAAATGCAAGCAGACTCTATGTGTGAATGAGTTTATTGATGAAGGAAAGAACACTTTGAGGGCACGATGGAGGAAAACAAAATAAAATAAAACAACAATGGAAGATGCAATCAAAGAAAAAGAAAAAAAAAAAAAAAAAAAAAAAAAAAAGAGGAGCGATGACAAAGAGTCGATGGACAAAAAAGGAGGGACAAGAAGTGTGAGAAAGACAAAGTTTGAGTTGCATGTATCCACTCCACATGCACATTAGAAATAACTATTTGAGATGGACTTCACATTAACTAAGGACTAAAAGCACTTTATTGCAACCATAACAAGTTAAAGACCGCTGTCTCATTTCACTCGTAAATCGCTCTTTCCATTTTTTTCTTTTTTTCCTTTCTAGCTAAATGACAAGCTTATTAGACAGACAGGTTAGCATAGGATGTGGTGGATCCTGCTGATGACTTGTCCCAAGAATAAAAAAAAGAAAAGAAAAGAAGTAAATGAGTTATGCAACGAGGAGAGCGTTCAAAAAATAAAAAAGTAAACTTTTTTTTATTTTATTTCGTGAGAGCATACTGCTTTTTTAAAATGGTTCTCTCACAACATTTGCTCTCCTTTAATTGAGCTTTTATATTTCGAATCGGACAACATGTATTGCTTGTCGACCATTCAACCCATTTTGCAACACCAAAAAAAAAAAAAAAAAAAAAAAAAAAAAGGTCTGACAAGTAAGAAAGATATAGGAAAGAAGGCATGTTGAAGAGTTCAAATTGGCCCATTCGGTAGAAAATGTTTGGAATAGAAAGTCCATGCAGGAACAAATCGTCCATTGTTAATGAATGCATGAGCAAGGGCAGCTTTGTCAAGTCTTTCTTTATCTCTTCAGTGTTCAACATTGTGTGTTTATGCCTATGTCCATCCATATGCTCGATGGTTCTATTGAGGGGAAAAGAGGACCAACAAGGTTGTTCTAAATTTGTGTGCTGTAAAAGAACTGAGCCCAAAAGGCTAACAAAAAATAAACTTAGCCTAGTCAAGTAAGTAATCAAGCACAGAAAAAAAAAAGATGAAAATTCTCCTACTGAACACTACAATAGAACCTATCATATTGCCACAAACTTGAATATAAGCGACTGTGAGTGGATATTGCATTCGAGGGTTTTTACGTGTCCAAAGTTGAGCGTGATGCAACTTTAGACTGTTTTTGTTGCACGATTACTCCACATCACATTTCCTGGGAGCCAACATGAAAGGGTGCAGACATCCAAAATGTCCCTTCAAAAAAGGCTCTAGACCATTCTCTTTTCTTTCCAATTCGGATTGTCTCATTGCCTCCAATGTCTCTCTTCTTGTCAGATATAAACTACCACCTGCAGGGTGAGCAAGGTAACACCATCTCAGTATCCCAGCAAGACTATTAGTAAGTATTTGTAAGTAGGATAGAGCAAATGTAGAGCGCGTCATAAATCTAACCAAAATCAAGAAACCTGTATTTTTTTTTTCCTTATTCTCCGCTCCAGGGAGCCTGATTTACTTCATTGACTGAAATAAAGGCATCGAAAAACTCGTCTCCCCGTCGCGAGATCCCATTGTCATTTGTATATTATACATAAATGCGGGTGCCATCTAATTTGTTTCCTTCGTAAATCCTCTGCGAATCCCCTGCAAAACTATCAGCCTTTAACCATCAAATTGATCCGTTGAAGATCTTTGCCGCAAGAGCTGAGGCTCACTTTTTTTTTTTTTTTTTTTTTTTTTTAAGAACCAAGGATAATAAATGCATCCAACCATTCAACACATGGCACACATGGCATTAGGTTGGGAGCAAAGCCAAAAATAATGGCAAGACTATCCGATCTCCTAGAACTGTTTTAATATTTTAAGGTAGCATTCATCTAATATCAAAAACGAATCTGTTCTTTTTTTTATTTACTTGTTTAAATAAATATGAGATCGCTCACGGGGGCCGGCGCGATGAAGAAAAGATATCTCGATTAGGTACCAAACCTAACCACTTGGACAATACCTATGCCAACCAAAGGCGAGAATGGGTTGTAAAGGCTCATTTGTAGAAGATATTATACCATCTTGAGGTTTTCAATTACAGTTGGAACATTTGGTGCCCTTTATTTCTAAGCCAATAAGCAACTGAATAAATTAAGATGGAAATAAAGAAACCCTATTCAGGTGGCAAAAACGTATTGCTTAGATAAGAGGGAAACAAAAAGGTTTCATTTACACAGACACTTTTTGGCAAGTATCTCCTTCCTCTAAACTTCTGCTCTTTCACCTTCTATACATTCCAGTAAAAAAAAAAAGTAGACGCGTAATTAGAACGGAGCCAACTTCCTCCACAAAAAAAAATAAAAGGATAACCGTAATAAGCATGGCGTCAACGGAATCAACCCATTATCTCCATCCTGACTTTGATGTCACAAAAATCACAATGAATCAGATCCGAGAGATTTTGTCGGAACATCATGTCAAACTGCCAACAGGGATGGTCAAAAAGCAACAGCTTATTGACCTTTTTAACCAGCATATTCGACCTCAAGTCCCCGAAATTAATGAATCCGATACCAGTGACAGCGATCGTGAAACCAAGGCAACTAGTAAGGCCACCACTACTTCTGCTACCCCTAAAACAACAAGGGCGCGCCAATCACGCGCCAAAAAGGCGGCCGACGACGACGCCGACGATGAGGACAATGAAACTCCTCCTTCTATGGCTAGTGCATCTACTCGTAAGAAAAGAATAGCCAGTAAAGCAAAAGTTGATAATGATGAGCCAGCACAAGCGGAGGTAAACATGCGTCATATTTGCATAGTGAACTGCTGTTAATAATAAGTCTCCACTATCCCCATTGATAACCTTAATTGTTCTTTTTTATTAGGTCAAACCCAGATTGAAGCGTAGTACAAGTCGCGCTAGAGCCACAACAGAGAAAAACAATGTGGAATCCAAGATGGAAGAACCCTCCAGAGGCCGAAATATCCAAAGAACTGTCACACAGAGTGAAGATGAAAGTGAGCCAGTTAGGCTTCAACGACCAAAGGTAATATATCTATCTTATCCCAGCTTTCTTCTTCTTGGGTTCTTAATATATGGTGCATTCAAGCAACTCCAATTAACCGTCATATTATGTTTTGTAAAAAAAAAAAAAAAAAAAAAAAAAGAGAGAGGCAAAAAAGAAAAAAGATGAAAATTTTTCATACGAAAACCCGTTTCAAAGCGGAAGCGAGTCAGAGCGTAGACGTTCTCGGCCCAGATCCAGATCCAGATCCAGTACAAGGAAGGCCAGGGTTGAAAGAGCTGACGCTATGGAGAATGTTTTCAAGGTCCCTGCCCAGCCTCAGTTTTCCAGATTCATGCGTACGCCTGAGCCAGATAAGAGCGAATCTTCACATTCAAGAACAAAGCCCGCAGCAACATCAGCAACAACAACAACTACTACTACCACAACAACATCAGCAGCAGAAGATAAAAAAACTGCAAAAGCTCATTCTACGCCCAAGAAGGTGTCGACGGATGGTCTGCCTACACCCAAACATCGCGATATGGCATCAACTTTGGACTTTATTGATCAGGATTTTGTAAAGACCCTGCGCCAAAATGTCGGACCTATTTCATTAGTTCTTGCTATTGTACTCCTGGCATATGGTATATGGCTGCGCCAGAAAAGGATTGAGATTGGATTCTGCACAGAAGCGGAATTGGAACCTACCGTCAGACGTATGTTGTACTTAAAAAAAAGAAAGAAAGAAAGAAAGAGAAAAAAAGAAAAGATGTATTGTTTAATTGATCAGCTGCTTGACATTAACTTTTTTCCTGCTTGGTCTATTTATAATGACCTATTCTACGTACATCGTTCATTTCCATAACCAGCTTGGTACTACCCAACCTGCATTCCATGTCCTGACCGTGCTACTTGCTTGAGATCTGATGAGAAACCAATTTGTCCTCCTGAATATATCCTCAAGCCTCAGCTTTTGAGTTTCGGCAATCTGTTTCCAATCACCCCTGTGTGTGTTTTGAATAAGGCAAAGGGCTATAGGGCTTTTCAGGTGGCTGATGCAGCAGAGAAGCTATTGCATCTCCATGCTGGAAATATTGAGTGCAGCCTTTTAAGAGACAAGGCAGCCCCAGACAGTATGGAGTATAAGGCCCGTCGTGGTCTCTCAGTTGATGAATTACGTTTTCATGTGGAGCAACTAAAGGATGTACGTCTCGTCAATTCTTTATACGAGTATTTTGTATTAGGGAAAAGCCTATCCCACTTCCAGAACTCGTAGATTCTGTATTCCCTGACATCCAATCATGTGTTTATTTTTTTTTTTTATTCCTGTAGAGCAATGTTTCAGATGAGGAATTCTCTGAATATTGGAATATCGCTGTAAAGGAGCTTCGTCGCCGTTCGAATAAGGTTGTGTTTGAGGAAGGATTGGCAAGGTATTATAGCATCAACTATTTTATGGTTATTGTTATTTTAATAGTACATTGTTCTAATTGAGGTGAATATCATTGCCAACAACATTTCATTTGTTTTCATCCTTTTGGTATAATTAGTGAGGAGCGTATCCGTTCACTGAAGCCACAAAAGTCCTTGGGTTGCCGTTTGCGCCAAGTCCTTGTCAGATGGATTATCAAGTTCAGACTCTTCTTCCTCGGTACCTTTTTTTTTTTTTTTTTTTTTTATTTTTTTTGTGAAAAGCTTGTTGCAGCAGTATCTTCTTGTTCTAATTTTATTATTATTTTTTTTTTTTGTACAGCCGTGCTCTTGACTGTTGCGGGTGGTTTTGGAGTTCGTGCGTATATCCTTCGTAGGCGCAAGGAAGTGCGTATTGTGAATGGTCTTGTTCAGAATGTACTCTCAAAACTGTCGGACCAAGCCCATTACTATTATGTGGATCCTGTTATTTATCCTGAACCTTACTTACCACAGACTCAGTTACGGGATGCACTTTTATCAGATGTTCATTCTGCATCCAGACGACAAGAGATTTGGTCTCAAGTTCAAGCAGTTGTGGAACGAAACTCAAATGTCAGAACCAGCACACAGGAAGTACGAGGGGAAATGCATCGGGTCTGGGAATGGGTTGGGGCATCAGGTATGTTGGGCCAACATGGGGGAGGACCATCAGCTGTAGCAAGTGGTGTTGAAAGAGGTCGTGGTCGCAATCAACGTGGTGCTACAGTTCCAGAAGTCGAGATGCAAGAGCCTATTGGTAGAGGTATTCGTGCAAGGGGTGTGCCTAAAGTTCCACCACGTACAGGACCACATGGAAGTTTCTTTGGAATGAGACGTCAAGACTCGGAGTATTTAAATCCTGAGAACTCACTGTATCCCTCACTCTCACAAGACTACCCGAGTGAGTAGAAAGAAATGTATAGAGGAAGATGCTTTAGCTGAGGATAGGAAAAGATATTATAAATATTTCCTTTTTTATTTTTATTTTTACTTTTCGGGTTTCCGGCTAGCCATCGCAAAATCCATAATAAAGCTGCCAGCATTGAAATGAGCATAATTATTTTAGGTCTTTATCCATATTACTCTGTCAATTGATACGGTTGTTTTTGTATTAGTTTTATAAAATTTGATTAATGAAGCTTTGCGGCCTTTTGTTGTGCATGTGGATCCAATGTCAAAGCAGGTGCAAATCCTTTCCAAAAGTAAACCGAGGGTTGCAAACCCTTGGCGACATAATGTTGAAAAGCAATTAACAAGGTTGAGAAATAAACACCCGAGATTGAAAAGACATGCCACCAAGCATGGAGTTGTGGGTTCCACTTGAGGACTGACTGAGGGCCCACACCATTGACGAACTCACAAAGGTGTAAATCGATCAACCAGATTGTCACTGCAAAAAAATAAACACCTATTGCCCGAGTAATCAGCCAAGAAGAATCGTTTTGTCCACCTCGAATCGAAATGATAGTCTTTTGTTGACGATGAAGGACTGTGACATAGTAAATGATAATGAGTTGTAGGATTCCAAACGATCCTTGAAACGTATAGAATTGGATCTTGCCACCAGTAATCGAGACAAAGATTGTTGTCAAAACTAGTTTTTTTTTTTTTTGTAGGAGTTTACATGTGAGCATTTTTGATTATTTCACAAAGTTGGTGGCAAATTCCTTGAGGGCATCACTCATGTGCAAAAAGAAAACACCACATTTTATAAAGAGATATAGGACTTACAAAGCCATGTTGCAAGACTGATTGGAAGCCAGCGTCCCTGAGCTCCATGCTTATTCTCGATACAAATGAACGCTAGAGCTGTTGCAGCATAGATCATAGGTAACTCATCTAAACAACAAAAACAACAGAAGCAGTAGCAAAAAGAAAACGAAAAAAGAAAATCAGCAATGTTCGATGACCAAATAAGACGCTATTGCTTCTCTGTTTTTTTTTTTTTTTTACCGAGAAGCTGCATCTTGTGACGAAGGGTTCCATGAAAGAGAGTTGAGCCAATGCCTACAACAGTGATAGTCCTGAATGTCACCTTGAATCGTTTCTCTTTAGTCGGGCACAAATAAAGACCTAATTCTCCCAACAAAATAATGAACAAACTGGAAATGGTGTTCCAAAACCTATAGGGAAGTGAAGAAAGAAAGAAAAAAAAGCTTTTTTATTAGCTTTTTTTTTTGTTTTTTTTTTTTTTTTTTTTTGTTTATTTGCTTGTTTCTTCTTCACATCTTCAAGGCGAGCAAAAAAAAAAAAAAAAAAAAAAAAAATCATGGGACATACTCTGCAATATAGTAGGAGACTACATAATTATTCTCACACCAATCCACAGATGCTGTATTGGGTGACCAGTATCCAACCTGATCAAAAGACGCAGTTGTTGGTGCCATAGGATTTAAGGATGTTAAAAAAAAGAAAAGAAAAAAATTATATATACAGAAGGACTTTGGATTTTCTCTTTGAAAATCCTTTATTTTAAAAAAAAATAAAAAAAATAAAAAAAAGGCAAGAAAGGAAGGTAGAAACAAAGGCGGTGGTGTATGTTGGGTTTGAAAGAAGAGAAGAAGAAAAAAAAGAAAGAAAGAAAGTAATTCGGTTGAGAAAGGGTTTATTTTGCAAATGTAATCATCGTCAACTTGCATGTGCTCAGACCCAGCTTGACTTTGCTTCATAAACTTTAAATTAATCAGCTCGGCTCCCTTCCTTTCTCATATCGCACTCCACAATGGCAAAGCACACCAGGCATCATATGTATCCTCCTTCATATTGTCGCAATCTGGTCTGGTACTACCGCCAAGGAAAGCGAAGGAAAAAAAAAAAAAAAAAAAAAAAAAAAAAAACAATCTTCCTATATATGGGTATATTATTGGTAATACTTGGGGACATTTGAAGAAATACCAAGGAAACACGAGGAATGCTATAAACCGTTTAGGGCCAACGAAGGAGCCGAGCGTACTAATTAATCTCTACCAGTCTACCCTTGTGTTCGGTCGCTGACAATTTTTTTTTCCTCCACAAAAAGATTTTTTTAGTGCAAGACAATTTATTTTTTTTTTCGGCAGAATTGTCCCTAATCATTATCGCTATCCGCTTGTGGGAAATGAGAGCACATCTCTTTCAAACATCGATGCCTTTCATATTGTTTAAAAAAAAATACATGCAGACACAAATGCCAATGCCAATGCACTGTTTACAACGAACATTCAACGCGCCACAAGATATCAGTATATATTTTTTCTTTTTTTTTTTCCTTTTTTATTATTATTATTATTGCTTCCTTGAAGAGCATCAATAGATATCCTTGAAAAGCCATATCAAAGGCCCCTCTATGCCTCTTTCCATTCCTTTAGCTTGTCTTTGAATACTTTCTCCAGCTTGTTCGCGCATTTCACATAAGGCGTTGATTCACCGTTGTACGTTCGACAGTTGTCGAAAATTTTTTTGCAGTCTTTTGCAAAGTCGTCTAACGTCTCATACACATCTGCATCTACATTAGACTCTAAAGTTGAGAGATCTGAAATATTGAAAAAAAAAAAAAAAAAAAAAAAAAAAGCAATGGCCAGTTTAGTAAACCAATAATTATCAAACATCATATAGCCAAGCAGTCAAAGACTTTTTTTTTTTTTTTTTTTTTTTTTTTTTTTTTTCGTACCCATGGGGTCCTTGATATAAGAATAGTAATCGGTAACTGACTCCACATCGACAGGGTGTAGAAAAGGCCATGAAGAGGCGTCTTTGATGAGTTCTGCCACGATATGCTTCATCGCATGGTAATAAGGTCCATGTACAGGCACACGAGGCGTGATGTCCATGAGTGGATCCCATCCAGATTCCTCTTTAAAACGAAAAGGGAGACGAAGCAGAGGTGAGTAATAGATGAATAGAGTACTGGCTACCCGACCGGAAATAAATATAAAATTAACAAAAAAAAAAAAAAACATACTGATTCCAGGAACTGTCATTGGATCCACTTCCGTCGATCCATTCTTAAAGTCCTGAAGCCCTGGATATATAATGTGCGACTTGGACACTTCTTTGATCTTAGTAATAACGGCCTAATAAGAAGAAGAAAAAAAAAAAAAAAAAAAAGGTTGTTGGGCATTAACGAGTCTGTAACTGTTCGTCCACCATAGTGATTTTTCATAAGTAAGGATTATACCTTCCGTTGAGCTTGCAAAATTGCATTGCCCTCAAGATATTTGACTCTTGGAACCATTGTACATTGCATGATTGTTCCGCCTTCGTAGTCCTTAATATAGCCCATCCATATTGACCGGTCTAGCGTGATCTCTTTAGTAAAGCCCTAAAAGAAGAAGAATAGCAATAAATCCCCCATTGTCACAAGGTTAATTTCCAATTATGTTCATCACCAGGGACTCTTGTAACCGCAGCTGTGTGGACATAATGATGGACCGCACCTGCTTCTTGAAATATCCAATGGCGTAGTTATCTGCATATGTTAGAAAGTGCCGCACATCCGTATTTTCAGAGATGTAATCTTTGAGATGGTTCATGAGATGGGAACCATATCCTTTTACTTGCTCTGTTGACGTGATGGCACAAAACACAATCTCTGCGAATTTTCGATGATTGAAAGGCCGGTACGTGATCCCTCCCAAGACAATCAAAGGCGCCTTAACGATGGCCATACTATAGTGGCTCCTGTGTGTCGCGAAAGTGTAATATTATTAAGATCTGTGAATTATGCAAAATAATGAAAACCCTATATTATCCCTTCGGTTGTAAGCTTACCTATCGTATACAAGTCTTGCAATATACTCTCTAGGCATTTTAGGTAGTTGCTTCTGGAACAAGTTTTTCATGCCTGTCAACAGAATCATCGATTCCCTGGTACCATCGTTCGTAAACACTCTGAATTCAATCAAGCCTTGGCGCTCCTCAATAACTGCCGGCTTTTCTTTTTTAATGGGCACCTAAGTATGCAAACAAAAACCCGACATTTAAGATCTCATATAATCAAAGTCCCCGTCTCATGCCCTATGTTATAGATAAAATTTTACGGACAAGAATGTAATGTTATTCTTTCCTTACTTCGTCTTCATCGTCTTGGATCTGTGAAGGGTGTTCAACGCTCTGATCCGGACCAGTTACTTGTTCATCTTCCCGTTCTGCTGTTGATACATCTCCATTCGCAGTGGGAGCCGTCTCTTGACTGTCATCTGCCTCTATTTTGATCCGCTTGGATTCACGGTCCATATCTACATCATCATCCCGGTCAACTTGATCATGTTTGGCGGATCCTTCTGGTGTCGCTTCGACTTCCATAGCTGGTGATGAATCTGACATGTCTTCTGTGGTATGTGGTTGATTATGTCCAACTTCACCATTTGTTGTGCCTAAGATATGCAACCAACAGTAAGCTGTTGTTTTAACTCTCTCTGATCAAAATTAACTGAATCTTCCTTTTGAGTTGAGACAAAAGCTCCTTGTCAAAGTACCATTTGCCATATGCTCTCCATTCGGTATAGGTTCGCTGGTCTCCACTGGTATCTCCCGTGGAACAATTTGCCTAGTATAATAATTCGATTTAAAACAGTATAATCCGTGAGCACCTTGTCTCAAATGTCTGGCATCCATTCGACAGGATCCATGGTGTCAAGATGAACAAACACGTACTTGCGTAGTGAAGAAATGTCTTCGTCATCGTAGTCAAAATCAAAGAGCTTTCCTTTGTCCTACATATGAAAGTGTCAGGCACCAATATAAAACAGATCAAAGTTAGTGGCGTTAAAAAAATAAAATAAAAAATAAAAAAGCAACAGTTTTCCTGCGCTGCATGCCTATTGCTGTAGAAAGTGCTATTGATTCATAATTGCTGGTGTTTGTCATGCAAGTTGAAAGGCTGTTTAGCACCGATTTGTGCAGGTAATTTCATTACCTGTAGAAGCTCATCTCTACGAACTGCTGCCCTGAGTCTTCGCTCAAATTCTTCGCCTGTCCAGGGTCCACCATGGTAACTTAATTTGTGGCCACAAGCACATGTATCGACTCGACCCATTGTTCCTGCTGGCTTTGGCTTCCAACCTTGACAATCGCATTTGCCATCTTGACTATCTGCTGGCGATGTACCCAAGCCTCCTTCAGAGGGTAGACTGTTGATGGGCGCATCGCAAGGACAACTTCGACCAATCTTCATCATGCGTTCGCTCATGGAAAGCTTATCTATCTCCTTGTCTGCTGGAGGATAATTTAAAACGCTGGCTACAGGCGTTGGAAGCGCCCCTCCATTCTCTTTGGGAGTATCGATGATATCAGCAGAGATATCCCTGTTCCCCACTTCATGTTCATTCACATCCTCTGGTGGTGATGGCTGTTGCTGTTGTGATTGTGGTTGCTGTTGCTGTTGCTGTTGTTGTGGTGGTGGAGGTGGTGGAGGTGGTGGAGGTGGAGATGGTGGAGGTGGGTGAGGTTGCTGTTGCTGTTGCTGTCCTTGCTGTTCTTGTTCTTGACCCTGGTCGTGTCCCTGCAGTTGTTGCAGTGGTTGTTGAGTTTTGTCCTCATGTTCCTGCGTTTGATCCATTGTCATTATTTCTCAAATGGAGGATTTGGTGCGAACATGAAATATGTATATTTTTGCAGCAGGAAAGTGATGCGAATCTCTCGAGATTTGCAACCAAAGTCTTGTTATTGGACTCGTTATCTCTTTACTTTTTTTGTGTATTTATTCTTGTCGAGTGAGTCTTCTATCGCAACGTTGTAGTCAGAGAGCGTCAAGAATCCAAACTTAGCACAACTTCATGTTAATCCTTTTTTGAGTTTGACACATTACTTGCAGCAGCAACCTTGCACAAGTTGTGTGTTAATTTTCACGTACACGTTACGTACAGAAGTATTCGAAGCATTCATTCATTTTTATATGGGCCATCGTTTAAATCTTCATTCCAGTTATCATCAGCTCAGTTAATTTCAGGCAATGCCAGGTTCAGGAGATAGGTAATCGTCATGTACTAACATAGTACCGGGAGAGGAAAAGAAAAAAAAAGAAAAAAGAAAAAGACGATAGAGTGAAAGAGTAGAATGGAGGAGGTTTACTATGTACGTTAGGTCAGGAACTACATGCATTCCCTTGGAATGAACCTCGGCTGTTGCGTGATGTCTGATGGCGAATTATTTAGCTGGACAGCAACTGGGCGTCCATCCTATAAACGACATCCTTAAAAGGACGTCTCTACTTAATCAGGGTAGCTACTCAAGCAGATCTACTGAGCTCTATTTACTCGTCTAACCCGTTTTGTATTTTTTTTTTCTTCTCTTCATAATTATGATAGAAAGCAAGCTGTTGCTGCTGGTGGTTCTAGGCGGAAGACATCTCAATGTACAGTTGTATAACATGACCTTTTTGATCATCCTAGTATAATTTTTGATGGCGTTTGGATGTTCCAGGAATTCAGGAATTTGGATTGGTCTAATAGCTAAATTGTATTACCATGTTTTAATTTTAATTTTTTGCAAACACCTCTATACATGTAGCCAACACTCCAACCCCAAGTATCATTGCTAGTTCAGAGCTTGGAGTTAAAAGCCAAACCACCGAAGGATACGCTCCCGTCAATAATTTTAACTCACAGGATGTTGTCAACCATTTCGATCGTAGTAAGTTGGTGTAGAAATATTGATATGTTTTTTTTTTCTAAAAAAAAAAAAAAAAAAAAAAAAAACATTGCTTCCAATGCATATACTCATGAATACTCCTTATGCCACTATTTTTTATTTTTACTTTATATCGATGATTTAGCATGGAAAGCAGCACGAGAATACCATAATCAACCTAGCGCGTCAAACACTGGTAATGGTTAGTCAACGAAGTTTTCTATGGAAGTTTTTGTCGTGCTCGCTATAATGGATGCTGCGCCTCCCCAATGTCTCTAATAATATCGCTAATTGATCGGATTATTAATCGACCTATATGTCACACTCTCCTTTTAATACATAGTAAAGTCAGAGATCTACAAAGGAGCAGAGACTATGCCTATGACATGGGCAGACAAAGACGCAGCCAAAGGTGGGTGAAAAATGACGTTTTAGTGTATTCTTCTTGTGCGACACAGAGTTGAATTCCGTTCCTTTTTTTTTTTTTTTTTTGTCACAAATGCTTACCCAAGTCATTATGAGTCGGGAATTGACTCTAAAAATTTGCCGCTATTGCTAGGTCTTATGAGCAATGGGGTTAGCTTTTTGGCCGAACTGAAAAGAAAGCAAGCTATTGCACCTTGATGGTTAAAAAAAAAATGAGAGAGAGACAGAGCTGAAGAGGATTCTAGGAGAAGGAAAATTCAATAAAAATAAAATACTAGAACTAAAAAATAACAATTGACTCTCTACATATCATTAAAATAATCTTGCATATAACTTATTCATTTCCAAAGGGAGAAAAGATTGATCGAGGTTGTCAATTAGAAGTTCCGCGGAGTAATTTTTGCAATTACATGTTTGTGTATAATAATTTGTATTGAATTAAATTTATAGAATTGCAATGAAATACAGCAGATGTTCCCCTTCTTTCAGACTAGACTAGAACCCTTTTTTTGTCTTGCCATTTTTTTTTTTCCTTTTCCTCTCTTCTAGAGAAAATAAACAGCGCCGAACAGTGTCAGAGCAAAGGCCATTATGTTGGCACTCTGGGTCTCGCTAGCGGAGGATGCACGGGCAGGCTTATTATTGGATTTGACCTCTGGACCATTTGGGGTTTTCTTGTCTTTACTTGCGTCCTTAGTTTCCAATGGGAATGGGTTAGGTGGATTTGCTGGCTTAATAATAGGTCCCTTGTCGAGTGTTTGAGCACTGTCGCCCTTCTGAGGAAGTTGGATGGGCTCGCCCACATTACTCTTAGATGAACGCGGGTCACCAGCCTTGACAATCTCAAAATAATGTGAGTACGTATCCAGATCTTTTTCGTGTGAAACGCGAATTGTGTAGTCGTTGGCGGGCTTAAGAGCTGTTGGAACTGTCCATTGAAACGAATGCACCGACTCATCCACACCCCTCTTGAGTACCGCCACTTCGCGCAAGTCCTCTTTTGGCCCTTGCATCAAACGGATATCGACAAGAGTCTTAGACTTGAGGTTCTTGGCATATTCAGCATCTGGATTAGGACCCCAGGCGATGACATAGGTGCGGCCCTGTTCCCAGACGCTAGATCCATATGGCTGGACGAGCCATAGTGGACTCGTGTAGTCGAGAGAGATACTTTCGGTTGGCTTGTTATTGCTATTGTTATTGTGGCCATCAGTTGGAACGGCTCCTCCCTCAGCCTCTTTGCCCCCAGTTCCTCTCTCTTCACCACTGGCAGGCGCCGTCTTTCCTCCTTTACCAGTGGTGGGCGCCGCCTTTCCTCCTTCACCAGTGGAGGGTACCTTCTTTCCTTCTTCTTTACCGGTGGTAGGCGCCTTCTTCCCTCCATCACCAATGGTGGGTGCCTTCTTTTCCTCCTCTTTACCAGTGGTAGGCGCATTAGCGTCACTGCTCTTGTCTTCAGCGCTCCCTTGGTCGTTCTCAGAAACCTTCTTGCCTCCCTTGCTGTTATTATCTTTGTCAACTCCTTTGTGCTCCTCGTCGTGCTTACCCTCCACGCCTTCATGATTATTGCCGCCTCCCTGATGGTTCTTGCCATAAGGGTCATTCTTATCACTCTCATCATTGTCATTGCTCTCTTTGGCTTTATTGCCATCAGGACCTTCCTTCTTTCTGGGTCCATCATTATGAGCCTCTACATTATGTTCACGATGCTTGGTAGCTCTCTTGGGTTCATCTCGCTTCTCTAAGCCAGTACTATAAGAGCGGTGCCCATGGATGGATCTGTCGACATTAATAGCTGCCACAGCAGCAGCCAAACAGAGAATACCGGAGATCGAAGTAATCTTCATGGTGAAATGCTTAGATGGTTGCCTTTCTGATTTTTGATGTTTTTCTTCTCCTTTTTTCTAAGAAAGAAGGGAAAAAACTAGATACTAAAACTGTGGCGGATATAGATTATGGGAGTTAAAAAGATTCAACTAATAGAGTAAGAGAGTAAGGGAGCCGATGGGAAACGGGGTGTTGTCGAGGGTAGGATGGAAAGGGATGTGTTGTGGTGCTTATATCAGTTCTTTTACAAAATACGGTATTCGCTGCAGTTTCTCTTTTTTTTTTCTGTTGAAACGAGCGACTCACAATCATAGCTTCAGCTTTATATTGCGCGCTTTTTTTCCCTCCATTTCCTTGCCTCTTTTCTGTAGCACTTTCAGTCGAAGTTGAGATGCGGAATGAGACCTGAAGACATGAGGGTTTGATAGTTACTTTTCAAATGTCTAAGACAAATGGTGGTGAACCCGATGGTTCAAAAAAATTAAAACGCGACACGAACTATATTTATTATCATGATTACTATTATTGACCTATTTTGGTAGACTACCGGTCCTCTGATCAATCAAATTTTTAAACGGACCAAAGGTAGATGAATGACGAGAAACGACCGAGCACATCGGAAGTTGGAATCGTGTTCTGTGCAAAAGCCGCGCTGTATGATGGCTTCTACGTCATTGTAAGACAAGAAAAAAGTAGATATTTTAGTGTTACATTTGGTTTGGGTGACACGAAAGAAATGGTAACAATAAAAAAATGAAGACTCACCAACTGAGTGAAATAAGCATTCTTGAGTACAGGGTCTGCTATGCTCACCATTGAAGGCGTATTTTGTATACATATTTAGCCTTTCCCCTTATCACTGTCTCATTCCATGACAAAAGATCGGCATTTGTAATGGTCACAAAGCAAGGCTCAGTAAAATCGAAAGCCGGTGAGCACAAAAAGAAGCATCTCAAGCTACAAGGCTGCTAACATCAATAATGGATCATTTATTGTGTAATCAGACAAAAAAAGATATGGATGCGAACCAGTACTTGGCCAACGAGTTTCAAAGTATAATAGTGATACGTTTGTGGCGATCATCATCCAAGAGGACTTTCTTTTCTCCTTGTTTCTTCTTATAATTCTCCTTCCTTACTCTCTCCTCGATTGCCAATTTGCCTTGTTGCCTCGCTTTACCTCATTGCTTCTACTACCTTTAGCCCGCTAGTCTACTCTATATGCTGATAAAGCTCCAATTATCCAATACTAAGCCGTGGATTGCATTACTCATGCTCATTTGATACCTTTTTTTTTGTTTTAGTCTTAATGCATGATGGTATTATATCAAAGTCTTTCTTCAACTGAAGTAAATTTCGTCTGTCAGGTGAGATGTTTAGACGTTTCTAAAACTATGTATTGTACTTTTGTAAAAATAAAGAGGCACAGTCAAAACGCAGTTGGATTATCGGGGGATTGGTCCATTGACCGTCACTTAAACGTTAATTTTTTTCTTAGTTTTTTTTGAGTGGCAAAATAAGAGATGCATGTCAGGGCAAAGACTTTATGCATTAAATTTACTTTTGCATTTCAGTGCCGAACATTTTTTGAATTTAACCGTGGAAACAACAAATAATGACACGAATAGCAGAAGAATGAAGTACGCCGCAGCCACCAGTACTTACATATCACAATGACATATGCAATTCGTTTGTAAAAAGAGAGAGGGAATAATCAGAATTGGCAGAGTGAGAACGAAAATTCTAATGAATAAGTAAATGAGCAAGAAAGTGAATGTGTGAGTGCTAGAGTGAGTAAGCGAGTGTTTAAGTGAGGTGTGTAAATGAGTGAGTGGTTGAGTGAGGGTGTCAATAGATAGAAGAAAAGTGGAATGTCCATTGGACAAATCAAAACTTTCCCTGCTGCTGTCCAACGCTCTGTTTAACGAAGGTTTTCCTGCATGCTCCAATGTTGTTTGACAGGGCAGCACCAATGAATTAGCTTTTTCTGTCTGCCGATGCAAAATGTTTGTATAATATTGTTTGATCCCTAATTCATCGAAGTATATTTGTAATGAGTCTGCATTTGCCGCTGTGATGATCTATTGTTGTTTATGCTGTGGAACGTTGTTTGTTGTGCCTGCGAGCGTGACCATTGGTGGGACAATATTATTAGATTCTATGCGAGAAAGAGTAAGCAGCCGTTATGCATGTCCCTCCCGCCCAAAAATCGAATTTATTTTAATTTTTACTTTTCATTCAGGGCTTAAACTAGTCTAGGCTGTGCGTTGCAACAAAGGGATCAAATCGTATAAAAACTCATCCTCCACCCACCTACTTTTCTTCATCAACACACTTGCCCTGGTAGCACAAGAACAGACAATAAGAGAATACAGCTGCAAAACAACAACAGCACACAATTACCTTCATTCTCCTTCTTTAACCCTCTTCATCCTTCATCCATTCTACCTTTCCATTTTAAAGTTAATTGCTTTTAGCCAACTCGCTTGCCAACTTCTAGCTCCTCATCACACACATAACATCTTTTCCTCTTATCGTCTCAAATCCGCAAGCATTCAATCATGCCTTCCGCTACTTACAACGATCGCGCTGCCCCTGCCAACCGCAGCCAAGTGTACCCAGAGCTGCTTACCGATGCTGCCCGCCAGGCCCATAACCAAGCCCACCAATATAGTCAAGCTCTCCCCGCAGGAACAACTCGAGCTGATCAAGAACTTGAGGCACTTATGCTTACCATAGAATTAGAAAAAGACGTCGATCTGTCAGCATTCAGTAGTAGCGCAACACCCGGCACACAGCCTGCTCCCTCCAACAATGCATCCGGACAACCACAAGGCATCAACCAGTCTCTGCTCATGTCCGGGTCACGGCCATAAGCGCATCCTGAGGCTCCATTTCTATCCTGATTCCATTCATCATTTCATATTTCTCACCTTTTTGTACATGCCCCATTATTGCACATTTATTTAAAAAAATCTTTTTTATCGAATGGTCTCCGTGTCGGCCGGACACTGAGATACAACACACACACAAAAAAAAAAAAAAAAAAAAAAAAAAGACAAACAAAGAAAGATCGGAAGCTAAGAATATCCTCGCACATACCAACTCTTATTCTCGCTCCGATGTATGACAAGCGAGTTGGTGATATGGATGGCTGAGCTCTTTTTAGAGTTTCGGCTAACTTTAAATTACATCACTGACTCAGCCCGCTTCGGGACATTCCTTCCCGCACAATTATCCCATCCATCCCATCTTCCCAGTCAAATAAGCATTCTTTCCCAAAAATAGACAAGTCTTTATTCCTCTGCGCGATTTTCTTGATACCCTCCTTCATCATCAACAGACACATCCATACATCCAGACTCAAAGAATTCCATTTACATATATATTTGAATATATCCACAGCAGTTTATATTAGATATCATTCTCTTTATATTTTCGATTTTTGTTAAATATCCATCTGTATTTAAACATATTAACGCAAAAAAAAAAAAAAAAAGCAATGTAAATAAATGAATTCATCCGTACCTACTTCCACAAATATCGCTTCTCGACTGTCGATTGTAGATGTCCCACGATTGTGTATGCGAAATCCACAATCGTGTGATTGAAATTTTTTTACACGTCCGACCGTTTTTTTGATGTAACATTCCGTCATAAGAATATTTTGTGCCACACAGAGAATTGACCCTTATTTTACTCAGCTGTGACGAGATAAAACTCAGCCCACGCAGTAATCCAATTGCGATTAATATTTTTTCTAATGCATAAATCCAAGTTTATATCATAGCCACTGACCAGCCGCAGCTTGCTATTGTTAGTTTATTTATTTGTTTACTTTAATTCTTAATTGAGTTAACGCAACGACGATCATTCTTTGTTTTTTCTCCTTTCCTTCCATGTTTCGTGCCTTTTCTATTTTAAACAAAAAAACTGTTTTCTAAATCTGGAATCCAAGCCCTCCATTCGATCAATGCCGAAAAAGATCCTTTTTTATTTATCCACAGATGAAAGTGATACACAAATGCAACGGTCCGCAGCAGATTGAAATCCTATATGCCTCTTTATTAGTCACATGCCTACACACCCTGATTTGTTCCGTTCCTGTGGGTTCAGAGGCTTGTTCCTACCACGCAATTAGAGCATTTCACATACTATTCATTGTTATTGTATATTCATATATGTACATTACTCAATGTCGAACATGTCAATCAATCCATGTTTTAGATTGCACTGTCACAGAAGGCGGATCTTACTTTCTTCTCTCTCTATTTATTTTTATTTATTTTTTTATTTGTCAAATAATCTACTATGACATTTGGAACTATCACTTATGATGACAACGTACAGTGCGCCACTATTGTAGGCCCATATAATCATCAGCGCCATCATCATTGTTGTCATTATTTTCTTTTAAGAATCAGTCTATCGTCTTATACCTAAGATACGGAAAACGAATATGGCAGTGCATCTGTAATGAAATGAACATTCGTCTGCGCTCATCCGTCCAGCTTTTACTCCTTATTCCTTCAATTGAAAGACAGAACATTCATCCCCCAGAATGATGCTCCAGTGTGCGTCGTCAAGAATGAGCTCTTCCACCTCCGCCACGTTTATTAAAAAAATAAAAATAAAAATAAAAAATAGGATGCATAGCAATGTTCCTTTTTCTTATTATATACTGTTGCCACTGGCTTTAAGTTGTATTAAAAGTTCCGAAACGCCCGTCATTCGGCTCGCAGGAAACAAAAAGAGCATTATTTGCGGCCATATGCAGGAACGAACCTTTGACTGGGAGTGAAGAGAAATGAAGGCTTTTGGTTTTGAAGTCAATATCCTGAAGTGAAAGGAGGAAAATAAAAAGTAAAAAAGGCTTCCACACTGGTTTCTATAGGATTTATAATGAAAGTATATTATTATTTTATTTTTTCTTACCCTTCAGACAAACACATCTTTCTTACTTACTTTCCCTGCTCCTTATATCCTCTACACAATTAAAGCCCTTGCTAGAATATAAGCTCGTGTACATTACGCAAACAAACAAAAAGACAGACCCGTTTATTGATACCGCTTCTTTGATAAAAAAATGGCCAGATCATTATCTCCAGTATGGGTTAGAAATAAGAAGCACACCGTTGATCGGACTCGCCCTACAGTCTCTTTGCTTACTGTTTCCGTCCAGACGGCCGAACATTATCGCAGTCAGAAAGAACGCGATCGTGCGCTTCGTCTTCGGCGTCAGAATGAGCAGCAGTTGATGCGCAAGATGAAGGCGTTAGAGGCTATAGTGGCAAAAGCAGTAAGAAAGCCCACAACAACAACAGCAGCAACAACTACAACGGTGACGGCAACAAAAGCGCCAGTAACAGCAGACCATATTGGACTTTCGAACATGACCCATCCCAAGCACTGATATCCTTAGCAGTTTCCGTATATATTACACGTACAATACATGTACATTCACAGCCTGCCTACACAAATTCAGGTTTATCTGAACAATTTCAGTTTAAATAAAGGAATTGCATGAATAGTCTAATTTTATATTATTAATACATGTTTTTTATATGAGGGATGTACAACTGTTCTAAAGGCTTGAACGAGCATGATTTTGATCCTTATTGCAATGATTGCAATGGTTGCCATAAAGCCTTCATTATTTTCGACCTTAATGTGGACTCTACAGTCGCTCCTTTCTTCGCCTTCTTTTGGGATGGTTCCCTGATCCCCCCTTCATTCCTCAGTCCACTGTGCCGTCGTTCTTTCGAGCGTGTATAAGGTATACGTCCTTAGGCGAAGAAAGGACAAAAGAACACACTTCTGGTCGTTTGCTTATTAAATATATTTATGGGTTATGCCCCTCAAGTACCAAGCTCCATCTAGCTTTATGAGCAAGGCAATATCCGGCTTCAGCCTTTCAAATTCATTCTAGGTCCACATAAATCCACCTCTTACTCATTCCTAACCCAATCACCTATAGGAAAGTTATGAATAATAAGATAAATTTTTAAAATACATGTCAAGCACGAAGTGCTGGGAGGGAAAAAAAAAAAATCGCGTGTTAAATGTATCGTCTCACAGAGAATTAGAGAGGTGTCTGTGTCTCCAAGGAAAAATTATACTTCCAAGGCTTTCTACAAACACTTCGGGATATTAAAATAAAAAAAATAAAAATAAAAACTCGCTTCCATTGCTTTTGCTTTTGCTTTTGCTTTAAAAGACTCGAATAGTATCTGTTTTGAAACGTGTATATATGTTCTTTCAAGCTTTTCTTTTTGCTTTTCTTTTTCTTTTTTTTCTCTATCCAGGAGCAACTATAAATATGAACACGACCATCAAAATTAACACGAGTACAAGCTTGGTTGTCAGTACGAAAGCAAATGAAGGTGCATCTCCAAAGACCCCTACTTCTAGGGCGCCGACGGTCTCTTCTGCGGGAGGCCAGATCGTGCGTCAAAACGCTCGGTTTTTTAACCATGGTCATACTCCTCTTAAAAAAAAGACCTCAGAAAAAGATGATCCGTCGACAATGTTGAAGACAAGTAAGGTGCCGACCGCGGCGACTACAACAGCAAGCACGGCAAGCACGGCTTCAAAATAGGGCCGATTGATCAGAAATAGATAAGGAGTAGGCACAAATAAATAACAGCAGCACCAACGATGGGTCAATCGTTTCAGGCAAAAACGGCAATAAAGTATGAAAGAAATCATGACTAGGGAAGGAAACAAAGCAAAGTCTACACGATCAAGGCATAAAGAACCTGATATTAAGCGCTTTTTTTTGTGCACTATACACACACCTCTACTTCCTACTACGCTTCTTATCACTTTATCCTCCTTTGTTTCATTTGATTAAATGTATAATCCACTAGATAAACAATTGTCTTTTATCAACCTCTCTGAACTCTATCAAGGGCCAGGATTTGGTTATAGGTGATTGCCACTTGTGGACAACATGTTACCGCTTTTGAGCGAGCGAGCAAATGAGCGACTATTCTCAGTACATGGCATTGTCATAGACATAGTCAATAATTGAAAGCATCTCCTCTCTGTTTTTACTTTATTTTATTCAACAGACCATAAATCGGTCATATTGTGCTACACATTTGGACAACCCTTGTTTCTCAATTATTAGATGAGAAGATTCAAAGAGGGCCTCCACCAGACGGACCGTCTTTTCTTTTTGCTCTTGTTTAAGCTTCTGAGAATCAAAAAAGGCCAATACCTCGGTCTCGGCTTTTTTCTCGTCCTTCAAAGAGAGTCCTAGCAGCGGATGCAGCGCAGAGGGATTCAGGGTTGTGTTCATATTCTTAGCGTTTGGCTGTATGCGTAGCGAGTCGTCCACAGCGACATTCTTCCTATTGTTATTGGAGGTGGAAGTAGCAGTGTCACCGCTACCTTGTTTTGAAGTCGGCTCAGTCCACGACAAAACTTGACCTTTGGCCGAGATGGCAATGACTTCTGAGGAGCCACCTGCTATGTCAATGATGTCAACATCCAAAGGTCGGTGGATCAGACGTGCAACGTGATCGTCATGGTCGCTCACACCAATGCTTCCGTTTTCCATCAATACAATATCACATCCTAGAAAATGTGGCCAAATAAAATACTTTTTAAGCGAAAACGACCTTGGTAACTCGATTGAATTATAGCGCATGGTACAGAAGAAATAAGTAAACAAAAAAAAAAAAAAAAAAAAAAAAAGGATCTTTAGAGAGAAAATGAAGAGAGCCCCTAGTGCTGCTCATCAACACACCTTTAGATGCAACTATTTTTTTAATGTTTAGTTCAGAGTTTGGCGGCATAGATCGAAAGGTTTTCCATGGCTTGATATCATAAAACTCGTCTTCAGGCGGCAGGTCCAAGAACATTGGATTGTAAGGCTTTTCCAAGGGTAATGCTTCGCTGTAACGACCAAATGTCATGAGTAGTGGTTTTTCAGCCTTGATTTGCTTTTTTGGCTCCAATGGTGAGGGTGTATCTGCCTTCGTTGTCTCTATTGTCTCTTTTGGTGTTGATTCTGCTGTAGGCACAGGTACTGCTGCTACTGTAAAGTGCCATGGACTGCAGGCTACATGGGAAATGTTGTAACCTAGAACAGAAGTGATGAGCAGAGGACGCAGGCTCTTCTTCATGATTGGCACTACCTCGCCTTCTTCGTTCTCTTCACCAAAGGGAATGTAGCCCCAGATGTAAAGCTCGTCATCGTTGCCATTTTTCGGAGTCACAAGAACCATAGAATAGTTCCTATTAGATAAAAAGAAATCAGGACAAAAAAAATCAAGCGACGGTGAGGATGGAAACACTCTTTATTACAACTATACCTTACCAGTGCGGTTTTCGTTGGGTTAATATCTCTTGTGCCAAAAAAAAAAAAAAAAAAAAAAAAAAAAAAATATTACCCTGCTGCAAAAATCTGTTTGATGTTGCGTCCTAATGCATGGAAGAATTCCACTGGCTGTGGGAGCGAGTCATAGACTTCATCTCCACGACCCAAACATCCTGATCCCCATGACCAAAGTTTCCCAGATTTTGAAAGCGCCAAATTATGAAAGTTTCCTAGCATTCCAACCAACCAAAAAAAAAAAAAAAAAAAAAAAAAGCATTGAAATGTTAGATAGTCGATAAACTTGACCTAATTCTATTTATATGAATAGAAGGGTCGATTCGTTATTGTTACCGGAAGCAACCTGGACTATCTCTTCATTGGCCAACTGGCTCACGAAATGTACGTCTGTCACATCCTCCGTATCATCATCATGAAATGATTCCGTTGTGAGTCCAACCTAAAAGGTAATAGAAAGGGGTTTTTTTTCTGCATTAGTGATTTGATCAAGAAAATTTATTTTTAAAAGAAAGGAGTCAAGGTTACCTGATTGTGATAGTTGGAGCCCCAGACATGGACGTTGCCATCAACCACTGCACAGCTGTGAGCAATCTAAATACCGGCAGTAATTTGATCTTTGGTCAGCGTCTTTTTATTTTATTTTATTTTATTTTATTTTTTTAATCTGGCATAAATGTACTCGTAGTTTGTTTGTTTGAGTACTTACTCCTGTACTTAAGCATGTAATGTCTCTTTCTATGTTCAAAAAGTTCAAACCACTAAACAATTAGATGCTGACTAACCACGTGCTCATATTTTATTAGCGTTAATGCAGAAAGTATGTACCATTAAATTCGGGTTTCAAGTGTGGTGAAATGTGAGTGGAGTCCCAGAAAAGTACACGCGGCCCAGCATCCTCGAGCTTTAAGGGAGTGAGTTTTTTTGGTGCAACAGGCTCTTCTGTGGGATTGAATAACCAAGATAAAAATGGGCGTGAATGGACGCGACCTAGCTCTTTAGGAATGTACATCTGTGATGTAGAATTGACATGGTCGATAAAAAAACATCCTGATCGTAATGGCTGGGATCTATTAGATCGGCATGTGGCTGTGAGTAATTGCCTTGCTCCTCCTATGCTTTTGCCACTGGTACGTGCCTGTAGCTTAGCTGCACGGGCAAGCAACATCAGTAATGTAACTTAAAATAATAAAAAAGAGAAGTTGATGAAGAGGTGAGAAATGGCTGCAAAGGCCCTCCGGTCGTTAAAAATAAAGTCGTTTCTCCAGTATTCCAGTATCCCAGGATCGACTTGATCCCTTTGCTCTTTAGAATATTTGCCCAAAAAAAATACATGCCAAGTCACATACATAACAGTGCATTATTCAGTTATCCTCTTCTCCTCCTCCTCTCCTCCTCTCCTCCTCTCCCTTGTCTTCTTTCTTTCTTTCGTGTCATCCACTCCCTTCATTATCTCCAATTTCGTTGCTGCATTCAACCTTATATCTTGCTCATATTAATCTTTTGTAGATGGGCCTCATTTTACACATCATCGTTGTGGGCTTGTACGTCATTGCGTCCGCTTTTTCTTATTTGGCTTGGCATTGACAACCATTACTCTTGGCTGACTGACACCCATTTCCTTATTTCATTGCCATAGTCATCATGCTCATGGACCCATTGTCGAATATGCCTTCCCCCCATTCCCTGGTCAAAGTGCACAAAATACCTTGCAGCGTTTAGAAGTGCCTGAGGAATGGTCTCTATTGCCCTTCCTAGCACTGCCAGGTAAAAAAATATCCTTAGTGTCTTTGAATTAATATAGTTCCATGTTCCTGAACTCACAAAAGAGTCTCAATTTAACGGAAATCGATCTTTTACTTGCTTCCTTTATGTCATGTCACATCGTAAACTTAATTGGATATCTTTGTAGACGGAAGTCATCAAAGCGATGAAGATTTTACCTATTTTCACCTTCCTCCTATTAAAAACCGTAAAGATGCTGCGTCAAAATCAACACTCTTTGGCATCTCTTGCAATCGACAGATCCTGACAAAGGATTTAGTTGTAAAGACAGATGATGTCACTCGCAGTTCAGTCCAAAAGGCAGTTGTCGTACTTGCCAGACAGGTGTGGAGAAAAGATTCGTTGTTAATATTATTCGTTTCTGTTATATAAAGGGATATATGCTCTTCTCATTGTCCGTAATTGTCTTAAGCTCACGGACCGTGCATGCATCTCCAGCAAACGTGGTGGAACAAGTGATCTGTTCACATCATCCATTATTATTTCTTGTACCACTTTTCCTGACATCATGGGGTTTTTTTTCTTCTCTCTCTTTAGCCTATCTTTGGAGTGTTACGACAGCGGTTGGCTGTTGTGACAGCAGCATGGTTTGGTCAGAAGGACTTTACCCAGACTGATATTCTTGCAGTAAGTGCAAGGATTTTTGATGTGCCTTTACTGCCCGGTCAAGGGAAATAGACTTTATTTGAAGTTATTGAGCATGGACTGACATGGTCAATGCGTCACTGATTACAGCAATTCTATGACAGCCTAGATGCTACAGTATCAGAGAATATACCAGACTCGGCGTTCATGATGGGTAAGCATAGCCAAATGAGGAAAATATCTTTAGCATTGCCACATATCCTTGATTTCGAATGAATTGCTTCTAACAGCTTGTCTCATGTACCCAATAGGCACGTCACTCGGCGAGCTGGTTAAAAAGTTCAAGTACAAAGTTTTGGTCTTGCTGAAGTTACTGTTATTGGAAAAGCGGGTAGGCTGAGTGGTCGCATCATTGTGTATCATTTCATGACATATCTAGTTATACCGGTATGTTAATATGATATCTGTTTGTTGACAAGTAGGTTATTTTCTTTGGATATCCAGTTGAAACACTTTGTACCTATCAGTATTCGTTGATATCACTGATTCCAGGGCTGCTAAAGTCACTCCAGGACACGGGATCACCACTCCTAGACTCTCAAGAAGTTTACATGCAGAGCATGTCAAAGACACCAGCTCAGTCTACAGACAAACAGGCGTTATTTAAATATCTTGGACTTCCACTTCATATTTTTGGTGAAGTAAGTATTCCTTATTTAAAAATGATAGTTACCTGATTTCCTCTTAGAATGTATAACAATCTTCACTCACATGACTTCTTGACAAACTGATTCATTCCGTCTGTTATGTAAATCACAGGGATCATTTTTTCAACCATATTTGCCACTACAGCAGATCGACATACTTCAGGACCCTTTTACTAGGAGCTATATTATTGGAACTACCAATGCCATTTTCCTTCATAATCGGGACTGCTCGACAGATGTGATTGTCAATGTAAGAGAGATAAGTCAATGCTTTAGTTAATATTGTCTCTTATACTTCAACAAGAATGCCTAAATTGTGAAAAAAAAAAATTCTTGGAAATATAATATTTGACACTTAGACTGAACCAGGTACAATTGAGTTCTTACAAGATTCGCTTTCAAGTGTCCTTAGCTTGACTTCTGCTGATCGACGATGGATGGATGAAATTATTGAAGCAGTCAACGACAGTGGCGATAATGACAGTATGTACAAGTTTATTTTGAGTTGTGAGACATTGATTCTTGTGAGGGTGCCCTCATTTTCACGGACGCTGAAAAACTCTTCCTGTGTAACCTTTGTGGACTGCCATAGGACAAACGGAATACACAGGAAGCGATGACTATTTACGCGCGAAATTTGAAGAGTATATCTTGACCCTCCTGTCCAGTGTAAAACACTCACAGTTCACTCAGGCAGACGATTCGATCGAGAACATTGGGAACCTAAATGGTATTGAAATTGTCACAGAATCATGTGGTGCTAGCTTGTCTTGTCTAAATGATAGTTTTCAGACCGACTGATTTTCTTTTTATTTAATCAATAGATAGAAACCTGATAGCGGACTATGGTACTTACTTTGTCAAAGCCTGGCAAGAGACACCCAACTATCAGCTTTGGAATGACTTTGTGGACTGGGAGCTGTTAAATGAAATCGTAGCACCGGGTCATCCATGTCAGGGCAACTTCTCCCTTGCCCATGTGCAGAGACGACTGGCAAAGTATGCACTTTAGAAAGCTTATTGGCATCTATAACAATTGCCTCACGATTGCTCCGCAATCCATCTGACTCAAAGCTGATTTATTCATTGATATTAGCCAACTCAAGGATATACGAATAGATAAAAATTTGGAGCCATTGAAGCAATCGTTTTCAAGAGCATTGACAACTAGCCGAGCGAGACTCTCTAATGTTTTCGACTCAGTATGGCAAGAGTTTGAGAAGCTACAGCCAGAAGAAGACACAGGGGTAACATCAGCGACAACAGCAACGATAGCACCTCAAGCACTTGAGCCAGCGATATACACTCCTTGTACGAGAAATACACCGGCGAATAATGGCAAAGGGCTCATCCAGAGCGTATCTACTAAACCAGTGGCTCAAATTGCTTCACGGTCCGTCCCTGACCCGGAATTGATGCCCGAAGATGACGAACACGATCGAATTATACCACAAAGTTCATATAGATCTTCACCTAGGGCCATTCCATCTATGAAACAACAACAGCAACAACAACAGCAACAGTTATCAAATTCCTCGCCTCGGTCGAGATCTGCATCAGGATCCCCGGCCCCTGCAGCGTTTAATTCGCTTGGCCCCGCAACAGCCGCGACAGCTGCATTGGGCCAAAAAGCGGCCGGAATGTTCTCAAACGTATCAAGCTTCTTCCAGGCAAAGAAGAAGGAACTCTTGGATACACAGCGTGAAGCAGAGGAGCAGTATCAGCAACGAATTCATCAACATGAGCGAAAACAGAGGTTAATGCAAGAGCGTGCTAAAGCCACGGCATCTACGTTCGCAATACCCCCTAGACTGTCGCCTTCTCCAAAACCCAACTCCAAAGCGCCAGTGCTAAACTCTGCAAAAAACCACAGCTCCTCGACTTCGTCAACGCCGTCGCCTATGACCACAGGGGAAGTGTTTGCGTATGTGGCCCCCAAGTCACCCCCTTCCCGGAAAAGTCCAACTTCCCCGAGAAGCATAAGGACTGTAGCAGCAACAGCAGCTGGTGAAGAAATACTAGGACCATCGAGCTTTCCGAGCGTAACGAAGGATATATCTACTGCTCCTGCGCCTGCGTCTGAGCCCATTCAGGTACCGATCATCTCTCCGAAACCTACCGTACCAAATGTCACCTCACCAACGTTGACACGTGGGGGCTCATCAGCAGATCGTCTATTGTCGTCACTTCGAGATCAGAGCCAAGATCAGGTGGAGGATCTCGACCAAGAGAGCCTGCAAGAGTTAGAAAAGGAGTTACAGGAAGCGCTGGAGTCGAATGATATTCCTTTAGCAGCATCAGCAGCAACAGCATCAGTGACATCAATACCAGAGGACTTTGCCTCTTCTGCAGCGACAACATTGACAACATCAAGATTGTTAGGTGTACAAGAGGGATCTACATCAATTGCGATCACACCAACACGATCTGTGACACCAGTGGAGGCATATTCGCCTTTTTCAGAAATTTCACCTCCAACGTCACCCGCGAAAGAGACAAACGATCCATTAGCTAATATCAACGCTTCGATGATGGGTGTGGTTGACAACAATAATAAGGAGAAAGAGGAGGAGGAAGAAGAGGAGAAAGAAAAAGAAGATGTTGTCAAGAAGGATCCGTCGCTAGGCGTTTCATGAATTATTTGATTGATTAAACGAAAAGCAAACACAATAAGATCACGGTTCACATTGCTTTTATTCTCTAGGGGCTTTATTCACGATTATTTAGGAGGAAAAAAATACAAATTGAAAAGGAAAGGAAAATGCGAGCTGCAATCCTTATTCTATAAACTGTACTAACTACCTGTTGCTTCCTTAAGAAGAGGTAACACGATTTCTCATGTTGTGGATGGACAAGAAGAGTGTGAGCATCCAAGCGACGACGCGATCCTTGATCATATACATCAAACCAAAGGAGAAGAACCCCTTGACGACTTGACCCTGGCAACCAGTGTAGAGACCTGCAATACCCTTGTCCCTGATGACAGTCCTGAAGACATCTGAGATACCATTAAAGCTCTTCTTGACTGTCTTTCTTGTCGATCCCCCTGATGCTGTTGATGCTGATACTGCTGCCATTGCACCTGTTTTTGAATCTACTGTTGCTATACCAATCGATGCCTCCTCATCTACTTGATTTTCTTCTTCAGACTTAGTCTGCAATTTAGTTTTAGTGAGAATGAGTGGATACGTCAAAAATGATGCAATGGCCTTGGAGAATGCACTGATCAAAAAGACTTGTAATGATGTCAAGGAGGCAGCGGCTGCCAAAACGGATTTTGAAGGGCTAGGATTGGTTCGGCTCACAGTCTTGAGTTGTTGTTGAAGAATCCATTTTTTAAAAGTCTCAAAGAGGAAATACGTAATTGAAGGATTGATTGAAAGAATGACTGTAGGTGCATAGCCGGCCCAGAAACCGGTAATACCATCCTGAGCATAGATCTCTTGAATGATCGACCGAGCCGAAACTTTAGTCGTTGACTTTGGTGTTGCTCCTTTTCCTTCTTGCTCGAGGCTGCTGCCCATGACTTGTTGTCGCGTGGTGACAACATGGATTGGAGCTGTGAAAAATCTAGAAATTATTCCAGCTTCGGCTCCCAAAAATAATTCCTGAACTGTGGATAATTGACCAGATTGACGACGATGCTCCTTGTATTGTCTCAATGCCATGTAGACATAGAAATATACAAAGTTGGAGGTCAACGTGGCCACTGTATCCGAGGCCAGACCTGAATATAAGGCTGAGAAGCCTTCTGTCGCATAGGTCTTACGGATCGCGTCCAACACAGAGGTGTAACGAACTTTTCTGGAAGTGGAAGAAGATAAAGAGAGAGAAGAAGAGGAGGCAACTTTATGTGTTGTAGTGGTGGTGGTGATGGTGGTTTTAGTGATCTTCTTTTTACGACCATCCTCTCCAATTGTGATATCAGACGAGGTAGCAGTTGTACTGGAGGAAGAAGAAGTGGAATCTGGAAGGGGAGGACGTTTAAACTCGATAAGCTCCACAGTTTCATTTGAAGCAGAGGCAGAGGCAGAAGCAGTTTTCTGCAAAGGGATCAATCCTGTTACTGAAGACTCTGAAGGATCCTTAGTGGACTGGCTTTGTACACGGGTAGTGGCCATGTCAAGAGGATAGATGACCATATTGGCAAGTGCAGCAGCTACACCTCCGCTGAGGGCATGACCAATAGGAGGTAGTTCATAGGCAACCATTGTCTTTCAAAAAAAAAGAGATGTGGAATGGAGTGGAGTGGAATGAAGTGGAATGAAGTGGAATGAAGTGGAGTGGGATGAAGTGGAGTGGAGTGAGGTGGAGCGAGGTAAAGTGGAGTGAAGGAGGTGAACAAGAGCAGAAAGAGAGGAGAATCGTGTGGGGGAAGGATAAGAAACTAATGGGTGGAATAGAATATCAACAAATATTTACGGAAGACACTTTACACTGCTGCAAAAGCTTTTTGTTTGTTCAAAGGACAAAGTAACAAAGAGCATGTGAAATGTGGAAATTAAGATATTTGAGGTCACATGATGGCGTTTCGCGTCTGATGGAGATCGCTATTCATGAATATGTTCTATTCCTCACCATCTGCTTGGTGTTACTGTTCTCCAGCTAGATAAAGAGGACGAATATATAAGATTCTATTTACCGTGTAGTCGCTGCATTTTTTTCTCATTTACGCTAAGTGCTGATGTCGTGTTTATACACATGCAGCGAAGGTGTCACAAGCATAATAACGTCAAGAAACCAACAAATCACTGATGATAATATGGGTCCTATCAACATTCGCAAACATTTGATAGCCTCCCGTAGACATTCATGTCCCTCGGATGGATCGGAACTGTATAATATACAATTGATGATCTTCAGTGACGCTCAGGTCTTTTGACACAACTCAGAATGCCTGTAAGAGCCATTTGGGATAAAATACGCAATATCACACCCGCAGTAATCTACAAATTAGCTGATGTCCTGTGGCTATTCCGGCTTTCGCTGTTAGTAACCTTTCTCCTGTAGTCCTTCTTCGAACTCAAGCCCTAGGCCTCATCTTCCACCATACTAGAAAGTGTCTTGAACTTGGAAGCCGGAGACATTAATAGCTTTATCCTATTACTCGCATCTTGGAAGATTAGACGCCGTACCAGCTCTCTCATAGCTCCATGTTCGATTAAGGTCCTCTTGCTGTCTTCAATCAGCCCAACAGTATTTTAAACAAAAGCATTGCCTGCATGAACACCCATATACGTTGTACTTAGATGTTCTCTTCAGAAAAGCGGTATCATGCTCTGATTTCTGTGCATGGTATTAGCTTGGGTATTCTTGAAGGAGAATGGGCATGCTGTACTCGAAGGCTTCAAGTACCTAGTGCTTTCGTATATACTATTACAAAGCAGGTTCTTAGTTTTTCATGGCCGACTCTTACCTCACTAGAAAAGCATACTCTTTACGTCGGTGAGGGAATAGAAAAGAGAGACGTTTTATAACATGACATTGATTTGTAAAGATTGGACCACTTATCTCGTGGGATTATTGACTCCATTGAAGGTATCAACGCCTAATGAGCGCTCATTTTAAAGGAAAAAAAGTCGCAAGCAATAATTACATACACTATTAACAATATATATTAATCAAGCTGCAAGAATTGGGTTCTTTAATGATGGTCTTTGGTAGGGCCTTAAATAGTAGATTTGAGCTTTGCACAAAAATTCTATCCATTTAGCCATGCGTCCACTCAGATGAGGCTAACTGATACTACAACATTATGTCTAGATGCCACAGTTGCTACTGATTAGGTCAAGTAGTTGGGAAATTGGGCGAAGTTTAGGTGGTCTGGTTTTCCCACGCCCACAGCAGAGCAAGGAGTCTGGAACACGGACAGTAGGAGATTTTCAGAACCATCAGTACAAATGACATAAGAAACCTTCAATCAATCCGGTATAAGAGCCGTTACCTGTTGTTGATATAAATCGACTTTAGCAATCAGACTGGCTCTGATAACATGTCCTGCCATATCCACACATAAATCAAAGGAAGGTTGGAGCGGCTCACCCTAAAGAGATTGCCATGCGATGCTTTCAATGACCAGCCTGCTGTGACCAACCAGGTCGACAGACTTATCTGCTCCTACTCAGCAGTCTGGCTACCTTCGACAAACTACTTCTTTGCGGTTCAAAAGGATATGTTTGTACTCATCAAGGCTTAATAGAGAAGTAATGAGGAAAACCTTGAAGCAGGGCCACATAGTTATTCAAAAAAGTCTGCTGCGCGGTTACTCATGTCAAATGTGAATTATCCGAAAATTAAATTTAAATCCCAATAGAAAAACGTGGCCAAAGTCTTTTCCAAATCAGGAAGGAAAGCCGTATGACAGCACAACTCAAAATCCCGATGGATGAACATCAATAGGCTAAAAACATGAGAAATAGTGGATCTTTAAAGTAGGGAATGTGTCAATGACTCTTGTCAGTATCGCTTGAGGTGATGAATTATGTGTTTGAAGGCATTTCATCTATTATCATTGTTGTTACTATTATTATTATTATTATTGTTATTAATGTTATTATTGTTATTAATATTTTATGATTTTCTTTTTGTGTTGGGTGATATGTGCATTTAAAAAGAAATGTTCAACTGTAGGCCTGTCAATTAAAGAAGGTGGAGAAAGAATGAAACAGGGTCTTTTTGTAATGTGTCAACATTTCTCACGCTCTGAGCTGAATCTCGCACACTCTCCGGCAGTTCCTTCGGACGGAAAGTGCAAATAAAGAAAGACTTATTAAGCACAGACACAGATTAAATTTCATTTGCCGATCTTCCCTTTCTCTTCCGCTGTCATGTCTCAAACCGGCTTAAATCGTAAAAAAAAAAACAATCACAAATGCTTTAAAAGGAGGCCAATCCCCTCAATTTTGTTTTCATTTTTACAACTTGCATAGAACCCTTGCACTGACAACCCATCCTTACTTTACTTGTTAGAATTCACTTTGCTCATTCCTCTTAACAACTCATTTCATTCTCTTTTTCACTTAGACCCCTCATTCTCACTTTCACTCCATAAAATTATCAATCATAGCACATATTTTTATCTCTTTCTTGAACTCCCAACTTCACAAACATGTCTGGTGACCACTATAAAAGCCCTTTCCTTGACCACCATGAAGACAAGAATGAATTGATTGCTGTAGCGGCCGCAAAGGGCGCTGGTCTTGCCCTAGTTGCCGGTGGTCTCATCGCTTTCTCTGGTTCTCGTTATTCAAAGGTCTATCAGACTTTGTCCCGCCCCATGAAGATGTTCTTGCTCGGATCTGGTAAGTATAGGTTAAGATAAATAGCAACAGTAATAGGCAGAACATCTTTTTGAATGCACAACTAAATCTATACTTGTTTTGCTTTTTTTTTTTTTTTTTTTTTTTTTTTTTTGATTTCAGGTACTGCGGCTACTGCGGTTCTCTTTGGTGACCATGCCCGTGTCCATTACGAAGATCGCCAGCTACTTCGTCACTTGGATGCGGAGGCTGCAGAGGCTGCTCGCGCCGAGATCCGTGCTCAGCGTGGTATATTGGCTGAGTTGAACTACCAAATCCGTGAAAATCGCAACGTAGTTGTTGGTGTGGCCTGGTTGACCTGTATGGCAGGTTCGCTGGGCTATACATTTTCTAAAAAGGGTCTGACTACAACTCAGAGGATCGTCACAGCTCGTATGTATGCTCAAGGATTCACAATTTTGACCATGCTGGGTGTTGCTGCCTTAGAATTGACAGAACCTCCACACGAAAAGAAGGAAATCATGACAGATCAATGGAAGGCTATTTTGGCCAAGGATCGACAGGGTCAATATATTGTTAAGGATCCAACACAGCAACAACAGGTCGCTGCTGCATTAGCTGCACCCGCATCATCAGTATCAACTCATTCATAAAGATATAAGACCCATTTTTGTACAGTAAACAAGAGAAACAAAAATACATCACCATAGATAATTATTGTAAGAATGGAACACCATCATCATTAAAAATTTAACAATTAGCAGCTTGTTAGTCATGTTTAATTTTTGATGTAACAAACACCGATAGAGCGTAAAGACGCATAATACAATGACGATCCAATATCTCCAAGACCTTATCTGGTTTCAGTTTATTAACCTATTAAGCGAGTCTATGGTAGATGGTATGCACGTATTTGATCGCTTGCTAGCGCACAACGACCTGTTGGATAGTGTCGACATTCCTGATGTTTCTCGAAGAATGCCTTTTGTGTGATACCACTTTACGGGGCCATACCCTAATACTGACAGAGCTTGTTTGTAGTATATGCATAATATGGGTGAAGGAGTACTTAAAGGTGCTTGAGATATTCCCTCAAATGGTCCATCCATGTAATTTTGGAGAGACAATTTTGCCCAAAAGCATTGCAAGGCGTTGTTATTAACTATTATAATGACTTCTCTTTATTCAACAGCTTTTTGAGAGTATTGGTGACTGTGCAACAGCGGTCAAACGCCTTGGACACCCTCAACCAGCAGAAAGAACGACTTCTAATGTCTTTTATCCACTCTCTACAAGTCATCGTCGAACAAATCGGGAAAGTCTAAAAAACAATAGCTGATATAGTATCAGCACAGAATCGCAAAGTAAAAAATAAAAGTAACAATAAAAAACACAAAAGCATCTAAGTAGGCTACTTGCCATTGAAGAAATTCTTATCGACAATCTTGACATTCTGTGCGCGTGTATTTCCTAAGCGAGAAGCATCTTCAAAATATTCATCAGCCGTAGGCGAAGGGGCGACAAAGTCATCCTCGTCCAGCATCATGTCTTCTTCATAATCGTCAACTAAATTAGTTCAATAAAAATAGAAGAAAAAGAAAAAAAAGAAAAAAGTGTACAAGATTGAGATTTTTATTTGCACTCGTAAAAGCATCATGGTTGAGTCATCGATGTTGTAATGAATGCCTAGATCCCTTACTATCCATGTTGAAACGGGTGTGTGTGAGAGTGTATGACTGAATGGGTAAAGAATAAAAGGCTTCATGGCCATTTGCATCGCCGATTATGCACCCGGTGACTGCGAAAGCAAACCAATGTATCCCACAGTGGAATCAAATCTTTTCTCTTCAATGATAAAGGGTGACACAATGGACTCACTTACACAGGACTTGGAGAAGGCTACAGTAGCTAATAACGTCCAAGAAACGTGTCAGGAAAATGGCACTGCCGATAGTCCTGCTGCTGCAAATGGAGTAAAGAACAAAAAGAAAAAATCCTCTGCAGCCACCACAATCACCGCAGCAAGTATGAATGCATACAAAATGAAAACGAAATCAAGATGTTAAAGATTCCCTGCTCTAATTTTTTTTTTTCCCCCACTCTGCGGAAGATAGAGTACAGGTTGACAAGGATGTATCCAAAGATATTGAAGCTGTAGGCGGAAATGACGACGATGATAACGATGATGGTGATGATGACGATGACGGGGAAGAAGGAACAGCAGACATTGGAGGAAATGTTACTAGTAAGGACAACCATTAATCATCCATTTCAAAAATATAAGATATTTCTTTTTGAATTTCATCAAATTGATTCGAATGTGTCTTTGTTTAGGTGGGGCAAAGAAAAAGAAGAAGAAAAAGAATAACAAGAAGAAGAAGAGAGTTGTCCAGACCGAGCCTCCAACTATCCCTATCTCTGCTTTTTTCCCAAACAAGATCTATCCAGAGGGAGAACTCTGTGAATACAAGGATGAGTATGTTAGACAAGCTGCCAAAAAAAGAAAAAGTCCCATTCAAATTCATTTTACCATTACAATTGCAGCTTTTTCTTTTCTTTTCTTTTTTTGCTGATTTCCACTTCTCTACTCTCTCTCTTCTTCTGTCTATCTGTTTAGCAATCTATGGAGAACAACAAATGAGGAGAAACGTGCACTTGAGAAACAAAACTTTGATCAGTACAACGATATCCGTCGGGCTGCGGAGGTGCATCGTCAGGTCCGAAAGTATGCACGTCGAAACATCAAACCTGGCATGACCATGACCGAGATTTGTGAGATGATTGAAAATGGTACGAGGACGTTAGTGGAGGCCAAAGGGTTCGAGTCTGGCATTGGATTCCCCACGGGCTGTTCTTTGAACCACTGTGCTGCTCATTATACACCCAATGCTGGAGATAAAACCGTGTTACAACATGGTGATGTCTGCAAGATTGACTTTGGTGTTCATGTCAACGGTAATCTTTTTTCTTCTTCTTTTTTGTTTCCTGAGTAGGGATGGTGCATTTCGTCCGCAGGGCGTTGGTTATCCCTTCCTAAGGTTGATCTTTTATCCTGTGTATATAAGATCACTTATTGAAAAAAAAAAAAAAAAAAAAGCCCCCGCTCTTACTTCCTTTCTTTAAATTTATAGGAAGAATCATCGATTCCGCATTTACACTCACGTTTGATCCAGTATATGACAATCTGTTGGCGGCTGTCAAGGATGCCACCAATACAGGCATCAGAGAGGCAGGAATTGACGTCAGACTAGGAGACATTGGTGCAGCTATTCAAGAGGTCATGGAATCATATGAGGTTGAGATCGGAGGGAAGACTTACCAAGGTATTGAAGATAAGGAAGGAAATGAGGGAGAAAAGACTATCTTAAGTTTACAGTGAATGAAACTTGGTGTGGACTAAAAAAAAAAAAAAAAAAAAAAAAAAAACTTAATAGTTAAGCCTATTCGTAATTTGACTGGGCATTCCATTGAGCAATACAAGATCCATGGAACAAAAGCTGTGCCAATTGTTAACAACGGCGACCCTACAAAGATGGAAGAAGGCGATTACTTTGCGATCGAGACATTCGGAAGCACGGGACGTGGCTATGTGCACCACGACAAGGAAACCAGCCATTATGCTCGTGTTTATGATCTTCCCAAGATCCCTATTCGGTATACTGCCTCTCCCCCTCCTCACATCGTTGCACACCTTTCTCTTTTTCCCTTGTTCTTTACATCTACAAGTTATTCCCAAAGCTCGTACCTAACAGTCTTAAACATGTAATCATCACTTTTTAATACATAGTCTTCCTAGAGCCAAGACGCTGTTCGAGACCATTAATCGTGAGTTTGGCACATTACCGTTCTGTAGACGATACTTGGATCGTTTGGGCGAAGAAAAGTACTTGTTGGCACTTAAGAGTCTGTGTGATACGGGACATGTTGCAGATTATCCGCCTTTAGTTGATATCAAAGGATCATATACAGCGCAGTATGAGCACACATTAGTCCTTCGGCCCACTCGCAAGGAGGTGCTGAGTCGTGGCGACGATTATTAAGAGTGATCTCATGTGATAGCGAAAAATATAAAACCATAGTGGACTTTACTCAACTATACATCGTTTTATATAATACCTATGGTGGTTTAAACTCATATAGAATGTATATGGTGATAGTAGCAACACGGCAATACAGCAAGTAGTATATTAATTATTATGGCTCCTCATTTCGGATTCAAATTTGGCTGTTCGAAGCTCCCTTTGCCTTGTTTGCTTTTCCATCATGACTTCGTGTGTTGGCGATGGATTTCCTCCTGCTCTTGATGCTACTGCATGGGCTTCAGATGAGCTTAACATTGACTCAGCCCTTCTGTACGTTATTGACAACGATGGTGATGAAGATGTAATATAAGCATGTTCAGTTGTAGGCTAATGATCTTCGTCGGTGTACCGATATACAATGAAGATATATTAAAATATGGCAGTATAAAAATATGGATGTTCAATGATTAAATACACAATGATGTGAAGATTTGTGCTACGTTTGGCATCGAAGCCCCTTATTCACTAATAATTAGATTAAGCTACCTACTTGCTCACTTCTCTCATAACCAAGATATGCACTCTTAGAAGTTTTATCTGAGCTTTTGATGTCAACACCTTGGCTCTAACTATTTGAGATAAGGATCAGACTTTGTAGTCTGTTGCCCACTCTGACAGCTTTAATGGTTGATCGAACTCCTCTTAACATCATCAATAAGCCTTTTCGCACCCTCGGAGACATAGCAGAGTTTGAGTTGGGCCCACAGTCTGCAAAACCCTCCTCCGACAATAGCATCCTTGCCTCCATTAAGCGCAGGCTGCATCTATTTAATGACGGCGGCCAGCAAGTGAAGAGCTACGCTGGAGGCCAAAGTCTTTTGAATGAAGTAGTCAAGGGCCTGCGAGGTTACGGCCCCAGAGCTAGCAAGCCATTGGTATTGAATGTGAGTTAATCTTTTCTGCCAAGATATTGAGCAAGGCATCGCCTATCAGTACAGATTCGAAGATTAATGCCATGTTTAGGTGTATTGCGATCAATGATTAAAGTTTAGATCATGCATTAAAAAGCAGAAGAACAAACAAGGATTTGCCATCCCTCCGAGGTATTGAGTTAGTTTATGAGGCCCACCACCCTTTATATCTAGTAACTTCAAGAGGCAGGACAGATCATAGGCACACTACACAATGGACCGAGAAACATCTTTGAGAGATTGACGGGACAGCCTTGGGATTCATTGAATAACAATTAAAAAAGAAAAAATACTACGTGGGTCTGAAAAGCAAGAATTAAATCAACAGTTTTCTTTTTTTATGGACTAATAACTGGCGATATTTGGTACACCGGGCATACTACGAGCCCACCGCTTTTGACAACAACAGAGAATGTTTTTCACTTCAGCAACATTTTGGAAATACCACTATGCTTGGTTGGGTTCGGCAAGATAACTTGATGTGATACGTCTCTTGGATAGTACAGACATCACTCTGAGCCAGACCATGGCGTAGTTGGAGAAAACAGACAGGAGAAGGGAATTCTCCTTGACATGCTGACTTGAACTAACTGAAAAAAAAAAAAAAAAAAAAAAAAAAAAGTAATCCGAGGAAGTGTGGGGGGTATTGAAATGTTACAGTACATGTACATATGTCTCTGACATAATAAATCAAATGAATACATAATGCATATTCAAACATGGCGCATGACAAGTACGCGTTATACGCGTCTGTCTAACGTGCTTATTGGAATTGACTGCCGAGCCCCTTTTTTCTCTCCGATCGCCGAGGAAAACGTTAACTATTCATTCAATTCAAAAAATATGTTAAACCTTATTTCTCCTCTCATTCACACTGATTCATATCTTCCATCATTCACTTACTTTTTTTTTTTGTCAGTATTTTTTGTCGAAAAAGAGGAAAAGGAAAATTTCGTTGTTTTTACTGTTATGCAGAAAAGCCAAATAATAATAATAATAATAATAATACAACGCTCTCAATTGTAGACTCGTACATGCACAAATATATTTTTTTCTACCAATAATTGAATAGTTCGTCATGGGAACATTCAATTGAATGCCCATAGACTACTTTTTTTTTTTTTTTTTTTTTTTCCTTTCTCCTTTCTCCTGTTCTCTCAACAACAAATGCATCGACTTTGAAAGATGGAGGAACTTAGAAAGCTCGTTTCAAGGGTTACTAGATCTTTAGCCAGCCAATCGAGTTTTCATTCAATCATCATTGGCTGGAATCTCTTTAAGCAACAGAGAGGTAGAAAGACAGACTGATAATAGAAGAGGCAGAGAGAACAAACGGGATTAGCTGGCGGTAAAATAGTCGCTGACGACTCTACCCCTTCTGCTTCTGCTTTGTACTGTGTAAAAATAATTAGCGTCAATGGCGTCGATCGTCTTAACCTTGTTCAACTCAATCGCGTCTAAAAAATCAACAACAACAAGAAGAACACGACGTAAATAAAGGGATGTCCTTAAAAAGAGGTTGTTCGACGACGCTCTTTGTTTCTCCTTCTTCTTTCCTTAACCTATTAACCTTCCGTAATATTTATCACATCCACTTCTAAATCTACTTCTTAACTTTCAATACGCGTTGCGTACACCATTTTTTGATCCAACTTTCCGATTGATCAAGCAATCATGGCTGCACGAAGAAGTCCGGCAAATGATCCCCGCGCTCAGCAGAACGCGGGTGATAATCAAGACGTTAACGCTGGTGAAGATGCTCAACCCAATAATGGTGGAGACACTCAAGCCAATAATGTTGGAGGTGTTGGTGAGCAAGTGTTTGATGAAAAAAGTGATAGAGGTTCTCCCTTCGAATCACCGTTCTTGGACGGAGAAGTCATCGACGTGTCCGGAACTCAGGACAATTATGCCGCTGATGGTTGATAGCAGACGAATGCAAGCGTTCCGTGGCGGCTGCAATCCGGCGCCATTTTATCTCTTTCCTTTATCTGTGTTCATGACCTTTTAACGTGACTTAAATGCATGGACTTGGGCTTTTAAATGTTTGAGCCTGAGCAGAAGACGCGATTTGTTTTGTAATTGACACGGAATTTTGCTGATCCTTCTCTATTTCTTTTTCTTTTCCACTCTCTTTCGGAAGCCTTTTAATTTTTTTTACTACTTTGTTCTATCTCGCGAATTGGGAAAAAAAAAAAAAAAAAAAAAAAGGGGAGGTTTTTTTTTTTTTTTTTTTTTTTTTTTTTTCATTTTTAAGTAGCTGTTTACATGTTTGTTTGTTTGTTTGCTTAAATTTTTCTGTATATATTATATATTTCTTAATTAAATTCATTAAAATAAGAGTCTATACCCCATATTTATAATTATGACGATCATGTCCACTGATACAAACACTGGTATACTAACCTTCCTATTTTCATGTATATACCTGTAAAAAAATATATACAGACGCACTCTTTGCCACCAGCTAGCCACTCTCTTGACATCTTCCTACATCTCTTGGGATATGCACTAGATTCATCCCTGATACTTACATCTATGTGATTATAAGAGTAAACACACAACTTTCCTTCTCTCCTCCTTTCAAGCCAACATCTTTTCTGCTTTTTTTTTTTTTTTTTTTTTTTTTTTTTCACACAGAGGCTAGAAATTACCTTGTCCTCTTCGTCCTTTGTCCCCTGGTTTTTTTTTTTTTTTTTTTTTTTCTCCTCTTTTATTGTTTAATCTATTCTGTCCTTCTCTGTCAGATGTCCTTGATTCCCTTCAAGTGGTTGGCATGATCAAAATAATAAAAACTCTACTGATTATTTACATGCTAATAGGCAATATGAATAGAGATTATGAATAGAAATATAAAAAGATAACGATGTTTTCCGTCTTTGTTGTTGTAGCTTTGGGTTTTTCTTGATCTACTATCTTGTCTTGCCTCCTTCCATTCTACTTCTCTTGTTTGCATCAGTCGGGAAAGTAAAGCCAAATATAGGAGATAATTCGTTGTTTGTTGTTTATGTGTTGAATGTATTGTAAAACCATCACACGCGTCTTTATCTTGCTTTTTCGTTACTTTAAGAACTGCATTTCTCATTCTGATAGTCTATCCGTTTTATATCACCTCTGTTATTGTAAAAATAAAAATAAAAAATAAAAAACACACAACGCAAGGGGGAAAGTCACGCAAAAAGTTTATAATGATTTATAGTTATCAACGTATTATTGAACTATTTAAACATTATATTTGTATGCAATAACGGGGCTGTTGTTGAAGTTGTTCAAAAGCAACAGTGGGTGGATTTCTTCTTTGGAATTAAAACATGTTTCTATCGAACCTGAACTTGTTGAACCTGTATCTATTGAATACCGAGCAAAAAAAAAAAAAAAAAAAAAAACTGTGTAGCGAAAAGATTTATTGTGTAACAGTTATTATGAAGAATAAAAAGCGTTTTGAAAAGAAAAAAAAAGAGGGAGCTTATTCTTATTTTTCGGCAACTGTTGCCTCAAGGGCCAAAACTAGTGAACATAGCCGCCCGGTTGTTTCCGCATCGTCGATATCGTCTTGAGAAGCCGAAATATTCAACTGCTGAACGCATTGTCCTTCGCTATTCATGCTCAAGCCTAGATTTGACATAGCCAACGACAAAAGTCTTGAGGAGTTTTTCCATACCGTAACTGGAGAAAAAGGAAACTCGCCACTTGCAGGAGATACAATGGGAGAGAGTGGTTTTTTTTTTTTTTTTTTTTTTTTTTGATCGGGTTGACACATCGTTATTAACTTTACCATTCCTTATGCATTTAAGAGTCCAAGATCATGTTTGTGTGCGAGGAGAAGAGACGAACTAGGGAGAATTATACCGCAAGGGTACACACAAACCCAACGCATTCTTTTATTGATGCTTTGTTTCCTCCAGCCCGTTTTCTTTCACATGCGGCCACCTACAACTATGGCAGACAAATATTTAAGCTTCAACTCATATCCATACTCATACCCATCAACATATTTAGTCCCAGACAGGCAATTGGTGGTGTTAGCAGCAACTACTTGGAGATATGGAGAAACTGCAAAACAAAGTTTAACAGGGAAGGTCAATTCGTGTGGTAGTTGCTCCTTCATCGACTCTAAACGTTTATCTCAATATCATAAAGTAGATCCAGGGATTAAAGACTTTCATTTGTTGTCTGATACTCAACTACACACATCATATGTTATTTCGCAAACAGTCAAAAGAGATCCTGGTTTTTTTACGCCGCCTTTTTTTTTTGTCCGTGTCATTTGAGAATATCTCTAGGAAGAGATTGTGGTCTCAGGATCAGAAGTCTCTGGAAACAAAAATGTCATCAAACTAGCAAACCAGGAAAAAAAAAAAAAAAAAAAAAAAAAAAAAAAGAAGCATAGGACTCTAAATTGAGATTAATGGAGTGTTTCTCATTTTCTTTTTTATTATTACTGCCTGCTGTTGACATTGTTATGATCAACCATCTCATGGTCGTTCTGGATATATTTCAGGAACTATTTTAGAAAGCAACAGATCTAACGCAATATAGACCAAATGCTTATTACAAATCTTGCTCTGGAAGGGTTCTAATGCCTCCTTTGCAGCAACCAGATGATGAACGCCATTATCTCCGAAAAATGTGTCACGTAGTAATGCTATGGTTTCATAGATTTCCAATAAAAAAAAAAAAAAAAAAAGAGAGAGACAGTGAGTATATTAGCATCCGTGCTCAAATAGTAGTCATATTAAATATTCTTGCGCATGCATGATAGATAAGTCTACCTGGCACACTTCTCAAAATACGGCGCTCTGCCTCCTTACGCGCCTTCTCCACCTCATCTCCACCTCTCGGCCTTGGTGGGGAAGACGCTGGATCTGGCCACAAGGCATTCCGGCCTGCTTGGATATACATGACCAACCGAGGTTCCGCGAAAATCCAATAGACTCCGTGGGCAAGTAACCTGTTCAAAAATTAAAAAGAAGTTTAAACTCCAATCTTCTCAAGGTATTCAAAGATGGCGTCAGGACCTAAAAGAAGGAAAAAAAAAAAAAAAAAAAAACATACCGATCGATGATATTCCCACCAAATGTCCGGATTAGAGGCCAGCCCATGATTTCCCATTGTCTCCAGATTACAGGATTGCGCTCCTCTAGATAAAAGATCTCTTTTAGCAATTTTATGGTGCTCATCTCTAGGTTCGTTTGTTCCGGCGCCTCTAGTTCCGCATAGATCCAAACCACTGATTGAGAGATTTGGTTGACCTTACTAGGGACTGACAGCATAAAATTCAAAAACGCTGCCAGGAAAATCCCAAAGGGAATAAGGACATTATTGATCATATATTTGGTATATTTTGGAGGTGCCTCTGTAACAGCCCAGATAGCTGTCCTCCGTATCCGTGATGATGAAGTCATCGAACGAGTATTTCTGCCGCGTCTTTGTTGCGCTTGTATATACCGATTCCCTCCATTTCCCGTGGTCCTATCGAGAGTTCGACTAGTATCTCTGTCACGTAATAGAATTGGTTTGTTGGTCAACATTGGTATCTGAAGAGGTGGTTCTAGTGAAGGGACGTACTGAGACACTGAAAGTGGCTCAATAGGGCTTGCAGAGCGAAAACTCGAGTCCAAAAAGGGTGATGGTACTCTATTGATCTCTAAATTATTGGCAAGGCACTGAGGATGCAATCCATCATTTCTCTCAGGCCTTAAAAATGATGTCTGTGAGCGTTTGCTCTCTTGCTGATATATTCCTAAAGCGGATGACTGAGCGTCTTGTAACATCGTAACCATTTCATCTGTGGTCTGAATATTTGGTGTTGAGGACCGATGAGTCATGCCTCCAGGCGGCCCGCCCTTATAACGCCCCAAGCTTGCAAGGAATGCAGTAAAGTTGTCGTCCGACGTATCCATTTTGTCTGCAGCCTTTTTCAAGAATTCTTCATATTTTTCATCCGTAGGCTCAAAATCAACTAGAAGCTATATCAAGATATAGATATAGGTATATTTTTGTTCAGCATGAGTGGGCTGGATAATGTGAGAACAATACTTGAGACAACACAACAAATTGAAGCTAAGAGAAATGATCAAAACTTTACAGTATTAACAATATAATTGACCATGTCTGGTTCAGTGAGGATCTCGACTAGGCTTCGAAGAACTAGGCAGCACAGAATTTCCCGTACGAGCCATCGAACACAATCAGAGTCGTATTCGGATTTGGGTAGCAGTATCCGCAAGAGCTCATCCGCCAGTTGTCGAAGGTACTCCTTTTCAGATTCTTCGCCATTATGCAATGCAAAATGAGGCTGTAGTCCATGAAAGATGGACTCAATTGTCTGGTTGGGAGCATAGGCTGTTTCCACTTTTTGAGTCGCCTGTCTATAATCAACATAATGTCTCCGAAGCACATCTGGCACATCCTGTAGTAATAGCCCCACCCAATTGACCTATACGGTTTTACAATCAAAATGCACTTCCCGTTAGCTGGCATAAAAACCTTTCATACACACAAAAGTTGATTTTTTTTAAAAAAATAAAAAAAATCCTGTTACCTCCCTACATCGCTGTTCCAATTTGCGTGCAATATCGATTATGATATTTACAATAGACGTAATCAATTGTGGATCAGTTGATATGCTAGAATACCATGATTGAATAAAGTCTCTGACTAGTAAGGCCAGAAAATGATATGCTTCTGCATCGAGATCTGGAAGAGGTTGACTCAATAGTTGAGGTACAGGTTCTCGCAATTGAATGTGTCGTGGAAACAGAATGCGTAGGTAAGATGGTACTGGTGGGGAAGCTACAGAGCCTGGTGAATTGTTTGGACGGTATGCAAGTTTACTCTTTCGAGATGATGGCTGCTGCTGTTGTTGCATCCGTGTGTCCCTGTTCCTCTTGTCTGGCATGTTAACTGGTCATTGTTGGATGTTTTTGGAGATGTCATTGGTTGTTCTGCGTGCGCTCGTGTGAACATGTGCATCGAACAAACAGTCACCAATGCAGGGGAATGGAAAGCCCCCTCATTTGTGCTCATCGCGCTCGTGCTGAGTGCCTGGAATATCAAATGGAGCGTGTGATCAAATAAATATGTTTGTTTTTTGTACATGTAGTTTCTAAAGGTTCGGTCAATGCAGATCAGTCGCGGTAAGATACACATGCATGTTTGCTGTGGGCACAGCACAGACAACATGTACATGTACAGTACAGAAAATACGTCTAAGGATGGAATTGGTTCCTCCTGCTCCTGGGACAAGGAAGTTTATTCCATTTCATTGGGGCGGAGAAAAATTTGGTACGGCATCAGGATGCTGACATCATATTGTACAAATTTATACCGCTGAAATATTAGATCGAATGCAGATCCACCATTTGTACAAAATCCCACGACGCCAACACAGATCAACTCCAGAGGACAACAGGATTAAGATGAATTGATAAAGGCATTAGTCATTCAATAATTACCACCTATCTCGATCGGATGGGATATTAAGGCGTATATTCTCATTGTTACTCTCAGTAACAGTATACGAGAAAGCTTAACTCTCCCCAACGATGCACTCAGGTTTAACATGAAGGACGAAGTATGCACAGAAAATAAAGTATTCCTCCATAAGAACAGCCAGCAAGAGTTCAGCAGGAACAGAAGATAAAATTAGAACAACTGATTTTTTTTACTTTTTTTTATTTTATTGATGCACAATAAAGAAACGCGTTTTCAATATTGAGATCGCGCTCCGCAATATGAATAGCAGCACAAATGGCTCAAATGAGAGCAAGGGAAATACTATTATAAAAGAAAAAGAGATAGACAAAAAGAAAAGAGTGGGCAGCGTTATCAAGGAATTACATTTGGAAAATATTTGTATGAAAGGTGAGGAATGTGAGGCTGAAAACCAAAGACTAGATACTCTGCTCTTGACAGGGAAGAGGCGGGCTATAAACACTACCCAGCCCATCCTTCATTGCCCCATGAGAATGACCATGTAAATATGATCGCGTAGTGGAATACAAAATTAACTCTTCCTTCTTCAACGGACAATGTTATGCATTGATCATCCCCCCTACATACACGCATATTATACACAGACCAGAAAAAGGAGAAAAAAGTTAAAAGAACAAATAATAGGGATTACAAAGGTGAGCACCGTACCTTCAACATGCCTCGAACAAACCATATCCACCAATGACCAGAAAAGCCCAGAGAAAGCATTCGATTGCAACCCAAAAAAATCCATCTTAAAAAATAGGGGGAGGGAAAAGATTGAAAACATGTTATGGCAGCAGGGTAACAAGCGACAGAGCAGGGAATAGACAAAGACAAGTTCAGGTCGATGGAGGAATAGACATGAGAATAGAGCGAATGGTCAGGACAGATGAGAGAGCGGAGCAGAGTCAGGGTCAAAGTTCGAACAGACCACGCGTGCTTGAGTAAATGTAATGTGCCTCAAAATGGAGGACCCCGGTCCAAGTGTGAAAGTCAATCAGTCGATTGACTCTAGACTTGTCTACCCTTTATTTTCTCAGGGACAAGAGTTGTTCCCTTTGTCTCTTCATCTTCATCTTCCTCTTTTCTTCTCTTTTCTTTATCTCTTACTCTCCATTCTTCAATCAACCTTTGATTTCTTTTCTTTTCTTTTCTTTTCTTTTCCTTTCTTTTTTGCTGTCTGCAACATCCCCAATTATTTCACTACATTTTTTTAATCTTTCTTTGTGTGTTTTCTCCTTATCGTTTCTCCCGCCCAGCTTGGCCTAAAAAGTCTTTCTTATCTATCATTGCAACTCGTTCACCTGTCTGTAAAGCAACGCTGTCTAGTTCAATTCCATCGCTTCACAAATAATAACACGCGTGCGCTTTTCGTTCGCAGTGTTGAAATATAATTGCTGTGTATTTGTGCACTTTTATTGTTTGTAAGTTAAAGTTGCAAAACGAATGGACAAAAACAAAAAAAGAGTAATGAAAGTCGACATGCGACATGCATGTTGACTTTGGCCTGTCTGTCGATCTGGATGCATGAAGAAGAGAGACATCATGATGTATTTTTCTTTTGCTACTGATGCAGAATGGGTCTCATGCATCATGCTGATCACGCATGCTCTCCCACGGGCCTTATTGGCTGGTCACTCTTTGCTTGTCTATTCTTTTGCGTGTGTTTCTGTGATATTCCCGCGTTCCTCTAACCCGTGGCACTGACCCAAGGCCCTGCGTGGGTGAACTTGTCTGCACTTTTTTTATCTCTCTTTTTTTTTTCCCTCAAAAAAAGTATCTCTTTTTTTTATTTTGCATAAACGAGCCTTCTCCAACGCGTCTCTTTCTGTCTCTTACCCTCTCTCACCAGTTTTTCCTTCCTTGTTGACCTACACCTCACAACCGGCAAACGATCTATTACTCCAACTCTCTCACACACAACTACATTTTGACTTCTTTTTCGACAACAACTGTGCTTGCTTTTGCTATTCAATATGACCGATACCCAGCTGTCCACGTCCGTTATCATTCCTCAGGAACAGCAGCTCTTGATGCTTACCCAAGGTCATCATGTCCCTGTCCAAAAGCAATCGCTGCAACAGCGTCAACAACATCAACAAAATTTATATTATCACCACCATCACTCTCAGGATCAGCAAGAGCAGCATCTCGATGACACGACACAAGATTTCTTTATACAAGATATGCCAGACAACTCAGCGGGGATTATCCAAGGGCCACCCACACTCCTACAATTGCAACATACCACAACATCTATACCTCTCGAAGAGGAGCTCAACATCTATGATTATATTCATGCAAAACAAGAAGATGAGGATGAGCATGACAGTCAAGATCAGGGTCATACCCATGCCCACGAGCGCGACCCTCTATCTGATTCGTTATCATCAAGCATGGCTGTGGTCGAAGATAACATTTCTCCCCGCCATCACACCACCGTGCGGCAGTCACCTGCTACTTCCCCATCTATCTCCTCACCGGTTCTCTCGGCCCAATCCTCGTCTTCGCCATTATTGTCGGCATTGTCTCCTTCCTCACCTTGCTCAGAGTCTAGAGCCGAACTTCAAGACGACTACTCAGTAGCAGCAACTGTCAATGATGGTCAAACAGAGCAGGACACAGCCTTCCATGAAACGACTCATATCAAGCAGGAAAGCTTGGAAAGTACTTCTCTTCTTGCTCACCATACTGGCTATATGGATACCTCGATGGAGCTCTACGGATCTACAGATCCGTCACTGATGTCGTCGCAAGCCAGTTTGATGTCACCTCCACCACAGGATCTGTTTAGAGTGCTGATGGAGGATTTTCAAGCTCAAGCAGCTATCCAACGCGAAAAGTTTTATTCTGCAACCACAGGGTCTGGGACGGGTATGGACTCGGTCGAATTCTTATTCAATGGCCTTCAGTCTCAAGACCGAGTTCAAACGCCTACCGTATCTACTACAACAATGCCGACATCTTTGTCGTCTCAGACGCAGATGAAGTCTACATCAGACTACTTGGCAGACGTTAATGGTGTCCATCCTGAGATGTCCTCTTCAAATGCATCAGTGGAACAGGATTCAAGTTACAGCGGCACTCGATCAACTTCTTCCCCCATAAATATGGACGATCTTTCTCCACCTTCTGTTAACACAAGAGCATCCTTGTCTGCTAATGAGCTTGAAGCAGACATCTCACTTTCGCCAGCATTTACAAACTCATCCTCTCTTTCATCAGGCTCAGCTACGCCAGTATTAACATCGTCATTCTCACACTCTTCAAAGACCTCGTCTTACTCTTCAGCACCAAGAGCAGCCGTCGTTGGCGTAGCATTCACCAGAATTGCCAGTCAGCATTCAAAGACAAACAATCGCGCCAGCAAAGCTAGTGATAGTATGAACATTGATGACAGTCAAATCTCAATGGTATCCCCAACGTCTCAGCATAGTTTACGGACTACTACAGAACAGCAAACTCGAGGAAGGACAGCAGAAGTGTTCAAGGAAGAAGAGGATGATCAATGGCCGGGTTCTAATGTGATCACCATGCAGCCTGCCCCTAGAAAAAAGCGGAAGATGAACCGCAATGCTGAAACTCAATCTCAAGAAGGATCACCTAGACTCAACGCTCTGCCTTCGCCCCCCTCCTCGGTGAGGACTACACCCCCTCTGCAACCCATGGCCGTGGACGGGTGCCCGACAATTGATAACTTGATTTTGCCCGATGTATGCTCTAGCCAGAACGAGCCCGTCACACCTACATCGCCATTAATGATAAAAATTGAAGCTGATATGGAACCGATATCTACAGCAAACCTCAGCTCGACTTCAGGAACAGTAACAGTTACTGACAGGGTTGCAGAAACAATCTCTCTCGCTGAGTCTGCAGAAGTCGAGGTTGGCAAAAAGTCTTCACCCACTAATGGTGGTAGCAAACGACCTTGGACGGTTGAGGAAGAAAAGTTGCTGTTGAAGCTTGTTGATGATAAGGCGCCCATCAAGGATATTGCTGAGACTCTGAATCGGTCAGTGCATTCTGTTCGTTCTCGCCGACAGGTCTTGACTGACCCTGGCTTCGTCAAAGGTAATGGGCATGCTCAGCCTCGTCGCTCCAAGCCGGATCCTGCATCCAAGTTGCCCACATACTCTCAAATGGCGTTTTTGTCGCTTGCTCGGTTACCGGAACTTCAAGGAACACTCAATGATGTCGCTAGTATGGTGGAGAAGCTCTTCAGCAGACATTTAAACCGTATTCCAAGGACAGGACACAAAAATCTGCAGATCTGGAGGGCTCAGATCTCGGATGCATTGGCACATGAGAAGGGGCATCCTCGACCCAGATTCGAGAGCTTTGGTGTCAAGCGTGGCAGGCAATGGGTCTATCGTCTAACAGATTTCGGCAAGGGTGTCATGAAGGCAATGGGATGCGTAGATCAGATCTGTGAGGACTTACTAAAGAATAATGAGCTGGCCTATGGTGAAGCAGCTCGTGGACCAGATGGCGAGAGCATTGGGACTGGTGGGGCTGATGCCGGATTGGGCCAGGGAAACGGATATGGATACAGCTACTGCCCAGAGACGACCTATAGTAACAATAACACCAGAGTGACGAATGGTGTGGCTTCAGCGGGCTCCAAGTTTTCATCGTCTCCATCAACTTCTTCATCTCCCAAGGAGATGAGTGCTAAGAGTCTAGCTGTATCGAACGCAATTGCGAATGCTATGGCGGCTATGGCAGCCGGACTTGCAGCAATGACGGCCGCTGAGGACGAGAAATCTGCTGCTGCTGCTGCTGCCGCTTCTGCAGTTACGATAGCGGGGGCAGATATCACCATGACGGCTAGTGAGGCTAGTGCTACTGCTTCAGGTTCCTCAAAGAGGACAGGACTTGTAGAGACTTCAAGCGCTACAAAGCCCAAAGCCTCGGCTTCTACTACTTTTAATACCGCCGTTATATCCGGCGCAACACGTGGAAGAGCTAAAGCATAAAACAAGAAGCTCAAGTACTAGTTTGTAGATCTTGAAATGGCTAACAAACGCCTGGCCTTGTACATAAACAAAAATAAAAAATTTTAAGCTCATTATTCTCATTTACACGACATTCTGTTTCAAGAATTGTTGGCAATAACGAGCGTGGTGGCGATGCGGTGATGGAAATAAGAGCATTCTAACTTGTCCTATTTCTCTATTTTGTTCTCCAAAATACAACTGAAAAAAAAAAAAAAAAAAAAAAAATTGAAGCATCAGCACCCTTCATGGATACCGTCCAGGCATCGGCAGAGAAAGGTAACGATGATGTAAAGTAGCAAGGATAAGTGAGTTGTTCAACTAGGCATTAAGCATGGTGAATCTAAGAAAAGTAAACAAGCCTGAAGGGAAACACAGCTCAAAACAACCCTGAGCGAGTTCAATTACAACTATTTCAACAGCCGCAACGGCAGCAGAGTAGCAAGAAAAACTGAAGACTACTGATTAAATTGAATGCTGACATTCCAATGCCACCTGTGCCTAGAGTTGTTAACGTGCTTGGATACATCTCAGTTGTCCTGGTTGGGCGATGGGTTCGAATAAAAAGTTTGGATAACCCCAATTGAAGTACAGGTTAATTAAACAAAATTAGGTCTTCACAGGCGACTGTGGAGTAGAGGAGAAAAGAGCATTTCTGTCCTTGTGTATTACTTTAAGGTTTCTCTCTGTTCCACTCGCCATTCGCCGATGGAGTAGAATTCCTTCCTCCTTCCTTCTCCACATGTCAAAAAGGATTTGAGAGCTCTCGTAAACAGGCAAAGCAAGTTGGGGATCGCCTATTGCTGCTGGATGTACAACAGCTGTGGTAGTTGTTTTCTTATTGGAACTTTGTACACATCAATCTAATGGTTGTTGAAACTTGTAGGCATAGAAGTTAAGATAGTAAATATTTCTGGACGTTAAAAAAAAAAAAAAAAAAAAAAGAGTAAAGACCATTTGTCTTTACCCCTCGGCTGTGCTTGTAGCGAAGGGCATGACTTGTTCAAAGATAAATTACATTGCAGAAGCATGTGCTTGTTTTTTATTGCTGTTGTTAATAATAATAAAGTGCTTTCTCGTAACACGGAACACAAAGAACAAGGAAGCTGACTTGGGCGTAAACAAAAAAAAGAGAGCACTGTCTGTCAATCCATGGAGGATGAAGAAAGCAACACATCATACAGAAAATGCACTCATCCAAACACCACAAGGAAACATTAAGACATGTCAGCATGTATCTAAGCAAAAAAAAAAAAAAGAGCCCTTGGACATTGGCAACAAGTAAAATGACATGGGGCATTGGTTTTACTAGTTTGCTCTTTCTAGTTCTTATTACTTTAGTCATCCTCCTTTGTGGGTCTTCTTCTTTCTCTCTTTCTTGGTATTTTTTCTTTTTTTTTCTCTTTTTTTTTTCTTCATCTCATCGATTCTTAAACCTCATTTCAACAAACCTACTTTAATGCACGAGACCATAAACAGGGTAAAGTAATTAATTTATCCACTGGCTGAATTTTTCTCCACACATTGTCTCCTTTTCCCCCAAAATGAGCACTGTTTTAATCGAGAGCCAGCACTGCAAAAAACGCAACTCTTAATGCACTTGCTCTCACTCATTCCGCAACGGTCAGAATTGTCCAATGCATTCATTGCTTGGTGTGTCATTCCAACCGGACGCGTTCCTGAAAAAAAGGTAGAAAAAATGACTGACATTTAGTCTTATTGATGGCATTCTTACTTCAGCATACGTAGCATAGCGAAACAGTAAAGCAGACGTCAACACAGAAACAACGGCAACAAGTGCAGTAAAAAAAAGTCAATTTAGTATGACCGTCGAGACTCCGGAAGCAGTCGCTGAGGTGCAAGAGGTCAAGGACACATCTACCACTAAATCACAAACCATCCCTGCAACCGATTCAACCAACTATGATATTGAGGTTGAGAATCTCTCTCTGTCTGAAGCAATCGTTGCTATTGGAAACGATGCTTTAGCCAATGGATCATCAACCACAACTGCCTCGACTTCTCCAAGCACGCCGTCAGGCACTGTAACCCCTTCGTCTGCATCAGTGACAACCTTGGACGATGATAACGACATTGAAAATAATGATGACGATAGCTCCGATGTCTTTCAAGACGCTGTGGACGAGCTGCCGGCGACACGCAAGCTTCACCAGCGATTGTCCCAGTACTTGCCTCAAAGCCGTCAAGTAGAAGAATGGGAGCAGATCATGCAAGACTGGGAACGTGTCATGGCAGAGAAACGGATCCAGGATGCCAAGCTCAACCTAGTTGAACAAGAAAACAAGCGTATGAGGGCTCAAGTGCAAGATCTGGAGGCTTCCAAGGCAGAGCTCGAGAAAGAATACTCAGAAAAGCTGAATAAGCTAGAAGTGGCTAATAAGGAATTGGTTAACAAGACCAAAGACCCAGCCAAGGAAACTGTGGCGCTTAAGAGCCAATTGGAGGAAGCAGACGCCGAGAAAGAGTTGTTCAAATTGATGCTGGAAGAAACTGAAGGAGAAAAGAAGCGAATCGAGCTGAGGGCAGTACAGCTGGAGAAGGAGAAAGATCAATGGGGCACTAAAGCCCAAAAAATCAATGCGCTCAAGAACAGACTGAGACTTCGGTCAGCTCAATTCCAGTTACTGTCAACATCGACATCTGCGCTTTTAGCACAGATCGATGGAACCAAGCCAGACAAGGAGCGGAAGCGATTGATGGATCAAGTCATAACACTTGAATCAGACCGTTCACGGTTAGCAGCCATGGTGAAGGACACCATAAACTCTACTACTGAGATGACTCCTTCGGGTTCAACAGCAGTAGATGTCTCCACACTCTCGAATGAGGAGCTCGTGAACGAGAACATGAAACTGAGCAACGAGTTACAGATGGCTAAGGTTGAGTGTTCGCTTCTGCAGCGCCGCATTGAAGCTTTTGAGGTGACGTTACATGACGTCCGTGTTGCACTCGCCAATTCAGAAGCTCATGCGGAGAATCTCGAGATGAAGAAGTACGACCTTCAAGACAAGCTCGCTGCTGCAGAGGGCAACTTGGATCGCGCTAGAATCGAGTCGACCAAGTATCAAGCCTTGCACAAGGAAATGTTGGAGAAGAATGATAAGCTCGACCGAGAAATGCAGGTCGTCAAGGCACGCTTTGAGGCCAAAGACCGTGTGTTGGTCACCACCCAGAAGCAGCTGGCTGCTGCTAAGGCAGATGGTGGCCTCTTAAAGACCATTCGGCGGGAGCTCGAGTCCGTGTTGTTTGACTACAACACAGTGGTGCAGCACTTTATGGACATCCAGGTCCAGGCTATCGCCGCCAAGTCTCTGGCCAATAATCTAAAGCGTAAGAACAATGAGCTTCAGGCCCAACTAACACATTATCGATCCATGCTGCTCGGTATCAAGTCCTTCAATAACAATGATCCCATCAAGTCGCCCACCGTCACCACACTCCGGTCCGAGTTCCGTGTGTTATTGGAGAAGATCCAAGAGGAACACAATGCCCAGGTGGATAAGGAACGTGCAGATAGGTCGAAGGCGCAAGACTGGAATCGAAAGCTACGAATGGAGAAAGACTTTATGAAGCTGGAACTTCAGAATCAGATCGAGAAATGGAGGCGTGTCTCAATTTATTGGGAAGACAAATGGCGCAAGACTGCCAATGATTTGCATGAGGCTGTAACAAGCGGTACTACCTCCGATGTTCTGTTTGAAATTGCTTCCGCACATCCTAATCTTCAACAAACAGGCGCCACACCACCATCTGTGCTCTCGTCCCCTAGGCCCAGCCAAAGCTTGACCAATAGTGCCGCGGCTGCTAAGAGACGTTCACTCGCTATTTTGACAAGTATCGGCGGTGGCAGCAGTAGTACTAATAGCGTGGGACCAAATGACGCGCCAATGACACCTTCAGCTATGAAACAACAAATAATGGAAAGTAAACTGCGCTCTGCAGGTAGCAGCAATAGTGGGGGATCGGGTTTGCATTCACGCCAGAACAGCAGCTCTCTTTTCCAAGCATCTCCTAGCTTCGCATCCTTGATCAACGCCAACCCGCCAGTGACCGCCATCTCCTCGCCGCCTCTTCCTGCCAACACAAGTCCTTCGACTGCCACACTGACTGTAGGCGCTATTACAGAATCTATTACAGACCTAGTCTCGAGCGTGAAACCGTTCTTAAGCCGCAGCATTTCTCAGACCAGCAGTAATAGCAGCACCAGTCCTACTGGAGCACCCAGCTCGCTCATCGGTAGTGTTGGTACGGGCCGCGGTAGGAGTAACAGCGTCACGTTTAACCCACTTAGTCACAATCCAGGCCCCTTGAGCCCATCTTCAAGGTTGGCTGCAGCCTCAACTCTCAGGACTCCTATTGCAGCAGGATTACCTGCCAACGTTACAGGAGTAGGCGCAAAGGGCAACACGTCTGTTTCCAAAACATCCTTACGATCCAGGTCCATGGCCACCTCAGCAATTGGAACTGCACGCTCACAGGCACTCCAAGCCAATATATCAAGCTCAAGTACAGTGACACTGGCTAGCAGAGATGCACAAACGCGTGCAAGCGCCAGTATTTCATCCATGGGACGGTCAGTCGATCAGGCACTCAGCGAGTCAGAGCAGCTGAAGGCGGATGTGAGAAGAATGTTGAACCGATGAAAAGGGAAGGAAAAAAGGGGAAAAGAAGAAGTGAGGAATGCGATAAAAGATCATCATGGAGGTCCAAAGTGGGCGTCGAAAAGATGTAGATACATACATATACATATCATACCAATAAACCATTAACACTTTAGCTGAAGGAAATATGGAATGTTGACAATTTCTTGGATGATGGCATATGTTTACTTTAATAGCGAGCGTTTTTTTTTTTTTTTTTTTTTTTTTTTGTTATATTTAATTCGCGGGCCCACGGCTGATGCCTTAAGATGCTTTGGTCCTCCGTAAAGATGCGTTCCACACTATCTCACTATATGTATATACCTTATGGGAAAATGGCTAAATAAAAATAAAAATAAAAAAAAAAAGACTTTGGTACGAGATGAATATTCGGTCTCATGGAGAGAATAAGCTCCACAACATAAGCTCACTTTGTCTCCTTTTTCTTCATAAATATGTTCATAAAACCTTATCCACGTCCTCTATCAAGGGCTCCACGCGTTTATTTCCCATTTATTTATGTCGCCAGTCGTAGTTCAACGATGACCTCAATTATAGGAGTCGCCGCCAAACAGGGTATCAGCTCGCCTATCGCAGTTGAAGTTGTCAACCCCACAGTCGAGAGCTAGATCTTCCTTAACACGTTACCCCATTCAGATAGACCGATTTTCCATAATACTGCTGCATATAGGCACTTGATATCCTTTTCAAATTGAGATATATACATCTTATGGCCCATGACGAATTGAATCTTTCTATGGTCATTAGTTTCAGTTATATGGTCGAATCCTTTGCTCTAGTCTATTTTTCTTTTTATTCTTTACGCCTCGCTCTTGAGAATATCCGCTATAATAGCGACTCCATTTCCTAGCACGTAGCGTACAAATTTAGACCCTGTAATAGCTCCTGCTGCATAAATGGATTGATCAACCAGTGGCATCAGCTTTGGCAAGGATGCCCTTGAAGCGACTGTATGTTCATCTTCTCTTTCGAGCGCTGGTGCTGATACAGATATTTTATCCACCTCCATCATCTTTGCAGCAAAAGTAGCGGGAGTTGAAGAAGTAACAACAATAGGAGTCTTTTGCAACGTCTGTACATCGCAACAGTCACAGGCTCTTGCCCTTGAGCCATCATCAGCATCAGTACCAACACAGTGACAATTTATAATGCTTGGAACTGCCTGTGTGGCAGCAATAGTAGATACAGTAGCACCACCCAAAATAGTCGAACTTTTAAGACCTGGTACCATGGATACTAATGATGTAGTTGAAGATGATGCTGACTGTGGCATGGACGATATTAACGATGACGAGGGTGAGGAGGGCGAAGACGATGAAGATGACGACATATCTGTAGACGATTCCCTTCTGCTAATATTATCATCACCACCATCAGGTAATGGCAAGGGAGTGGATTCAGTAGACATGATCATCGACGGGATTGCCTGTGGCAGAGGCGAAGAGACTGCGGACACATATGCAGAACCAAGAGTCAGCGGTGGAGGAGTCAAGAGATCTGGGCATATGATTCGATATCCAAGCAATGGGGAAGAAGGCATCGATATGCAAGAGGTGGGTTTGGTAGTGGTAACTGCTGTCACCATACTATTGGCTTTAATAGGTGTCATTTGTCGCTCTTGCCTAGCAGTAGTGGCGGTTTTGGTCTGTGCAGTTGCTATTGTCTCTTCAAAACTTCTCGAGTCCTTGTCGTTGTCGCTAACTTTGATGTTTTCATGATAATTCGTGGAGTTGTTGACAGAAGAAGCTGTCGGTTGGCGGATTGGATAACATGGAAGGCGAGTACATCGCTTCGCTTTCACAGGGAATGCTGGCAGAGCGGTGGTAGTAGGAGATCCATCAGCGGCGCTAACAGCGGTACTGGGGATGGAGATATCTACGGTGGATGAAGATCGATCCATTGCTGCATAAAGGACGCCAGTAGAGATGATTCTGAAACTGTACATGTCTGATACCAGTGGTCTCAAAAGTGTCAACACTTGACCTTCATCAACCTGTTTATCATCATCCTCACTGTCGCTACTACTGACTGAATCACTACTCATCTCAGTCCTGTCTTGCTCTCTATTTGTCTCGTTCTCGTCCACCACCTCGCCCATCCTACCATTTATGTTAATAGCTTTTGTGTCTATGTCTTCTGCGGGTTCTGTCTCTTTTGTTTCTAGGACAGATGGACATTTGAATCCAAGACCCTGCACTGCTGCTGCTGCTGCTGCTGCTGCTGCTGGAAGAACTTGTTGCCGCCAGAATGACCTTCCTTTCAGAGTGACGGCTCTCAGCACTGGGGATCTCGGTGGCGTGCATGGTGGTGTTGGAATATCCAAGGTTTCATCACTTGAATGACCTGATGAGACCCGACCTCTCCTTCCTCTTCTTCTCATTGCTCTACCATGAAGCCCATTATTGTTACCCCGCCTTCCCCTTGACAGATCACCATGCTGACTTGCCATCATCAAGCCACTAGGATGGTCCGCTGTGGAAAGCATCTCTTGTGCAAGGGAGCCTTTCAAGAATCCCATATGGACTTCTTTTCCGATAAAAACGCCCACTGCGGCCACATGATCCTTGATGACTCCACCGTGATTCAAAATTATGGTTATTTCTTCTGAAATGGGATCAAAACTAGATATGGATGCATCTGGAAGACCTTTGTAGGCACATTCAAAACATAGCGGGGGCGGCGATGTTACGGAAGTAGAAATATAGATTGGACAATCGGGTTTGCTCTGCCTCTGTGACGCTTGTACTTGGCATTCCGCACAGATATCGGCTGATGAATTTGTTGCAAATAAACCGCAGCTTACATTTCCATTACCATCTTTGATATGAGATGTCAGATTAGGTTGTACAGAGTTCTTGAGAGTAGCCGATTTCCTCATGCGGACCCAAACAGACGCATATTCTGGGTATACATCGCGATGGCAGCGCTTTAAAGGAGAGGGCTCAGATGCAGTGTAGTGTTTATAGATGTGGATGATCCGACGCCAAGGCTGCTTCTCTCGAATAAGTAGAATTGCATCTGCAGCTGATAAACCTGTCCCGACAATCACAACCGGTCGTTGCAAGGATGTTTGTGTAGGTTTCTTTATCGTCTCCGCTATGGGTATGGTCGCTGTTTCCGATGAGTCCGCTGTGGATATTGTTGTTGAGGATGGGAACTCTAAGGAATTGGGTGATGGTGAAAGTGGTGGCGAGACTTCAGCAGAGGACCCATTGTTCATTATGATTGTCTTGCAACTAAGAGTGCTAATAGAGGCCGATGCTATGATATTGCTATTGTTGCGAAGCATCCACTCCTCAAGCTGTCGAGTATCATGAAATGTCTGTTGGATGGTCCCTGTTGGGTTATATTGAGGCGTACAAAGATGGGTGTCTACAGCTGGTAGTTTCTTGGGCTTATCGAATGTCCCTGTTGCCAAAATAACAGTCTTTGATCGGATTAAGAAGCTTACTCTTTTCCCATGGGCTTTTGTTCTTGTTGTTGATGTTGTTGATGGCGATAGTGATGATGGTGCTCCACTGGGGATTTCTGTTTCATTGGATTTGACGTATCCTAGAATTACATAGCGATATCCTGCACAAGTTTGACATGGATCGTCTGATGAGCCAGATATTGATGTTGACATTGCTCTTTTCTGTCGACTAGGGTTATAGGTCTTGTAATGTCGGCCCTTAGCCCGTTGAGACTCCATGAAGCAACAACAATGACGATATAGATCTTTGAGGTGATATATCTCTGTGATGGTCGTAAAGTTTGAAAAGTTGGCTTCGATTCCCGGGACCTTCTTGACATAGGCCTTGTAGTATGCAGACACTGTTGATCGCAGTGGTCGCTCAATGTTCTGTTCATGTTCTGGATGATCACGCAAAAACTCTGAAAAGGAATAAACTGGCAGTTCCATGTGTTCATAGTAGCTAACAACATAAAAAAAAAGTTAGATTGGTTGTTACACGAGACAGCTCCAACTTGTTAAATTGCTGAAAAACTATATATATATATACCTAAGTGTCTGATTATGATCATGATCCATATCGGCCCAGATGCCACCTACATCTCCACGACCCAATACCACGTGTGATCTTGCTGTAGTTGTGTTTAGTGATATAGAGCTGTTGCTATTGTTGTCGTTATTCATGCTAGGATGTTTCCACTCAAGGAATGATGGGTATTCGCCTCGATGAGTATCTAAATTTGGATGTGCCAAAGAATCAAACATGGCGCTGATCGGATTAGCATCACGTCCAGCCTCGGCCAGCTGATGTTGGATATGCTTTGTGAGCTGAGCCAAGTCCTATGGATAGATGTGATAAGAAGAAGGCGGGGAGAGGGATAAGTAGAAGGTAACAGAACTGGATCACCAAATAAGCTTTTCATTGTTATTCATATATGCACGTGGAAATGAGGGGTACTTTCAACTTTTTTCCCATGCACCCTGTCGTCTTTTTCCTTTTTTCTTTTTATTGCATGTGTGTGCAACAATCGTCTACCAGCGTTCTGATTGTGCTTTTGTGTTGCAGCTGTGCACACACACGTTCAGATGAACGTGGGGTAGGACTGCGCTAAAATGTGATCGTCATCTGGTGTCATCAATTCTGCACTTTGTACTTGCAAGACAAAACACAGATCAATGACCCTTGTGAGTTGAAAACATAGAGAGGGCTTCCATGCATTAAAGAATAAAAAAGACTCCTCCTATTGATAGACAAGAACCAACAAATAGCGACATTCAAGAAGCGTTGCTTGGCATCTTTACGTTGGAGTCAAAAAAAGGAGGTCATAATCTGATAGAAAATAGATAATGCGTCTATCTTTTTTTTTTTCTTATCAATGCAGCTCATTCGTTGATTTTTTTTTTTTTTTTTTTTTTTTGCTTTCCGTTTCTGCGAATTAATAATCAATGTCAAACATTAAACTGCTCTCCCCATATTTGTGCACACTCATCACATTCATCCACACACAGAATTTAAACACAGCACCTGTTCAATTTCGTGAAGTCATTACTGAATAACTCACTTAGACAGTACGAGTAACCAATTGAGGAAGAAGGGAACGAGATAGGTGTATATCTACATATTCATGTCTGTAATTGTATAGAGGTGAAGTAAATAGGAGTGAAGGTTCGTCCCAATTGAAATATACCTGATGCAACAGTGATCTCGGTTTTGATCCTGTAAGAGCCGAAGAAGCCAGCATTCCATGAAGAATCGGGTCTGGATGAGGCATAAATGGTTCAGCGTGGTAGTATGGCTGGTATCCGCTAAGTAACAAGGACAACACAATGCCTGCAGGGCCATTGCCTATGTAGAAAGAATAAAAGCAAACGATCGGCGTTAGGTTTGGATTTGATGATACTTCAAATGACAAAAAAAATAAAGTTTATTGAGAAAAAAAAATTTATCGTTGCCTACCAACTATTACAATGTCGGTGGAGGAGGGTATAGAATGCATGGTTGAATGAGTTTTGAGGGTTGTGATGCAGAAGAGAAATGAGAGTAAGAATGTAAGGGTATATGCATGGAAGCTTTAGAATGAGAAGCGAGATCTGCAGGTCCAATGTTCTGTTGGATGCACGGTGTGTCTGTTACGAATGAATGAGAAAATGAAATGAGAAAGAGAGAGGAGAGAAAAAGACGACGATCAGATCTCTTTCTCAACTCAGAAAGCACAAGCCAAGAGACAACAAATGGACCAAAGAAGACCGTGTATGAGAAGTAGGAAAAAAGAGTGATACATGTATCAAAATATTAAAAAAAAAAGATGCGGAGAATGAAGTGCAGTGCAAAGTCCAGGTAAAGAGCGAGCGTTGGGGAAAGGCCTGTCGCTTGTTTACAAATCAATTGAGACCTTGTTTATTGTTATTTCATGCTCTGTACTGAACATGTTTTCCTGAGGGATCTGGGCTGGGACGTCTGTGTGTTTGTTGCATGTTGTACCATGTGGATGTGCATATTTAATTGTCTTTGTGTATCATCCTCGTCATCTGGCGACTTTTCACAAATCTCCCAATCATACCGCTTTTCTTTTCTTTTTTCGATATTCTTTCTCACTATGATCCGCCGGTTTTATGTGAATGCATGAACACTATAAAGGCTAGCCTAAGAAAAGGGGGCATCCGTGGCCGTCCAGATTCTTTAGGGCCATTTAACAATGCGAGCCATGCTAAAGAGCTACTACGAAAGAGCCATCCCCTCTTTTCAATAAAAAAAAAAAAAAAAAAAAAATGCAAATCCAACTCTTATTGAAACTTTCTTTTGTCTGTTGTACGACTCCGTGCATCTCTCGGAATTGGTGAAATGAAGGTCGAAAGAATCAGAAAGAAGCTTACTCGTTTCGCCGCACTCTTCTTTTTGACCCAGTAAAAGTTAAAAGCAATCATCAAAGTTGTAAACTTAACACACACAAAAAAGGAAAGGAAAAGAAATAATGGACAACGCATGCGTAAGTGATAGAGAGATGACTTAGGCCATGATCACGTCGGATCTCATCTATTCGCCATGGATGTTGATTGTTTAGTCTTTTTATTATTACTATTGCATTGTTTACAGCCCTATCACTCTTCATAGAGCTGCTGCCTTTACTTGCTCTCTCTATCTTTACTGTGACTCTGTCTACTTGTAAAGAAAGAACTGCTCTTATACCAAGGAGAGAGTTGCATGCAAACATGAAAGAGGAATCCAGAGTAAGATGAAACAACTCTAGCATTTATTTTCTCTCCATGAAGTTAAAGCATAGTAACAATTCTTCGTATTTTTATGCATAGCCAATGAAGCATGCTCTGCAATCGCAGACTCTTATTTGTTTATTTCTAAATCTTATTAATGAATAGCCAAGTTTGTTTGTGCCTTGCCTCCCCTGTCTACATCATGCGCACTCAATGAAATGATACAGCATTGATATATATATTTTGGCATATCACAGTTGGTAGTCTTTCTAAATAATCACGTGAATATTGCCTTTCTGCTGCGGTCAACCGATATCTAACTGTCATGGCTGCGCCACGATGGTATTTCTATAAAGATTTTTTTTTAAGCACATCTTCGCGAATCAACATTAGCAAGTAATAATGAGTAACCATTCATCCACAACACCAAATCAACATGATAACGACAGTAGCAATAACAGCGGTGATAACTCGAATCACCCATCAATAAGCGCGCAAGAGACGGTATCAATTGCCCAAGGGTCTATAAAAAATACAGACGAAGACGATGGAGATTGGGAGACAGAGTCGTCTTACGACTACGACGATGACGATGACGATGACGATGACGATGACGATGATGACGATAGTATTTTAGAGGACGACGGAGATGATGAGTTCACGGATGACAGTGGAAGTGACATCGAAGATGATGTAAATGAACTATTTATGGAAGGTGTGCAATTCCTTCCCGAGATCATTGAAGATCTGACAGATATTGAGCTTCTAAACCCGGGGTATCGTGCCAACAGGCGTCCCAACACTGACCAGCAGGATGATACCATGTCAGAGTTCAGTGGGGATGAAAAGTACGAGCTCAAGGACACTCTCTCGAGCGAGAATGGTGAGGGTGATAAGGATATGTATGACTTTAGCATTCTTGAGCAAAATATCCCAAGAGAAGTAGACGACGGCCATCTGACCTATAAAATCCGACAGCTTATGCTCAAGTTGACCAAGGGCCGCAGAAGCCGTGAACGGAAACTGGGCGTTGGTACAACAATGCAAACGACATCATGGGGTACGTCGTCATCATCGGAAGTTTCGGGTGGTCCTTACTTACATCGGCTCATAGTTCGAGGGCCTGAACAGCCACAGGAAGTCGAGCATTCGCCTGCTGTTTCACTTCACCGCCAATGTGCCAATTCGATCGTGGTAACACCATCTGTAATGGGCGTCTGGGACGACATTTTCACTATCCATATAGACTCGATTATGCGTGGCGGCGTTCTCAGCAGGATGGATGAAAAACTCTACCGTCAGCGATCCCAAGCTCACATGTTCGGTGATCATTACGATTATGAAGAAGGCCGTGAGATTGTCCACCGAGCCTATGCGACGCAACTCAAGACGGTCAAGGCAACCAAATACTTGAAAACTTCGTTGTTCCGCTTCAGCCAGCTCCCTGCTTTTGAGGCTTATGTGAATTTCGATGAAGGAGACGGCCCGCTTTGCTTGGCACACAAGTATGGATATTTGGCGTTGGGCACTGATGACGGAACGCTTATAGTGTATTGTACTCAGGATAGTGGTGAACCAGTTATAATCCACGATGATGTACTTTCTGAAACTTATGATTCTATGATGGTGAACAGTGTTCAGATTGTACGCTGGCCACGCTATTATCGAAGCAAGGCATCTATAGGCGAGGACAGAACGGAGGAAGAATCAGATGATTACGATGATAACGATGAATACGATGAAAAAGAAGGCTATCCCACCAAGACTGGACAGTTTGACCATTACCTAGTCATGACTGGCAATAAAAGAGGCCTGTTTATCGTTGCGCTTCCTGATCACCCATGCCTTGGTGCCCATGATTCCTTCAGCTATGATGACCATATCTACAAGTTCAAGGAGGCGCATACCTGGATAAAGAGCGGTTTCAAGGGCGAAGCGCTTAATGATGCCAGGGTTTCGCCTAATGGACGTTGGATTGCTGTCGTAGGAGACTCGGCTAAAGTATGGACAATCGAGGTGACTCATAAGCCAGAAACGGACGAACAACGTACTGCACGATTGGAACGGGAGCATCAGGCCATGTTGGATGAGAATGGGACTGACTCTGATTATGTGACAGACGATTCCATGTCCGGAACAGAGGACACAGTGAGCAATATGGATTGTTATAAAGACGATGAAAAATCTTCGGGTTTGGGACAGCGTGAAGAGAAACGATCCAAGAATGCGGAGGAGGATACACTACCTAGACTACTGCATCTATTTGGAGACCCAATAGAGATGACTATTCCTTCTAATGTTCTATACACTCCACGAACTAAGAGAGGCTTACAACAGCGGAGAGCGCGAACACTCATTCAGCGCGAGTATTCATCGCAGTACGTGTCATGGAACGCGGCTTCTACAAAATTTGCACACTCATCTGACACATGCTCTCACGTTATAGTGTGGTCGATGCCTTCGCGAGAGATTGTCTGCTGCGTCGATACGGGCGGATTCTCTTTTGCTATCGAATTCCACCCTAAACTGGAGAACTTGTTTGCAGTCGCCAATTGGTATGGCTTTGTACATGTTGTGGATATTACAGGAAGTTGTATCGGAGATGAAGGTCTGGTGCCTGATAACGTTTACTCTACTGATCGGACGGAGCATGGGCCGATGATGGGAGGATGTGGAGGGCCACATTATGAGGAGAAGCATGATATTCTAATGTTGTCCTTCAGAGGCGAGAAGGATAAAAGTTTACGGATCCTGGACGCGATCCGAGGATTGAGCTGGAGTACAGACGGACGTCATCTGTATGTGGCGACATTACGGCGCGTGTTACGATACGATCTGGCGGATGAGCATATAAGGATCCCGAGTCTTTTCCAACTTTGTGCACGAAAGGTGAGGGAGTGGAAGGAGCGAGAGTTGAACGTGTTCCATACCTATGAACAACATAGCAAGATTTCTAGGGAATTGAAGCCTATTCCAGAGCAATGGAAATATGTGCCATACAATGTAAAGCGGTTGATCTGGGGTGATACATTCCTGATGCACTCGCATGACTATTAAACTATTGTTTTGTTGTGCTGTGCACAGGTGATAAAAAAAAGATAAAAAATAAAAAATAAAAAAAAAAAAAAAAAAAAGAAAAAGAAAGAAAGAAAGAAATGAGGATGTGGTCTTGGCTCAAATGATGTTGCAAGACTTCAATGGGGTTATGTTGATCGATGGGTAAATCTTTGCGAGTGATTGGGTACCACATTGGAATGGAATGAATAGACTATTTATGAGTTTGTGAGCAATTTCCCTCATCGTTCAACAATCTCCTGTATATAAACTGAGAAGTCATCTCTTTCTCCCTTGGCTTCTCTTTCTCTCGAATATGCAACACACTAATGTTCATGAACCCTTTCTGCTGAGATATAATTCTTGTAGATTCCTTTGGAGCCATATCCAACGACAGACTTATATGCAATAACTACAACGTGAAGCACGTGGAAGACAACGTTCAGGAGATTAAAGAAGTGGGAATAAGGTATGAGCCTTGCTCGAAATACTTTAGCGCCTTCAACTTGAGAGCACAAAATCAAAACGTCTCCTTTCTATCTTCCGCCCATTATGATAACGATTAAACCATCGTAACAACTAAGAGCTGGCGCTGGAATGGGGAAGGACGATTTATAGGGGCGAGGAGGGCTGGGTGCCGACATAGATGTCTGTCCATAGTCCGATCTCGAGTATTCTCCTTTATCCCATGGACCATAATAATAGTTATGGCATATTAGATAACCTTGAAAGTCACACCAAATCCGCATCAAACATAATTTATAAAAGACAATTGGGAAAATCTAAAATGCAGTATTACACAAGACTAAAAAAACCAACGCTTTGGCAAGAAAAATAAAGAGCCTTTTCAGGACAGAGTCGGATGCTACCATAGCTTCTGGTTTTGTGGAGTTTATTTCTCATGGTTTAATATATATAATTACAATGTCAATATCATTTATCCATCTAATACTTTTGCATGTGTTGGCTTGTTCCCGAGCACATAATTGAGATTGTTTAGGTTTTTTTTTTTTTTCTTTCTTGTTTCCACATTCACGAAATCCCATTCCAACTGCCTCAGTACTTCCTGTGTGCTACCAACAACCCTTTTCCTCCCCCCTTCCCTTCCTCCCCATCTCCTCAACCACTATTCTCCTTTCTCACTTATCCTCTCTCTCATTCTTCATTCATATATATATTTTCTTCCTTCGTCCTCAAAAAATTACATACCTTTACGACAAAAAGGCAAGTGAAAGTTGCCCATTTGTTCTTTTTCAATGGCACAGCATTCACACTTTTTTTTTCACGATATCTCGATATCATCCAAGTTCTCTGCTCAATTCTCCCCGATCCTACTATTATGATCCAGGAACAACTTCTTTCCAGTGTTTAAGTACACAAAGTATATGTTACGATACTACCACCAATCTGAATATGAATCACCAAATTTCCCTGCACTCAATCACTCTCAATTTCAACAACTTCCAGTTCTCTCTCAATCATGCAAAAGTTTTCTTAACTGGAGATGAGACTTTTTTTTTATTTTATTTTTTAATTCACATTGGTTGATTCAACCAACAGATTCAATGTGGATGAAGACATGTGAAATCACAAATAAAAAAAAAATTACAATTGAACTAAAACTAGAACGCCTTTTTTTTTTTTTTTTTTTTTTTTTTTCATTTACAACCATTGATATTAAAACTATTTCAGGAACGAAAAAAAAAAAAAAAAAAAAAAAAAAAATCATTTTTAGACATCATCGCCACATAACGAACAACCTCCCTTTTTTCTTTTTTTAATTCTTTTCCCTTACTTTTTTCCATCATGAATCAAATTGACTTTGGCCTTATCCTCGCACAACCATTCTTCCTGTGCTCGCTGATCTTGTTTGCGGTAAGTTCTATTTTATAGTTGTATAGTTGAAGATAGAAAAAGCGGGATGCACTGTTGCATTTGTTCATATATTGCGTACATGTAGGAGCCGAATACATGGATGGAGAATAAAAATGAATGCATTACGCTTATGCAAAAACATGATTTTCAGGGACAAAGAGGGGGGGACCAAGACATGGTCAGGCACTAGAGACACATGATTTTTTAGTAATTTGATTAGGCGCAGCATATTAAACAAAATCATTGCCAAAACTATATATATTTGTCAACGTTTAATTCTTTCCTTATTTTTTATTTTTATTTTTTCATCATAATAGATCGGCTGGTTCATCACGTTCATTGCAGCCTGTACCATTGGTGCAAGTGTGCACCTGATCTGGGTGGATATCTTTTACAACCTGTTCTTGCTCCTTGGTACTGCCTTGGCTGTTTCTACTCAAGCTTTGCAAAACTATCGCCTCGTCGTAAGTCTTTTTTTTTTTTTTTTTTGCTTGAAGGAAGAAAATACATTTTCATCTCAACAAAATTCTTCTCTCTTTTTTACTTATTTTGCCATTGATAGATTTTGACATTCATTGCAGGATCCTTGTCATTGTTGTTCCTTTGCATTGATGCATCCATCACCTTTTCCTCGGCTTGGGGTAAGGAAAATGCGAAATATAATGCTGCAGGCGCTGGTCTCATCTTTCAATCCTTTGTCTTGGTATGTTATTTTTAGCATCATCTCTATCTTTTTTTTTTTTTTTTTTTTTTTTTTTTCCTTATATTCATTGGTAGTAATTACCATTTTTAACATCTTCAACTTGACTAACATTCTCTTCTTTTTTTTTTTAAAAAAAAAAAAAAAAAAAAAAAAAAAAAAAAGATCTTCTGGGTCATCTACTTTGGTGCAGAGGAGAATTCGCTTGCAAAGCGTTCTATCAACGGATTCACTATCCCTCGTACCTCGATCTCTCATGGTGGTCTTTTACCTAATCAGCATCCAGACAATAAAACAACAGGCCACTCTTTGAACTCTGTTGTCGTCGCTCCATCAACCTCTGCACAACCACCTCAATATGCCTACAGAGCTCGTGCATTGTATACTTATGATGCTAACCCCGAAGATCGTAATGAGCTCAGCTTCAGTAAGGGTGACGTCCTAGAGATTGTCGATAATCAAGGCAAATGGTGGCAGGCTCGTAAGCAGGATGGCACTATCGGTATTGCCCCTAGCAACTACCTTCAGTTGCTTTAAAAGCACTCGTTCTATCTTAATGTCTTGAAAATCTCTAATCTGGAATCTATAATTTTTAGGGAATACGTAGAATAAGAATTTAAAAAGTAAAGATTCTTAATTGCTAAAAAAAAAAAAAAAAAAAAAAATCTGATAAGTATATATACAACAGTTATTCTAGTTTATCATCACAGAGAGAGTGGGTTAGTTGAGTAGAACCTCCCCTATTCATAGTCTTTATTTTCTGAATAATGATGTATTGATCCACGGCGCAGAACACAATACAGATGCGCTACATGAGGTGGCGTAGACTGTCAAGGAATAAAAAAAATTCAAATTTGATTACAAAGACCATCATGACTAAAAATCCAAACACAGCCAATCCAGAACAATTGTAAAAAGACCCCGCTCGCAAAGGCTTGCCAAATTGGTACAGCATCCACACGTCCCTGCTTCTGCTTATGATTCTGTCGCCCGTATTGGTCTTGGTCTCGATCTTGGCCTTGACTAACCCTGCCTCCATGCTTCGAGTCAACAATCATAGCACCACTAGAACCCTGATCAACAATACCCCTCTCATTATCTTCGTCACCATAGCTACTACTACTAATCTCATCGTCAGTCTCACCGCTAGACACCTGGCGACGTTGTCGACTAACCCCTGCTTCTTTATCATCATACACAGACATTCTTCGCGTCCTTGACACCATCGAGCCACGTCGTCTTCTTACTGCTTCTGCTGGTATTGCTGGTAATGAGGGTATTAGTGGTAGTGATTGCAAAGGCTCCAATGTCAATGCTGACGACTTTCTTTTGAAAAATTTCTTAGATATCAATGAAAGCAAATATCGATCCCAGATCACCGTCAGTATCAAAACTGGGTACAGAACCAAGGAACGAACCATGATAGGGTTACAGATCGACAGACAGAACCAGACTCGAACCACAAGACTCAAAAACATAAAGTGAACTGAAAAGCGCTCTGGCAGTGTATGGTGCTTCCGGTACTGTTGTTCTTGCAGATGTGGGAGATGACGATGATGAGGAGAATGAAGATATTGCTGTGGCCGCTGCAGTTGCTGCAGCTCTGATAATTGCTGGCCTTCTCTGTATCTCTGAGAACGATGGTGTTCATGAAGTGAATGACCACTGTTGGTATTAGATCGAGGACGACGAAGTGGTTTCATTCCTACTTTAGACTCTACATTTGCAAGCTCAGCTTCGGGCTTTGCTTTTGCTTCAACTCTCTTTTTTCCGAGCCTAGTCCTTTCTCGCGGCATGGCAGGTTCACTGGGGTGATATCCGGCGGAGCTAGAGATAGAGACATCAGTAGTAGTTTTGGAAATTGATCGTGACCTCTCGTGCGCATGTGCTGAAGCAAGCTTGGACCAGTAACTCTTTTTGCCATCATTCAAGTTTCCTCGCAAAGCTATCTTTTTCCTATCCATCATCACCCTAGCGTCCTCATCATCACTACTAGTTGTATCAGTCAATAGCTCTTGACCATATGAGGACTGCGACTCAATGTACGGCTCGGCTAGTCGACCTTGTTCCTTTACTCCACCAGCAGGAGGCAGATTAAGGGTAAAAATAAAAATAAAAATAAAAATAAAGATAAAAATAAAGTCAAAATCAATGACGAGGGAGAAAACGAGTAAAGGAAATGGCAACAATGTCACCAAAACAATAGAGAATTTTATTTATCTAAAGCGACGACATGCTTACATCTTGGCGCGGCTTCTGTCTGATTAACTTTGGCCCTGGTTTTCCATCTTCTACTATCGCCGGCGTCGTTTCAGGCTCTATAATACCATCATCTGATATTTTTCGCGAAACTCCTGTTTCGGGCAAAGCGTTAATGACCTGCTTCACTTCCATGTCCACTTCTTTGTCTCCATCAGGTATATTAGCGGATTCTCTGGTCATGTCCTGGATCGAATTTTCTCCTTCATTGAGCCGAGTTCTGCTATGATCAGCAGGTTGGTCAATAGGCGCTGTATTAGACTGCCTATTTAAAGATTTGATGATAGAGTTGCTGCTGCTGTCGTTCTGACTTCCTGGATATTCCGTAGGTGCTAATATGGATGGGACTTTTTTGCTTACTTCTATGGGGAAAGTAACTGTTGAAGGCGTGTTTGACCACATGTTCATGTCACCCTCCCTAGCTCCGTAGCCCTGCAGGTAACGATTATAGGAAGAATCATTATTGCTCCTTATGCTCTTAAATGCACCAACCCCATTGGCGATAGGGTGCATCATCCTGCGACGTAACATATGTCGAAGACCTAAGCCCAATGGCTTGACCTTCTTGTTCAGGTTAAGACTTGGACTGGCAGTGTTGTCTCTATTAATCGCTGATGTGAGCATGGCTCGCCCAGGTTTCGGTACTTCTGCCGCCAAACCAGCTTTGCTAGATCGGCGGCCTTTACCAGAAACTGAAATGATTGGGTTCTGGCGATGTCGAATAAGATATCCATGGCGATGATGCGCAGGCTGAAGACCGCGATTGGATCTCTTCCTGGACAATTGGCTTCGGCTGGAGGAGACTGCGCTCATCTCCTTCATGGCTTCATCCTCCTCCACATCACGTATTTCTTCAGCTTCTGCCATAGCCAACAAGCTAGGCTCTGTATCTGCTGCCGTTGGTGGTCCTTTGTAATTAGCGTCAGTGGATGAACGGATGGGTGCAGTGGGCGAATCCATCTCTCCATGCATCATCCGGTCGCGTTGATGGTTCAGCATCGAGAGGATGTCATCACAGCTTGGACGCTTAGACTTCTCTGGCGAAAGCAGCACGCGGATCAACGTCTTGAGCTCTTCTGGAATAATACGGCCGCCTAGTCCATCATCTTCAGGGATAGAAATTGACTTAAGTGCTCGGATCTCTTTTCGTAAAATATCCACATCCTCAATCTGACTGTATGGTAGACGCGAGTAACAGAGATAGTAGAGCACCATGCCCAAGGACCACATATCGCCCTTGAATGAAAACTCGTCAGTGTAACGCCCGTTTGCATCTACTGCTAATAGTTCTGGCGCAAGGAATTCGAGTGTGCCTGTGGCACCAGTTCTATCTCTCTTAGCGGCCTGGTCCGATATTTCACACTCTCCAAAATCGGTAATCAAAATTCGAGGTCGCTCGCCCTTGCTACCCTTAACACGGCTGTCTGAATAGCTCAATAGCAAGTTCGGCGGCTTGAGGTCGCGATGAATGATCCCCAGTCGATGAAGATGCGCTAGTCCTTCACAGATATCAAAAAAGAAACTCCAAATTTCAGAGATGGATAGGTAGTGTCGAGGGTAGCTAGATACTGAGCCCTGAGTGAATGCGTTATTTCCTTCGCCACTCTTGCCTCCAGGCGATGTCAAGCTATTTTGAAGCCGTTGCCTCTTTGATTGCAGACGCTCTTTTGCGGACATTGCCTTCTTCGAATCTAGAGTGGATTCATCGGCCGTATTCACCACGTCCGCCGCCCCTAAATGCTCCTCGGCATCGACAGAAAAACTAACCTCTGGTGGTCGTTCAATATATTCCTCCAGATTTCCTCCGTTTGCGCATTCCATTAGGATGAAAAGACATGTAACCTCGGGTCCAAACTTATGTAGTTGGTGGTTCTCGAGCCAAGCGTGTTTGTAGCCCACAATATTCGGGTGGTGCAGTCTCTCCAGTAGGTGTACTTCTCTTAACATTTGAACAAGCCAGTCGTGATTGTCACCCACAGCCACTTTCTTGATGGCATATTCGCCTAAATGGATACCATCAAGGACGTGCTGGCAAAGAAAGACAGATCCACGAAAGCCTCGCCCTAACTTCCTTTGCTCCATAAAGAAACGTTCGTAGTACCCCTGGTTGAGCGCATCATGCGATAGATGTGCCGCAGAAGAAGCAGATTGGCTGCTCTGGGTACTCTCTTTCATAATTGTATCACAGACGCTATTGCTCCCGTGCATTGAAGCCAATGTACTGTCAAGGTCTAATGATGCTCTGCCAGAAGATGTGGGTGATCCTAGAGATGAGTCTGGTCGGGATTGCGAACTAGTATCGCCTTGAAGCGAGCCTCGTCTTGATAATGCAATACTTGAAAAAATAAAAAAATAAAAAAATAAAAAATAAAAAAAAATAAAAATAAAAAAATAACAAATAGTATTAGCCTATAAAATTTTTTTTCTTACCAATAAGACATAAGGTAATGTATAACTGCCTACTTTGCGTCGGCCAGCATCCTGAAATAATTAGTGTCCATGAACGCAGATGTAGGGTTGGACATGTCCTAGAATAAAGTTTGAACGAACAAATAAAGGCATATTAAGCTTTTTTTGTTCAAAAAACATTTCGATTAACCTCTATAAATGATATCAATAACAAATATAGCCTACGTTCTCGCCCGTTGCCTCTTCTAGATCTAGAGGTCGTTTGCACAAGGCACAAATCCCCGAGTCATCTCGAAGAGACTAAATTATGTATTTTCATCCAGGGTTTATCAATTAGGGTTAATTAAGCCGTTCGCAGTCACACACGACCAAATGTAGACGAAATGTAAAGACAATTCCTTTTGTTACCATCGAATGTGAATCCAAACCAACTGTGGTTTGAACAACCAGAGATTGCATCTGAGGATTGTAGAGTACTGTTCGTCCTCGTGCCTCTGAACGCCTAATATGTGATTCGAGAAAGGGCGTCACACGTTAGTCTGATGAGATAAAATTAAACTCCTTGGAACATACCTGGATCAAACATATAAAACTCACAGGATGACGCGCCACTCTTGTGAATATGGTACAACCTCCCGATGATCCATAGATGACGGTGGAGGCAATGCTGGGGGGGATATTCTCCTAGCAGCATGCCAAACGTTATAATCGTCATAACTGTTGGCACCAGAGGATCCTATAGACAACGACATGCTCCTGTTCGGACGGCGAATTGTATAAACATCTTGTTCATCTCGACTACCAAAGCCTGACACCACAGTTGGATGTGCACTACCATTAAATAAGATGGGTGCTCTCAGTAGTTCGGAAGGGTCGGATTCATGGCCTTGATCAGAGGCAGTATCACGATAGTGTTGGAGCTGTTGTTGTTGCTGTTGTTGTTCAGAGGATAGAGGCACTGGTACAGGCGGCCGGTGCTGCTGCAGCCTGTACCCTTGTAACTGCGATGGTAATGACTTGGTGCCACCTGGCATAGGTTGGTTGTCATGGCGAGTAATGCGTTGAGGAGGTGGCGAGATAGAATAATTTGCTGATCGTCTGTCGCCGCCTGGTTCTGCTTCAGCTCCTACTACAAAGTGTCGATCATATGAGTTTTCACGAGAATGGTGAGACGCATGATCGTTATTCTTCCAGGAAATAAACAAACTTGGATGGGGTATTAGCCAAGGCTGCTGCTGGTATTCTTGTTGCAATGGGTGTATAGACTTGTTGCTACTGTAGTTGTTATTGCCATTATTCCTAGTGTTATTGTTTTTACGGCTATTATATTGAGTGTTCATATTGTAATGGCTTTCATTGCCATCAGTATCCATTGCCTGATCATCCTGAAAGTGATTCATGATGGTGGAAAAAGGTTGAAAAGGATTAAAATGAAAAATGCAAATGACGAATGCATTTTTTATTGTGGAGAAAAGAAATGCACGTGATGTGTCAATAGTATATATTTAGCTACTCTATTTTAAACTTGCACGAAGACATCTGTAACTGAATCAAGATCAAGCCAGAACGAATGCTGCGAAAGGTAGTGAAAGGAGGATAGTATTCTTATATGATGGCTTGTCGCGCCTCTTGATACAGGCATTAAGGATTAGAAAGAATGCCCAAGTTGAAGTTTAGCTTAAATGCTTAGGGTGTGAATACAACGCCACTATGAGGTGCTTACGCGATTGCCACGTTTTATTGGTGGTCCGTGATGTCTGAAACTGTGCCTTTTTATTTCTCAGCAACCATTCACACAGGGAGGAAAGGAACATTATTAAGCCAAAGCAGAGCCTTACAGGATCACTTGTTTGCACAGCAGGCTTTGTTGCTTTTTCGATTTGTCAGATGAAGAATGTAAACGTTGTCACCGTCATTGTCATTGTCATTGTCATTGTCATTGTCGGACGTTGCCAGTCATTTTCATTGTGAATGATTATCATTGTCATTGTCGTTGTCAGTCATTGTCATCTTAACTTGACTACTATAAATAACAATTGAAGTTTATAGTTGTGTTTTTGAATGGGCAAGATTGCCTTGCTTGATCACTATGATGCATGCATAGCGAGTAAACAGGAAACGAGAAAAACAGAGAATAAAAAGGGCAACAGTGAACATTCAAGCGAAGCAATAACTCATCTTTGTTTGCCTCCCTCTCAGCTTTCCTTCCTCTTCTCCTCTTTTTTCTTCACCCACCTGACATATACAACAGTAAGACGAATAGGCAACATTCTGCCCATCTTGTCCTCTTCTTTCTTTCCATCATTGTTTACTAGAATCTCATCTCATTTCCTTTCAATTAACAATTCATCACCGCTTGTTTTTCTTTAATCTTAAGAGATCGACTCTCATTCTTCCCTTTCAACAAAAAAAATTTGAGCTGGCTGTAAAAAACAGACAATTAAAACAAACAAACAAACAACTCCAACCAACTTGACTCTTCTTCGCTCCTTGCTCTTCTCCCACCTTCTATCCTTCCGTTTCCCACATGGAAAAAGAAAAACATAAAAACCATCGCCTTCCGGAGCAGAAAAGAGACATTGCAACGGTATTTTTTTCGATATGTAACAGTTGTAGTAGCCGTTTGCTTCACGCTAGAATATCACCATCACCAACAAGTCAGCCAAGTCCAAGCACCAACGATCATAGCAATCCTTATCACCGACAGCGTATCACCATTCCTCAAAAGATATCGCCCTCATTCTTCCTGGATGCCCTTCTTAATCATCACCGTCCTCATATTACCCATCGTCCTCACATAAAGCATTCTCTGTCACCATTATCTCTATCCGCCTTCTTCCTTTCTTTGTTTGCACTTCCCAAACCGATCCTGTCACAACAACAGCAGCAAGAACAAGAGCAACAATTTGTTATGTTCACGCCTCGTTACTCTTCAGGATCTGTTGTTGTCAACAAAAAACTTTATGTCATCTCGGGTACCACCTTGGAGTTAGAAGCAAAGTCCACTGACGAGATACTTCTACTCCCGCTTGACAAGCCTTTCTTAATCAACTCTGTCCTCTGGCAGCGTCTTGGCTCCGGTGGTGTCTTTGCAAATGATGCACGAGTTGCTGCCTCTGCAGATGGATCTTACATAGTGATGGTTGGTATGGGAGAGCCAAATCTAATAGACAGTAGCACTGGCCCTAGCCCCATGGCTAGAGTCTATGACATCCAAGCCAATTCCTGGCAGTATTTCTCTCAGCTCTTATTTAACGTCAACAGTCCTCAATACTCAAGTCGAATCTCTGAAAGCATTGTTCTCGATTCTTCCACTGGTGTGATTGTGATCTATGGTGGATATAGTCTCGTTTCCAACTTTGTGCTTAGTGATGTGACTCTAATAGCGACTTCAAGTTCACATGATTTCAATTCTTGGAGTTGGTCTCCACCAGCGCCCAATAACCAGATGGGACCACTTTTTCAGCCTGTGATGGTCTATCTTCCTCATTTGAGAGCCACACTTGTGATGGGTGGTTGTCGCACATTTAGTACTACCTCCAGTGGCTCCAATTGTTCGTCTTTTACATTTGCATATTTGCTACAAACACAGGTCACGTCTTTTGGAAATGCGACATATTCATTAAGTGGTGTGACATTGAAGGGTGGAAATCCCTTGAATACGACCGTTTTGACGCCTCCCTCAAGGATGTCGCCTTGTCATGTAGTGTTAAATAATGGAGATGTCTTCATGTATGGTGGATCCACCACTGAAGGAAGTCTGTCTGACTCGTGGATATTGAGAACAAAGGATTGGACCTGGTCCATGGTTACAATCAACAATGCACCTACTCAAAGCCGAGCAGGTGCGACCTGCCAATTGGTGACGCCGAATCAAATCGTTGTTGTTGGAGGTAAGGTCATATATTTTCAATAGATACTGTGGGTGTGGCGTTGCTTTTTTTTTAGGTGAAATGGTGACATGAGACTGAAATTATGATTGATTTACTTCCTAAACAAATGGGAATGTGAACAAAGAATCTGGAAAGGAGAAAGGGAAAGAATCTGCCATCTGCTTTTTGTTCTAGTTTTCTTACATGGAGAAGTGAAGAGGAGTCGTGAAATTGTGTAGTTCAAAGTAACCAAAGATAATCAGAAACACAAACAAAAATTGCAGCGCCTCGTCTCTCCAAACACTGGACAAACCAGAATGTATTAGTCAGTCCATATCTTCCCGCATTTGTCCTTTTGTTGGGCAAAGGACAAGGGAAGGGGCACATTATCTTAAAGAAATGACCGAGACAAGTAAACAGGATTTGGCGCTTTGATTGATCAAAGAAAAAAAAAAAAAAAAAAAGGAAAACGCCACTATTTTGACAGAGAAATAAGGAGAGAAAAAAAACATCTCACTCTACTTCTCTGACTACTCATACGCTTCTTCTAGGGTATGAGGGAGCGGCCTCAGGGCCCAAACAGTTTTCCTTGCCTCAGCTGGGGATTATAAATACGGACAAATGGTCATGGGCAGCCAACTTTGAGCCCAATGGCGGTGCTGCATGGTCTTTGCCTCCCGGTGCCATAATTGGTATCGTTGTGGGTGCAGGTCTCATACTCTGTGTCATTGGACTTATTGCTTGGCGTATTTTCTCCATGAGACGTAAAACCCATGAGCTCAACGAAGGGCACAACCCGCAATCGAGCGAACCGCTCATGGATGATGGCGCTCCACACTTTCAACACGATAGTTGCTATAACATGAATACTATGAACAAGCTCGACGTGCTTCTTTCGGCCTCGACCAGAAGTGCATCTTTTACCCCCAGCCTAGAATCGAATAGTAGCAATGGGATTGGTGGTAATAGTAGTAATCGCAGTCTAGTATCCAGGGCCGTCCCCGGGTTTAAATCACCTTTACCACTCATCATCACTCCTTACTCTCCAGCAGCAACAATGTCTTCAGGCTCATTCTCAATGACTCCAACAGATCCATCATCGTTCAACAACCACAAGAAACAAAACAAGCAAAAGAACCATCATGATACCCTTAACAATAAGACTAATATTGATCTTCCAGAGAGCGAACGTCTGCCGCAGCAGTTAGCAGATATGCAATATGGACACTACATTAGGACATTACAACATAATAAGCAATATGAAAAACGTCGTAGTGACCTTCAGAACCTTTCTCCTTCGCTGAGAAGAGTCGACACAACTGTCCTGCATGACAAGATTTGGGAAGAGGGCAGTAATAATGACAATCATCCAGAGGATCGTCCTTATCTAGTCACTGGCCTTATAAACCTCAGGGATGTAGATGTTGGAGAAGAGCCCATGTCGGTTCCGACGCCGTCACTTGAGACAGGTCCTATGCTGATTTCGAGCCACATTGATACCTCCCGAATCATAACAAGTACAGTCGACACTGGCCTACAGCAGGAACAGCATCAACAACGACAAGGCTATATCCCTGTGTTAGGGGATACTCATACCCATGATGATGCACCCGAATATGTCCCTGGTGTTGGTGGGTCGAAGGAAGCTAAAACAAATGTTGGAGGAAGAGGGGGTACCATGTCGGGATTTGAACAAGCCTTTGGTAGAGCAGAGATTATTTCGAATGAGTCGATTGAGAGTGAACTGGTCGATAATCGAAAAATAAGGAGAGGAAATTGAGAAAAAGGAAAAAAGGCAAAAACTGGTCAGTTGGTCAATAAAATTTTGACCACATGCGTCGAACATCCAATTCGAATGTGAATAAACTATTCAAAAGACGATTTTTGATCAGCTGGACAATGATTTCTGCAAGAGTGCAATATAAAAATGGAAAGATGAGACCTAATGCGTGGATGTGTTCTTTGGCAGAAACAGACAGCTAATTCACCTTGATATTAAGCTCAATATGGGTTCCTTGTAAAAATATATACCTGTATATATTTATAAAAATTTATATAATTATACTCTGTCAGCCTTGTATCTTTGCCATCAAGATTGGCAATATTGAATCAGCTGGATCAGAACACACGCCTTGTTTGATTGGGCCTTTGACACCGCTTCTTTTCATTTTTGGACTAATCTGCACAATGTTATGTTATCTGCGCTTTTTTTTTTTTTTTGTTACTTGGACCCGGGAACACTTTCATTCTTACAATAAACAATATCTAGCTTAAAAAAAAGAGCAGCAAGCAGGACTTATTTATCATGAGAATCATGAGAATCATGAGAATGACAAACAAGTTTATACAATGAACACTGAAGTAGGTGACATGGATGCTTATTGGGCCAAGCTTGAGTCGAAATACCCACGACTATTCATTCTCATTCAGTTCATCAGAAAAAAAAAATAAAAATAAATGAACATTGCATAAAATATACTCAAGGACTAGGCTAATTGATAAATCAAAAACCCTCCTCTGACTTCCCTCATTTCTCATCCGTATTCATGAGCTCCATCCCGCACGCTTCTTCCTTTTTTGTCCTTTTGTATCCTTATCTTAGACAAACACAAACACACTAACACACACTTATTAGCTCATTCAGCTCCTACTCCCTTCATTCCCTTCTTTCTTTTTTCCCATCATCCTCATATTCATCTTTATTCTTTCACAAATGACTGTTCATTCATCTAATTCCTCTGAATGGACTAGTGTAGCATAGCACATCCCCTTGTCTCTCTCTTTTTTCCTGTTTCTCATCATAGTTCCTCCCAACATTTGTCTCGTTTACTGCATCTTGGAGAACCCGTGCTGCCTATTCTCTCAACAGAACATCCAATCTTACTTATCCAATCTTTCTTACAACTATTATTCTTTTTAAACCATTTTGAGTTTCAATATTTACTCTTTCATTGTTGGTGTGTGTGAACCGCTTTTCTTTTCATTTTCTCTCTCCTCTCTATCCCTTTCATTCATTTCAGTTGATACCAGGCAGGATCAACGTCTCCCCTGCGTTTCTTTTCCGCTGTGCTCTTTGCATAGTGCAAGTAAAGAATCACCTCAATAAATCATCGCAACGAGACTACTAAATACCTCACACAATGGCCACTTCCAGTGTGGTGAGAAACTCGGATAGTTCCTCCTCATCTACCGGCTTTACACCAGCAGCTGTCCTTATAACACACATCACTCGCCGTACTTTGCCCAGCCATTATCGCCCTCGCCCCTCACTTCCTCCTTTAGCACTGTTGACACTGTTGATATTAGCTAGCACTGTACCACTCTTGAATACGGCTTTCGCGATCGCTTATACACCCATCTCATACCCTGCAACAGCCATTCTTGGGTCACGTCTCTACATCTATGGCGGTATCACGGACTTATCCTCACCCTTAACTTCATACACTTCTCAATTCGCCACATTATCATTGACTAACGGATTTGATACGGACGATGATTTACCTTGGGAGTATCTTCCAGGCAATATTGCCACAGGGCTAGCACCAGGATCCCCAAGTCGTGATCAGAGGCGGTTCATTATTGGAGGAAGTAGAAACAATCTGGGCAAGGCACCAGCTCTGATCTTTGATTCCACAACGCGAACATGGTCTCAGACTGGAGATCTTCCGAATGCAGGCCGTGGAACCGATAACAATGATGAGATGCAGAATTACAGGCGCGACACACCTGATATGGCGCTAGATACATCCACGGGTGCTCTGATTCAGTTTGGAGGAAGTAACGCAACACATTTTGCTACCAACGCGTTAACAGTGTTGGATACGAACAGACCGTCAAATATGATGAATTGGTCCTATACTGGATATCTAGAGTCTGTTCCAGAATTGTATGCGCCCATTGTCCTTTATGCTCCTAATAATCGATTGACGTTGATTATGGGTGGATGTGATCAAGTGAATAATGCAACCAACGCTAGCACTAGCATTACTGTCCCTACACACTGTGCTACATTCGACACCCTATATGCCCTTGCTACTGATAGTATAGCGTCTGGAAATCCAAAAGTAACAAGACTGAATGTGGATACAACGGATGAAAAAACTGGACAACCAGCAGAGATTCCAGCACCAAGAGTGATGCCTTGTACAGTGGTGATGCCAGATGGTAATGTGTTGATGATGGGAGGTGGTAGCCCAGGGGTTGATTCGAAAGCAATGTCCGACGCTTGGATTTTGAACACACAGACTTGGCGTTGGTCCCGACGTGAGATTGAGGATTTTCCAGAGAATGGGATCATGGGCCATAGTTGTCAGGTTGCAAGTAATGATCAGATTTTGGTTATTGGAGGTGAGATTGCAAGAAGAGAAAGAAGACGCAGATTTTCAGACCCTCGAAAAAAAAAAAAAAAAAAAAAAAAAAAAAATTGCACAGCCCTTTTTTCCTAATTCTTTTCTTTTTTTTTAATGGGATACTCAGGACACACTAGTGATGGTTTTGTAAAAAACCCACTGTCGGTTATCAAGACCCGAAAATGGGCCTGGTCGAACCATTACTTTGTACCTGGTTTCTCGACAGCTGTCAAGATTGGGCTAAGTATGAGTATTGTTGTTGTCATTGGAGCCATTATTGCAGGGCTATGGATACGATGGCGACGGAACAAGATGAGTGCACTCAAGGAAACACAGAATCAAGATGAACACGGCATCAGGATGAAGACCTCTAAAGGAGACAGAAGATCTAGTGGCGGTACTGATAATCATCATAGAAAGCAATCACTTTCACAACATCACCACCAATCATCCTCAACAAGAGTAGAGGATCGCCATCATCGCGAGCATGGCGCGCCATTAGAAGGAGCAGAAGTTTATCCTGAGAATGGACGCCCCCTTTCAAATGATATTCCACGATTGGACTTCACGTTGGTGAACGATGAGCGCTCAGGCAGCGCATATGGCCATCATCTTCGGCAGCAGCAGCAACAGCAACCTCATTTAGTAACGACTGATCCCCTGGCACACTCACCTGTTGAATCGTCATCCAGTACAATCGTGGACCAAGGTGTATGGCCAGAACCAGAACATCTGTATGGTCTTAGTCAGGGACGCATTCAAAATCATGAGACTTCTCAAATATATGAACCAGAACGCGTTGAAATAGACACCAACAACAGCGACAGCAGCAACAGCAACGAACAAGACAAATTTGGAGACTAGGATTTCATCGCGTCAAGCTTGTTGATCATTATTGATGATTAATGGACCCCTTTTTTCATTTATGCTTTTTCTGCCCAGGGCAAACGTTATGTACCATATACCAATATATATACACTATATATGAATGGCTGTGTATAAAATAAATTGAATAAAGTGTTCTTTCAAAAGTAAACGAGTAGATCCGCGGTGTGAGCTGGTTACAGTGTCAAAGAATAAACTATCCAATTGACGCGTTGGGAGTCATGCTGCATTAGTTGCCCAAATCAATGACAGTCACTGGAGTTTTCGAACATGTTTGCACCTCTCTTGAGTCAGATCACACTAATCTTAAAAAAATAGAATATAAAAACTCTCTCTCTTGACTCGGTACCTCTCTGAGAGTAGCTCACTTCTCTTTTCTTTTTTTTTTTTTCTTCTTCTTCCTCCTTCAGTCTCATTCATTTGCCCTCAAACTCATCATGTTGCGCCATTCTCTTCTCCGCTCATCTAGAGCATTGCTGGCTCAGTCTCAGTCTAGGACTGTTGCTATGGCTGTAAGCGACCTTGCTCTCTTTTTTACCTTTCGCGGAGTATTGGATTAATACCTCTCACTTTTTATTACTTGTCAAAACTTGGAAAAGTATGGCAACATAACATCTCAATTGACTTTCTGGCCTTTATTGATACTCTATGTATCTTTTGTAGCGCCGAGCTATGAGCACTAAAGCTACTGCTACCCATTTCACCGATCATGCTGTGAGTTTCTTTTTTTCACTTGGAAGCGAACGAACTAAAAAAAAAAAAAAAAAAAAAAAAGAAACACTCATCTTTTTTCCTCTCTTTTTTATTTTTTTAATTGCTATCTTTAAGTTGAGCCATGCAGATGTGGACGCAGATCCAAAGACGTTGGACATCATTGATAAGCATGCCAAATATACATTGACAACTTATGGTCGTCCACCTGTAGTCTTCACTCACGGCAAAGGAACCTATCTCTATGATGTAGGTCAGCGTGAATATTTGGATTTCACTGCTGGCATTGCTGTCAATGCATTGGGCCATTCAGATCCCGAGGTGGCGGGTGTCTTGTTTGAACAAGCGAAACAAGTGGTTCATCTCAGTAACCTTTATTATAATATCCCTGCAGGGGACCTTGCAGAACAGTTGATCGAGGCCACTCGTGCTTCAGGTCATTTCCAAGCTTCAAAGATCTTTTTCTCTAATTCAGGGACAGAAGCTAATGAAGGAGCTTTGAAATTTGCACGTAAAGTCGCTAAAGTGACTACTGCTCAGCAACTTGGAGAAGAGGCAGTGAACAAAAAGATCGGAGTAGTTTCGTTTACAAATGGATTTCATGGACGATCGATGGGTGCATTGTCTGCTACACCTAATCCCAAATACCAAAAACCATTCTGGCCTTTGGTCCCTGGATTTGCCCATGCACCCTTCAATGATGTGGAGGCTGTTGACAAGTTTGTAACTGATGAAACTTGTGCAGTCATTGTGGAGCCTATTCAAGGAGAAGGAGGAATCAATGTTGCAACAGAAGCCTTTTTAAAAAAGTTGAGACAGAAGTGTGATGAGGTTGGAGCCATGTTAATCTTTGATGAAATTCAGGTAAAAGGGAAAGAGAAAAAAGATTGTCGAAAATTTTATTGATTTAACTGTGATCCTTTCTGGATGCTAATACAAAAAATCTTTTGCTTTGATTGGCAACATGATAATAGTGCGGGTTGGGACGCACAGGTAGATTGTGGGCCCATCAAAATTATCCTAAGGACTGTGTGCCTGACATGTTGACCATGGCTAAACCTCTCGCGAACGGATTTCCCATTGGAGCCATCATGATTACAGACAAGGTCGCTGAGAAGATTGTCATTGGTAAGGACAAGGAGAGGGAAGCAGTTTGTAGCTTTGAAGTGGTTTTATTACCAAACGCTCTCATCTTTCATGACCCCTCATCTGATCTTACTTTATTTTATCCTTTGTGTACACGATAGGTGATCACGGAACGACCTTTGGAGGAAACCCTCTGGGTTGTGCTGTTGCCTCCAATGTGTTTCGTCGAATCAACACCCCCGAGTTTCTGGACAATGTGAACAAGAACGGTCAATATTTCCGTGAACAATTGGAATCAATCTCTTCACCTTTGATCAAAACAGTTCGTTCCAAGGGGTTGATTTTGGGATTGCAATTCAATGTGGATCCTGCCCCTTTGATTGCTCTAGCCCGTGAACGTGGATTGTTGATCATTACAGCAGCCAACAATACAATTCGATTTGTTCCACCTTTGAACATCTCCAAGCCAGAGATTGATAAAGGAATCAAGATCTTGAAACAGGCCATCGCTGCCTTTGATGACAAGACTCTGGACGTGAAGGCATAAAAAAAGTAAACTAGTATAATGTTGACCATTCATATTCTCCCAAAAAAAAAGAGTTTATTAAAAAAATGTCCATGTATATACTTTTTTCACGATAAGATTTGGTAATTTTCTCACGCTCCTTTTTGTAGCCATTATGATTTTGGGTTTTAAAAAGCAGTAACAATCACTTCATGAACTTCATAGTAGTGCCATATCTAAGTTATAAATCCCTCTGGATGTCAACCTTTTTCTTCTTTTTTAAAAAAACTTCGAGGATGACTCTGTACAGATAGATAATCGATAAAAATGGATCGAAGAATTGAGATTCTACAACACTTTAATGTTACAAAGAATATCGACCTGCCTTGATACCATCTTCAATTTTATATAACTACCATTTCAACTACTGGTTAGGGGAAGCATCCTTTTTTCCTTTTATGCGGGGCTTTCCTCCGGTCTACACCCTTATTAGTGTGCTGTTCCCACGGATACAATTAGTTTTCTATGCTCTAACTTTAAACAGACCATGATTCTAGGCGAAGCACCTAGAAGAATCAGAATGACTATTTAGTTTGAACATCTGGCATGACACTTTGTGGCATTACGCATAATACTTCACAGCATTTAATAATTCCTAAAGGCCCTAGACTTATCTGTCATGGTCTGACACAACTTTAAGATCGTCAAAGATGTACCATATAGGCCGCTGCGACTTATATGACAACTAAGGTGCTATTTAGGTGGTAACTCATGGTACCTTTGTATATATTATGCCATCTGATTTGAAATAGAGACACTCCTCTTTGACTTATTGGGCCTTAGTTCTCAAAGGCTAGTAAGCTTGTTTGTAAAAGATTAGAGTATTGCAAAGTTGTTACGTATTCAACAGTTCGCAGGATCGTTAATACCAAAGCGCGTATCCCACTTAGGAATATTGTGCTAGAAACAAAAATGTTAAAATTTTCAACCGCGATTTTCTTCCATAGAGTGTAGAAAATAAATCCCATGACCCCTGAGGGTCCTTGTTATCAAAAAAATCAAATGCGATTTTCTTCAGAGACCATTATTAGCCGATCACACGCATCATGACACATATTACCCAAGATACAAGTTAGGGTTATGTGAATGCTTTGCTTTGCTGCATAGAGCACATGAAGCCTCAATATGGGACGCGTAAACAGTTGGGCGTAGAACCGCTTGAAATAGCACCCCAAAAGGCGAATAAATGCCTCTTAAATATAATTTTATGGACCCGAACTTTTTAAATACTACGGATGACTGGAACCCTGAAGCTCCATCATGGTCCATGAAGGAAAATGACACTAAAGCACAAACGCATATAAGAACAGCCAAGAAAGGGATGGTAATTTGAATAAAGGATGAGCATGAGATAGAACGCTGGATCATACCCCATAGAATTACTATTTCCTATGTGGCCCATTGTGTGGAAACCACGTCCACTGACCCAGATATAACGCTACTGGTTCAGCTTCAAGCTCCTATAACCACTTATAATGCTCAACCTCAATAATTCGTTATTTTATCTCCTTTCTAGTTTCAACAATAAACGGTGTGTATCTTCACTGAGTTAAGCTGACGAAATTAAATCCCTATAAGCGTCCCCTACTCAAGGCACCCATATCCACAACTCCTTTTTACCATCCTAAAATGAGTCTTCCTCATGCGAAGGAGTGCAAATAAAGGACCACTGAGCTTTTTATTGGTAATTGAGGTCCAGAAGTCGTGAGGCTTTATTAAAACTGATCTCTATAAATGGGTTTCCCTATAGCTACGAGATACTAATTTAGGGCTTTTTAATAGCTACTCTTGGCTGCATCGTTGTATATACGATACTCTTATTCACAGACCACGTCAGCGTGAGAACCTTTGATGCCTATGAAGCCTGTGATGAGTCCTTTTTATAACACTGCGTCTCTCTAGTCGAACAATGCTTTAAAACTGAAGGGCTACCTAGTTACATAACCTTTTTTTTGACAACGAGAGCCTGCGAGACCACATAGACTTTATTAATCTGTCAGCTCTGTAAATGAGTTGCCCATTTCTGGGGAGCATTACTGTGGAAAGAGTAGTCAGGACGTTTTTTTATTATTATTTTTTTTAATAACGAGATCATGTAGGATTTATGTGGTCAGGATTTTTTTTTTTGATCCACGAGGCGGATATGGCCTAGGGCTGCTTCAACCTTTTTTTTTTATTTTTTTTTTTTATAACAATTTGACTTTCTAAACGAACAACGCTATAAAACTGAAGACCTATCTAGTCCAAAATGTACTTAATGTTCCATCCTCCGGAGAGGATCGCTTTGCAGTCGCCATAAGCTTAGTCACATTCCCTTAGCTAGTCCTTCGGGTGCGGTGCAACTATTGCCACGGCTCATCACCGTGTTTAACGTCGAAAACATACTGTTGCAGGAAAAAAAATCGTCTTCATCTTTCCCATGGTTGTTAACCGTCCCTTTCTTAACAAGCTCTGCAATAGAATCTTGTCTGCGGCGGGTGGGTCTAACGTAGGTCCTGGACAGCACCTGCCGCGATGCGCACCCATTGCCGTACCATAAAGACAAAAGCCTTCTGCTGCCATAAAGCCGTATCCGTTGCTCCACCCACCTCTTGGTCTAGTGTGTGGTGCACGTTTCTGCCTCGGTCTCACACCTCGGCCCTTCTCCTTGGCGATGATTTTCTTATAGCGTGGCTTCTAAATCAACTCCGTGGCCTGCTGCTCAAGGTAGTCAACGAACTTATGAATCACTTTACGAGCGATAGATCGCGCTGTGTGGAATAAAGGACCCCATTCGTTGATCAAACCAAACGGTGTACCTCGGTAGAGATCGCTGAAGCTTCATTTGAGATCAGGATTTTTTTTTTCTATAAATGGGTTGCCCCATTACTGGGGTCGCAAATAAAGCGGTATCAAATAATCGGCCGAAGCCGCATCGTCATACTGCCACAGTACAACATCCTGTTCATAAATCACGTCAGTATTGAGAAGGATTCCTTGGTCCCTGGGGACCTGTGGCACGGCTCTACCCTCAGGGCTGGCCCATCTCAGGTTTGTGCTCTTGTGGTCTTTGTTGTGTTTGGTAGTGTTTGGTAGTGGCTGCACGACACTAGCGATCTATGCGCGACAGAGCCTCCTCCCTGGCCTAGGGCACTACAGGCCCATACGTGACCGTTGTTTTCGTCTTCAACCTCACAGACACAGCAAACTCGATCTGTAAAGAGGGGGGTTTTTTTTAATAACTGGGACTCACGAGGTTGCGAGGATTTATTAGAACTAGACTCAACAATTGGGTTGCCCTATTACTAGGGGCGCAAATGGGGCGTTTTCCAATGGTCGGTCTAAACCGCATCGTTGAACTGTCACTGTACAACATCCTATTCACAAACCGCATCAACATGAATGGCAACTCTTGGTCCCTACGGAACCTGTGACGAGCCCCGCTCCCTACTTGGCCTGTTGTGCGCGAAAGTCATCTTCTAGCCGCAGTCCTCAATCATCAAAAAGCGACACCCTCCAGCCGCTCCATTACTGTCAGTTCTAATTGTTGCCGATAGCTCCCTGCTACTCTTTGGTCAGCTTCCGTCCTGATCGCTTTCACGTCAGCTGTTCGTCGTTTTCTCAAGGTAGGTCCTAAGATATCACCTCTGCTACGTCTGTGCTGCCCAACACAGGTGCATCCCCTGGCGCGTTTGCTCACAGAGGCGATGCCTTTAGTTCTTTCCCAGTCGACAGTGACTTTACAGCGTCTGTTCCAGATCTCAGTCCTCCCGATCCCCTCGATAACTTTGATAAATCTGCAAACCACATTTTTTGCAATAGATGTGGTTGCCTTGAAAGTACTTTTCCAATTCTTGACCATGTCTGTGGGCACCAAACCATGGTAGAGGTCTTGTACTGTTCTGATAGCTCCCTCGCCGTCGTAATACAATCCGGTCGCCTGTCGAATAGAAGCAGGCAACAGCTCTTGATCTGGATAATTTTTTTTTTTTTTTTTTTTTTTTTTTTTGATAACAAGGACCCTCAGGCTCATGGGATACAGCTCTTGATCTGGATAAAGGGTCTAGCTTTTTCTTTTTCTTTTTTTTTTTTTTTTTTTTTTTTTTTCGATCGATAAAACAAGGATCCTCAGTTTTTTTTTTTTTTTTTGATAACAAGGACCCTCAGGGTCATGGGATTTATTTTCTACATTCTATGAACAAAATGCTCCAGAAACTATAGTCAATTAACAGTTATTACTGCACAAACGACAAGAGCCGCTGTATCCATGATTTCATAAACCCTGACCGCCGTGGTTGGTACTCAAAGTCCACCTTTCCGACGTGGCCTGTTGCGCAACACGACAAATTATCCGCTATCCATAGTCATCAAAAACTTCATTCCACCTAGCCGCTCCATCACGTCCAGTTTGGTTTTCCCAAGGTAACTGTCCCGGACTCGGTCATCCGCGATCTTGTAGATCTCTTTTACATTCAGCTTCTGTCTTTGTCTGAGGGAAGGGACAAGGAAATCATTGCTACTACGTCTGTGCTCCCCAACACAGTTGCGTCCTCTAGCGCGTTTGCTCATAGCAGTGATTCCACGAGCCTTTTCCCATTCAACGGTGACTTTACACCGTTTGTTCCAGATTTCTGTACGACCGAATTCCTCTATGGCCTTGACGAAGCGCCCTGCCATATATGTAGCTATCCTTGTTGTTGTTTTGAAGCCAACTTTCCAACTCTGAGCAATGGACTTGGGCGTAAGTCCATGGTAAATGTCCTGCACAGACCAATCTGGTGTGTGCTCTCTCTCTTCCTCATCATCACCGTTCCTATCACCACGGCGTCGTACTTCTCGCACACCATCGATATGCATCTCCAGAGTTTTCCAAATGTAGTCCTCCTCTGCCGCAGTAAAAGTTGGCTCTTTTGTCCTTGGTGGGTCTACACCTCTCTCTCTGGCCCTTTGTGCTTGCTCCTGCACTGCTTTCAACTCTTTCTTCCATGTCCTCTCCCCTATCACATTCACATTTTGGATTATCTCCTTCCACTTCTCGGCCTGAGTCTCCATCGTCCTTGGACATCTCCAGATGTG